GCCGGTGTAGTTTGAACAGCAGCGTCTGGTACTGCCGGTACGACGGGTCCGTGCGTGGGTCGACGCCGTAGCGAACGAGCGTATCCCGCCACGGGCCGCCCTTGAACTGGTAGCAGCAGTGGGCAAAATACCGTTTGAGGCGATTCTCTGTAAAGGGCAGACCCAAGGCCGCGCTCATGTGGTTGACTAGCGCGCGGCGCGTCCACACGGGCCGCTCGGCCACGGCACGCCGCATGGTTTCGAGGATGGTCTGGCGGCGGCGGCCCACAATGGGCGCGAGACCCGGCGGCGGCGCTGTGGGTACCGGCACTTCGTCAAACGCGAGCAAGTAGCCGGCAACTGAGTTGGCGGCGGTCGAGTTGACGAGCCGGACGGCGCCGTCGTGGCCCGACACGACCTCGCGCACAAACGGATTCTGCGAGTACGAGTAGGAAAAGGGTAGCGTCTGCGATGTGAAAAAGGGCGGTGGCGGCAAGTCAACGCCCGGGGTCGTAGTCACACCAGGCGTCAGCTTGAAGTTGCGCAGTTTGGACACTACTGGTCAGCGGATGCCAATAAAGAAAAGAGAGGTGGGCGAGGAGAGGGCAGTGGGGCAATGGCTTACAATCCCCGGGCAGCACGTCCTCGGTAAACTTTGTCATGAACGCCGAGTCGTGTGTCGACTGCTGAAAGTCCACCAGGCCCCGGTACCGGTGGGTGTGCTTAACGACGCCGACCACATCGGTGCGGTATAATCCTGCCGTTTCTTGCAGTTTCCGTCGTAGTTGCCGTGCATCGCGGTCTCCCATTCTGTCTCCGGGCGGATGGCCATGCGATGCCGGGCTTCCTCTGGCCGCCTCTGGGTCGAGCTCCCACGCGTTGTCGGTGCCACGCTTTCGCCGCATGCCCGTCCGTTTGGGGACATGCACAGCCAGCACCACGTTGTGGGTGGCCGCGCAATGCGACGACAGGCCGCCGGATGCTGGGTCGTCGTGACGCAAGAAGACAGCGACGGACGATTGAGGTCCTGACGGTTCCACGATGTCGCCGTAGTCCGCACGACCGGCAAAGCTGTCGATGCCGCGCTGCAGACTTGTGAGCAGAGCTGGATGCTCTACAGACGCCATGGGTTGCTTTGGGATGGGCAGCGCCGGAGCCGTAGGCCTGGCCAGGGTGCCCGCGGCACTTGCTGGAGCATTGTCTGGAGTGACGTCAACGTCCATGTCTGTTCGCCATGGGCGGTCGTGCTGTGCGTCAGGAGAAAAGAGAGGGCAATTGTTGTTTCGGATGCAGTTACTTGGCGATGTAGTGTGAAAGTGGTCGAGGGCAAGAGCCATTCACCATGATCCAAAAGCTCATGTCACGTGACTGCGACATCGACGGCTTTTGCACCTCTACGGCCTATGCACCTCGCGAACAAATGTCACGGACGAAATGAAAATGTGATGGTATACACTGTGAGTGTTTTTGCGACTGAAGACGAGATCCTTGAAAATACTGGACCAAATACAACGCCTTCAGAAGCCAATTGGGGCCGGCTTGGCAGACACGGCAGACAAGGTGAGCGTAGTTTCGGTGTAGCGGACGACGATACGACAATAAAAGAAGCATGCGAGTGGTGGACGCTCGTCAATTGGCTTGTTCGTAACTAGACGAGAAACGAGCATAGCCAGGTACACCGTATCCCGGAGCCACTTAGTCACAACAGCCTCCCGTGCCTCGTGTGCTTCCCGTGCCCCTGGCTTTTTATCACGAGCCAGTACCTGTCAGATGGCACACTGTGATGGAGTAGACAAAGGCGGGGGAGGCCGTACGGGAGACGTCTTTGTCGTGTAGGTCGGCCGAGAACGGCCAAAGCGATTATGGGATGCAGTTTTGTCAGACCGACATCGAGGTCATCTGCCTATCAAAATAGAAGAACAGACAGGGGGCCCTGGAACGGGCGCGGCTACCGTTGCCGAGCAAAGATCGAGAGCTGACTGGACCGGCATCGAGACCGCCAGCGGTGGAGCAGAAAAGGGGAGTTCCGCAGAGTCTGGCCAGAGGGGCACAGACAAGAATAGACTTTTGGAGAGAACGGATTCGGATTTGCGGCGGTGTGGTGGTGGTGTGTAAAAAGGCAGGCAAATCGGACCCACTTGCACACCGTACCGCGCGAAATATCCCCGTTGCGGAGCTTACTTTCCAGGGCGTTCCTTGCGTTGACACTTGCATCCTCCGCGTAGTCCGTGTACCACCCATTCGCGCTGGCTCGCACTTGCCCGCCCTTGCAGAACCTTCCTGCGCCGTTCGCACTTGCTGATCGTTTTTGTTCGCCTCCTGCACATTCTTTATATTCCACGTGACGAGGGAATTGGTCGAGCATAAACGGGGAAGAGAGGGAAAGAGCTGGTGTCCTCGCCCTTCTCTTCTGTCCTTTTGAAATCCTCTTTCCCATTTTTGTCTTATCATTTCTTAATTTCCTATTCTGTGAACGTGGGGGGAAACTGTGCACCTGACCGACAATCCCAATCCCAGTCCCAATCCACATCTGAAAGCATTTATTTAAAACCTTTCGCCGTTGTTCGGACGAGCTTTTGTTTTTGGACGGCTGCTCTGGACACACTCGTTTTCTCACATTTTTCGTTTCTCTCCTCTCTCCTCTCTCCTCTCTCCTCTCTCCTCTCCTCGCTCCTCGCCTCGTCGTCTCTTCTCATCTCACCATCTTACCAATGGCTCCCCTCAAGCTTAGTGACGCAAACCTGCAGCGTCTCGCTGAGGCCACGGCCGCGCCGCTGACGGTGCCGACCTACGCCCGCGGCGGCAGCGTCAAGCAGGGCATCGTGCACATTGGCGTGGGCGGTTTCCACCGCGCGCACTTTGCCTACTACATGAACGAGCTGATGCAGAAGCATGGCCTGACCGACTACGCCATCTGCGGCGTCGGCCTGCAGCCGCACGACACCGCTATGCGGGACGCCCTCGGCGGCCAGGACCACCTCTACACGGTTGTTGAGCGATCCGCCAAGGGCAGCACCGCCCATGTCATTGGCAGCATCCAGGGCTTCCTGTTTGCGCCCGACAACCGCGAGGCCGTCGTGGCCAAGATGGCCCACCCGGACACGCACATTGTGTCGCTGACCATCACCGAGAGCGGCTACTACTACAACGAGCACACGCACGAGCTGCAGAGCGACGACCCGGCGATCCAGTACGACCTCGACCCGGCGCACGCCGACGCGCCCATCACGACGTTTGGTTTCCTGTACGCGGCGCTGGTGCGGCGGCGCGCGGCCGGGCTCAAGCCCTTTACCGTGCTGTCCTGCGACAACATGCACCGCAACGGCAGCATCACGCGGTCGATGCTCGAGACGTTTGCGCGCCTGCGCGGCGACGCCGACGTGGCGGCCTGGATCGCCGACCGCGTTGCCTTCCCCAACTCCATGGTCGACCGCATCACCCCGCAGACGGCCGCCGCCGACAAGGTGGCGCTGGCCGAGACGTTTGGCGTCGAGGACGCGTGGCCCGTCGTCACGGAGCCGTTTATGCAGTGGGTCATTGAGGACCGCTTCAGCGACGGGCGCCCGCCGTTTGAAAAGGTCGGCGTGCAGGTGGTCGCGGACGTGCTGGATGTCGAGCAGTTTGAGAAGCACAAGCTGCGGCTGCTCAACGGCAGCCACTCGGCGCTCGGCTACCCGGGCCAGCTGGCCGGCTTCCGCTACGTGCACGAGGTCATGAACCATCCGGACTTCCACAAGTTTGTCTGGCAGATGATGCAGGAGGAAGTCAAGCCGCTGCTTCCAGCAATTGACGGCGTCGACATTGACGCCTATTCCCGCACGCTCATTGAGCGGTTTGAGAACCCGACCATTATGGACCAGCTGCCGCGCATCTGCCTGGGCGGCTCCGGCAAGATCCCCAAGTTCATCATGCCTTCCATTGCCGAGGCGATCTGGGTGACAGGGCCGTTCCGGCGCCTGTGCTTTGTGGCGGCCGCGTGGTTCCACTACATCAACGGCGTCAGCGACGACGGCAAGACGTTCGAAGTCGACGACCCGATGCGCGAGGAGTTGCAGGCGAAGGCGCGCGAGGGCGGCGCGGACCCGCGCGCGCTGCTCAGCATCGGCTCGCTGTTCGGTGACGATCTGCGGAACGACGAGCGCTTTATCAAGGAGCTGACAACGGCCTTGGAAGCCATCCAGAAGGACGGCATCCTCAAGACGCTGCCCAAGTACATCGACTAGGAGGGCGGACGGCAATGCAATCTACGATGGGTGTACGACCTTTTCCCGTACAGAGTAATAATAGATGTGGGAGAGTAGGTGGAGCGATGCTCACGATACTGTTTGGACGACATAGACCGACATAGACAGCATTATAGACGACGACAAATACGGCGACTGCTTTTTTGTTTGGGACATACAACGATACATTTGGGTGTAATGGCAACGAGGACAAGATAAGACGGCTACAGCATTTCAATAGAAAATAAAATGCTTCAGATCACGGTACACAAAAAGGGATATTGCATGAATTGTTGTTGATAACGCCACGTGACATGACTTTGGTAACTTCATTTGATGCTACCGTCACGAGCCCCAACCCTTTCGTTACCACTCCGTCGAATTTAGTGTATGGCCAAAAACGTATACATTACTGTGTATGTGTGAATCTACGCCTCACTCCATGATTGCCTCACTTTCTGGGATTTTCCCTCGTAGTCCCTGAATTATGCATCACGTGCAACAGTCACATGTTATGTCCCGTGACACTCACTCCCCTCACTCCTTGTGACCCACACGATGAGTTTGTTCCTTCTTTGATCTGGGGTATTTTTGGGTTGTTGCCCCTGTCGCACTTTGGGAGGCACATTGCAAGAGCTGTTCGCGCCTTCTTCACTGGCACAAACTCCCCCCCCTTTTGCCACAAGGCCAACCTTCCCGACCTCCCTTCACTTCTCGCCTCGAGAGCTACATACAGTATTCGAAGTTCTCGCCATCTTCTCCGCCTAAACCGCTCTCCAACGACATCCGGCACTGATCATGTCGGTCAACACCTCGGAGTCCCGCCAATATGTACCACTTACCTGCCATGGGCACTCGCGACCGGTGCCTCACATTAGTTTTTCGTCCATGACAAAAGACGACGACTACTACATGATTTCTGCCTGCAAAGGTACGCTATTACCGGCTGTTGATGCTCTGTCCCGACGTCAAGACATAACTGCTTTTTTCTTGCATGTTTCTTTTGCTGACCACCTTACTACTAGATGGAAACCCTATGCTGCGTGATGGCAAGACTGGTGACTGGTATATTCTCTGTCAACAGTATTCCTCTCCGCTACTGCGCTGACAAGAAACAGGATAGGGACGTTTATTGGCCACAAGGGTGCCGTTTGGCAAGCAAAGCTAAGCCACGATGCCTCCACGGCGGCTACCGGCTCAGGTGATTACACAGCGTAAGTTTGGCGGCTGTGCTTTGGGAGCTTTTGCCCTGGTTGGCGACCTGCTTGTGACTAACGGCAAGAAGGAAGGTTTGGGACACGCACACCGGGGAGTTGCTGTATGATATCATACACAATGGCATTGTACGTTCCATTGCCTTCGCTCCCCATAATGCCGACTTGATAGCTACCGGCGGATTAAAAAAAGAGCTTCGTATCTTCGATTTAGCAAAGGAGCGGCCTCACCCCAGCTCGCCGTCCAACACGCCAATAGAGACTGTCACTCTGGACGCTTCGTCTGCTTTTGAAATCGGTGCTGGCGTGCACAAAGACTCCATCAAATTCATTGTATGGACAAATGTTCCTACGACCCTGGTGACGGCATCTGGGAACACCTTGCGTTGGTTTGATATTCCCACTGTAAGCTGTTTCCACGAGGAGACCTTGGACGGCGAGATTAAGTCATGCGAAGTCGTTGCTTTGGCCCCTGGCTATAGTGACCATAAAGACATCGGTGGGGGCAATCCGGTGCTTGCTGTCGCTGCCGGAAAGACGGTATATTTCTGGGAAGGGGACCAGTTTGACAAACAAACCAAATCGTTTGAGTTATCGCACGGCGTGGCCAGCGTCGGCCTTGATCTCAAAGGGCGAAAATTTGCTGTTGGCGAGGAACCGGGCACATGGGTCCGAGTATATTCCTGGGACGATGGCAGCGAAATTGGTGCGTATACGTGATTGGTGGTTGAACTTGTGTCCCGCAAACAGGCTTGATTGACCGTTGAGTGACTGACTCGTCCAGACGTTTTGAAGGGCCACCACGGCCCGGTCTGGTCAATCGCATTCTCGCCGGATGGGAGACTGTATGCGACTGGCTCTGAAGATGGAACCATAAAGATGTGGAAGAATTGTGAAGGATTTTATGGGCTTTGGAAAGGCAATGCAGGCAGCGCACCCGATCGGTTAACTGAATAGGGACTGGAATCGACTGGTGGTGAACTGTTGGCATTGGGAGATGTTGGCGCTGATCGAGCGCTGCTCGTGGAGACCGAGGCTGCAAGAAACTGCAGCGATTCTCTGCAGGGTTTCGTCAATTGTTCGCAGGATTCTTCGGACACACGACCGAGTACGTTGTGCAGCAGGATCAGTAGCACAACCTCGACGGGCGACGCCTCCTTCCCCCATCATGACTTTGCTGGGGAAACGCGGTTTGGCCACGGTGACGATTGGACGTGTGTGGAATCACCGCAGGGCGCCGTCTTTCCTTCGACGCTGGCAGGGAGCAATCATGTCAGCGGACCAGTCGTGTTTGTGAGCACCCAAGAAAGCTCGCACCGACTAGGTACTATGTGCAAGAATGGTTACCGGACCTTGCCTCCTCATCATGTACCGGCCAGAGCTTTTTCTACTACTTCGTTTAGGCAGACGTACAGTTTCAGACCGGAGTGAAAACGGTAATGCAGTCTTCAGATCCGGCGACCCTGAGAGCCGAGGCGTCGCTGACATCCTGCAACAATTAGAAGGCGTGGTATATTGCATTAACATCCGGCGATTGTCACGCTTAGGCAAAGGTACTACGGTGACCAGGAGTAGTAGTTGATAGACAATGTTGACATGTTATCAACCTTTTGTGCCACCTTTGTGTTACATACTTGTACACCACTTATTATCATAGTTCATCATAGGAGGAGCAGTGGAAGAATTTGAAACAGCGTATGCTCATCGCATGTATTTTTCATTACACAGAGAGTTTTGGATAATTAACACCTTTGAGAACTTGGTAATCTCATAGGGAGACAACCTGTATATGGAGGCCATGAACAAAAGTCGGAGTCAATCATTACCTAAATGTTTGTTTTGGACGAGCTTCGAGGCCCGTCAATTCGAAAGTTGAAAAAGAAACCGCCGTTAAACCCGTCCATGCCCGCCATTAAGATTTATTAAGGTTTACTATTGTCGAATGCAAAGTGTAGCCCAGGTTGTCAGAGACTGGTCGAAGTGACGGTGCACGACGAGCGCGGTGTTTATTTCCTTGAGCAAAGAATTCTGCGCGGCGGGTCCTCAATAATAACAAAAATAAGAAATTAAAGGGTCCCCATATGCCAACAGTGTTCCTCGTAGAAGAGGTCCAGGTGGCTTATTTCACGATCGAGTTGATTTCGTAGCCAATAAGCGCCTCAGTGCTTGTGCCCTCCCATCCCCGTGTCCCTGCTGTGGAAATCATGAACCGCGATGTTTGATCAATGTAGAGGTGGGAGATCACGCCGGCTCGGGGCGGGCCGGGTATAATGAGAAATGGAACGTGCGAGTGAGGCAGTGCAGATGAGTCCTGGATATCGTAGAGGCGGAGGATGTCGTGTGAGGCACTATCGTGGGCATAATTAGCAAAGAACTACCAAAAAAAATAGGGGAAGGAAAAGGTGGCATACCAAACAAGGTGGCGCCCGTTTGCCATGGCTCTCACGGCACTGACTGGTCCACTCCCAGCAGGAAATCTGAGTGCTCGTTCCGGTTGCCAACCTGCCTTGGCCTTGTGGATATCGAATTCTTCCACGGTACCATTCCGTCGCCCGGCATAGATGCGGTTACCATCAGGGCTCCAGCAGGCGCCCATGCACCATGGTGGTACACCAGGCCTATTTCCAATGCGAGCAACGGGGTGCTTTTGTCGGCGATCCCAAATTCGAATAGGGCCGTCGATGCTAGCAGAGAAGAACGTGTTGTCGGAGACTTGTGAAGGGTCAAAGTGGGGAGGCGCTCCTTGTGATGTGTACACAGCAGCGGACGGCCCATGGGTCTCTTGGTGTCCGGGCGAGGCAATTTGACGAGTAGTTGGATCCCCTCCAACCCCAGTCGTATTCGCTTGAGCGTCACTGGCCTCTCGAAGCTGCGTTTCAGCTGATTGCTGGAGCTCCTGATCCAGCTGCTGCTGTTGCTGCTGCTGGGAAAGGGATGACTTGTTACTGCTCGCCGCACCCGTATCCCCAACGATAGTCTCGGGAACCGGGGTCGCTGTGTGGGCGGGAGCAGACGCCACGTCCGCACCGGCTGCTTGTTTTTCAGCGGACCTCTCGCTATCGTCAGCAGGTAGAGCAGACTTGGATGCTGATGGACCTGCCTCCGTCATGCTCTCATCACCAGCGGCGGTGGCCTTGGTTTCTGAGCCATCTTTTGGCGACGACGGGGCGGATACCGTCCCCGGTACTGCAATTGAATCCACTGCCGGCCCACCAGTGTCAAGAGCCATGGCAACATCTTGCGAAAAGTCGCCGGCATCTTCGTCCCCGATTGTGGCAGAACCGGGTGCAATGCCCATGTCATCGTCCCCGAAAGGATTGGCCCCCATTGCGTCGCTGCCTCCAAACAAGGAACCCCCAGGACTGCCAAACAAAGACTCATGATCAGGTAGGGGTTCGTCACCGCTGATGTTCGCAGACGCTCCGCTAGCAGATACGTCGCCACCAGCCACAGCATTCATACCCGTAGCGGGACCGCCAATGGCGACGCCATTTGGAAGAGGCTTGTTGTTGGAGCTTGTCAAAGTCAAGTCAGCGTCTTTAACGTGTTCTTCGTCGGAGCCCTGGGCCGGGATCGGCGCACCACTGGCTGGGCGGAGCTCGATTGCCGATATCTGGCCGCTGCTACCGTCATATTGACGGCGAATTTGGCCGTCGTTCAAGTCCCAGTCAAGAATGGTCTTGTCCCAACTTCCGCTGAGCACGCTCTTCTCGTCCGGGGCGAGCTGCAAGACGCTGACGGCGTTGGTGTGACGCTGAAGACATGTTATGCGTTTGCCTTCGTCGTGCCGCACGCTCTGGAGGTTGATGCCTCCGCCTTCCGTGCCCGCGAGGAGCCAGAGGGCCCGGGAATGGACAGCAAGCGAATACACGGGTGACAGCATGTGTTCGTCTGCGCCACGCGCGGATGCGCTTGGCGGTTCTTCGTTCTCCCAGTACGACATTAAAATTCCAGCCTTGACAACGCTGTCAACAAAGGGGTGGCGCTGAGCTACAGTAAGTAGTTGCCGGCCGTTGATTGTGCCGGGGCCGTCGTACTTTCGAATGTAGCCGTCCGACCCTCCTGTCATCCAGTAGCGGAGATCCGGAGTAACCGCCAGAGCATTGATGCTCGTGGCTTGTGGAGCGGCCATGGTAGGAACGATGTCGTAGATTCGAGCAGCCAGAGCTTCCGGGCGGATTCGTAGGCGCATGGCGTCGACAAGGGGCGGAACAGACGCCGTTGCAGCCATTGTCTCGGCCGAATCGACAGCAGTGCCATCAGCAACTGCATTGCCGCTCATATTTGTTTTATGATCTGGTACAGAACCATCGCCAGAGTCGGTCCTATCCGGACCAGGGCCTGTCGTGCGTAGGGCACCAGAGGGTTCGCGGCCGCGTCTTGCATCGGCCACAGCTTCCGGCTCGCCGTCGTCATCATCGTCCGCTTCTTCGTCGTCTTCTTCAGCATCATTGCCGGGTTCGGGATCGACCTCTGGTTCGGCTACATCCTCCATGACCTCGTCTTGGTCGTTTTCTGAAAAGGCATTGGAGTCTGCCCCGTGACATGAATGGTTAGCAGAAAGGCAGAGATGGAAAGGCGTCAATAGGAGCGCAACACGTCATCTTGCTCACCACGGTCGTCCTCGTCCATATCTGAGAAATTTCGTCCGCTCCAGCTTTGAGTGATGTGTGAGAACTTGGCAGGCCGCTTCCGAGGGGATGGGCGAACAAGGCTATGAATGGAGGTGGTGTCCAGATCGCATTCTCAAATTTGGCAGAGTCTCGCACTCAACTAGTCTCGAAGCGCCGAATGGCCGTAGATGTGAGCAGGTGAGAGTCCCGGGCGCAGTACGCAGTTGCGCCATGTATTGTAAGTCGCGCCGGAGACGGTGATACGTTCTGGTGACCGGCTAGCCCAATTGACGGCCTAGCTGCAGGTGCCGTCGTGCAGTGCTTCGTTTCACGTGATGAGATTAGTCAGACGACAAGCAGGGTCGATTTTGGTCACGGGACCAGTTGAATCATGTAACACGAGCCGAGCTTCTTGCCGCACGCCATGGCGGATATGCCTTGCTTTCTGAGACTCTTAAGACATTATGGAGTATCGAAACTCGTGGATGTTTATTTTGTCTTACGACGAGCTTACTGGAGAGCGAACGGTTTGACGACTGGTAGCCTTTGAAGGGGTTGCCAACACGGGCGATCTGAAAATACAGTTGGGACCTTGCCCTAGCATAACTTCCAAAGATTTTGTATGATCGCTCTGTAGGACATGGATATGTACGCGGTGATGGGATATTGTCTATTTGAGGCGGCCTCAATTATGCTTGGTCTCTAAGGTACAGCTACAGCGTCCATAGGCTCCGAAGCAAAATTATCGATCAGTCCACCCCTGCGACAAGATACGGCTCGGCGGTGGGCCACCGAGTTACTCAAAAGCAGACCTTTGGAAGAAAAATTTCATTGAGGATAGGGCGGCATGAAACGACTAGCACGGCCTGACTAGCTATATCATGTGCAGGTGCCGACAGACGCAGTTGCGGGCAAAGTTGCTTGGATGGCCGGACATTTTACGGACACTATATTGCTCGGATGATGCATCGCCGGCGGAACTTGCAGTGCTGGCACGCGACCTTTCGCATGGTATGTGACGGGGAAGGCAGAATAACGATGGAGGATCATAATGCAGGCGTAACCAACGATGCTTTTTGTGGCCTTGCCTTCTTTGACAGAAGAGTAGGTTGTGTTGGCCCTCGAACAGGAATGGCTGCCACGACATTATGTATTTGTATCACCTTGTATCTTACGGCATCTCACGACGTACTGGTTGATAATTCCGTGGCGTGGGAGAATCTCAGAGGCTTAAGTTATTCTTTCTTGAACCTACATCGTATGTCGTTTATGGACAATGATTTGGAAGGCGTAGTGTTCGTATTGCGTAGTGAGATTCTATTCCGTAGGGACCACTAATTATTACTTTGCAAATGTCAACCCGATGGGGCAGGAGTTGACAACATACAACATACAAACATACATCGTACAAGCTTCGTTGCGGACTCAAACTCGTAAAGCAAGCTATGCCAGAATAGGCTCTATTCCAGACGCTTCCGTCACCAATAAATGCATCATGCACCCGTTTTCAGGCTGTGTGGCGTGGGCGTTATTGCCAAGTCATTTGCCCTCTTCCGTATTAACAGGCAATAAATACGAACCATCGGCGGCGTTTTAGATCGTGCCCATCTCCGTTGAACACCCAAATGCCAACAACACTTGGTCCGCCACCTTTTCCCCAACACTTTGCGCTTTGCCTACATCCCTCGGTCACCTTCCGTACTCCGTACTTTCAATGGCGTTTTATGTCTACCGTCTCTCTTGTTTTCTGTCTGTCGTTGGATGAATACGAGCTGGCCTTCCTGCCCTCTCGTCGCAGTCTCCCTTCTCCCTTGTCCACGTCAGCGGGGCGCCCCTTTACAGCCCCTTTTTCGCTGCAAATGGAATCATACGCTAACGCAGGGAGACACCTGGTTTCGCTGCGTTTTGCACGCCGTCCCCTGCATCTTATTCTCGATACTTAACGGAGTGCACAGCACGTACATTCGTACCTACATAGGTTTCATCCCGGTTCATGATCTAGTACTGTGCACGGTGTAATTACGACATATTAACCCTCACGGGTTTTCACTCAATCCCGTCTTTTTCGTTTTTTTTTTTTTTTAAAAGCGTAAGGTACATGATAATATGTACAAAGCACAGTGCGACGGTACTTAAATGGTCTTATTTCTCGGCGCCCAGTATCAAACTGTATCTTACCAAAATTAACCACACACATGGTATGCTTATGTTGGTCTTCCGCTGTGTATCATATTTCGTACACACTTTTGCCCCAAACAGCTGTACTTTTTTTTTGCGAGCCGTGTCAATATATTTTTGGAGCGTGCAATGTGTGACCCACTCCATTTTGTACATGTACTTCCGTCGCACACCAAAGCCCCCTAAAAGCCGCCCACTCTATATCCCCTGAAAGTGCCCCACCCATACCTCCCTCGCCTCCTCGTGCCTGAGGCATCAATCCCCTTTCTTGTCGACGTGTCCTCTACATAAGGTCGCCTTCTGCTCATCGCAAGACGGTACTAACCTGCATCAACAACCACAGAGGAAAACAGTCAATCACCGAACCCCACTCATTACCAGACGGGCGCAGGCAACGACTTGCAGGCAACGACTTGCAGGCAACCGCCGGCTTAAGACGAGACTATGATCTCTTGATTTCGTCCGGGACCCTCGCCTTGTGCAGTCCTGGAATCGCCATCTTTCACCTCAACACCCGTCACAAACGCCCCAACCCAAAGATTCAGAACATATCTGCACATTGTCCTACCTTTTCCTACCAACCCAGCTTCTATTCAATACATTCCCACAACAATCCTGTTGCTGCGGTTAAACGCGTCACGATGGAGACCACCTGGGAGACGTTAATCGCATCAGCGACACCTCACAATAATGTCGAGACGTCACCGACTGGCTCTCTTCTATCGGATCCTGGCTGTGTCTACCCATCACTGTTCTCTGGCTCGACTGTTGCGTCTTCAACAGCTGCCACACCCACGGACTCCAGTGCCGCAGCAACTCAGTTAATAGTCTCCGCCGACGACATGGACATGGCATTAAAGGGACCTTCTTTCCAATCCAGCCTTGCCTCGGTCGCCGAAGAAGGCGACAGCATCTCGGATGCTTTACATGAGGCCTCACAAGCCACGGTTGACACCGACGCGGCTGCATCGGACAAGAAGCAAACAAAAAAGCGGAAGTCGTGGGGCCAGATACTCCCCGAGCCAAAGACCAACCTCCCTCCTCGGTATGTCCAGTCCTCTTTGCTTCCGACATGTTGATTTTAGCCGACCCTGTCGTATCACCGGTCATAATCTTGTTTGCCATTTAGCTTCATGCAAACGCTGACCAATTGTTTAGCAAACGGGCGAAAACGGAAGACGAAAAGGAGCAACGCCGTGTCGAGCGCGTTCTGCGTAATCGTCGGGCAGCACAGTCGTCTCGAGAACGGAAACGCCTCGAGGTAGAGGCTTTGGAGATCCGGAATCGAGAGCTCGAAGAACAGCTGGCAAAAGTCAGGAGAGAAAACATGCTGCTGTATGAGCGCTTGACCCAGGTGCAAGGCAAATCGGCTGTGGTTTCCACGGCGAACCCCCCTGTGACCCTCTCACAAGAGCTTTTCCGCTCCCAGAATGGCCACTCATTTGTGTCCGAGTCCGACGCGGCACTTCGTCCGTTTCTGAGCTCGGGCACAATCGACCCTGTGTCTCTCTCCCCTGCGTTACCCCCAGTACCGGACGCGAATGGCGATGAGGAGACGATTCCCGAGGACAAACTGGCCGCCTCGGAACAATCGTCCAACACTACTGAGCAGCAACAACGCATTGCTCAAACCCTTGGCGAGCAAGAGCGATCTGAACCGGCCGCTTCCAACACCAGCGGTTCGTTGGTACCGTCTGAACTTGAGCCCTCTCCCGACACGACACATCGTCCTGCTGCGACGTTGTGCCCCGACCTGCAGTGTCTGTCGGCGGAGGAGCCTCAAGCGTGGACCGTCCCTCCGAACTCGCCTCCGTTGATGGCGGCTTTGTTCTACCAGACGACTTTGCTTCTCATGCTCTCTTCCACGGTGATTTCAATCTGCTCTCGGCCGGTGACCCAGATCGCTTTGTTCTTGAAAGCGGGTATCTCGATTCCCCCGAGTCCGGCAATTCTGACTTCAATTATCTGGCTGATCACGACCCCGTCTCGGCGGTCCATGGCCCGGAATTCGACATTGAGGACTTTCTCAACGCCGACGGCGCTCACCAGCCATCCAAGGGCGATTTTTTCTTCGGCGATGGCGGCCTCGACGCGGCCGGGCCGGGCGTCCACCTCTCTGCGGCTCAAGATGCTTCGGAAGATCCTGACCAGCAACCCCATGCTGGCGCGTCCTATTAAGGATGCGACGATGCGGGTACTGCGGTCTGTTTGTTCTGAGGAGCGTCTTGCGTGCGTCTCAGCTGGTGGGCCGTCCCGCCCGGGTGTGTCCCGGTACGTACCATGGTTGGAGACTGGTATCACCCCAGATGGTGCGTGGCGTAACGCGGCTACACGGCCGTCCAAAGAGGCGTTGCTCACATTATTGTGGGCAGTGCAAGTCGAAGAGCAACGGATGTCAGCACCTGTCAGAAGCAAGGCTTCGATGTCGCCGCCGCGATTTCGTTCTGGCTTGCTTCGTGCACCGGTAAAGGGGCTTGGGAATTTGAATATGAAGAGGTGGTGAATCTATTAAAACTTTACGGGATGACGGCGTCTTATGGGTGGGATGGCAATGCCGTCGCAATCTTTGCTGGACAGCTTGCCGATTTTGGAGACTACTTTGTTTTGTCTTTCCTTTCGCTTTTTTAACGATTTTCTTACTATGCAATGGCGAGGCTTATTCTGCCATCTCTGCTATAAATATATATGTATCCATATCATATCTTCACTCCACGACCTGGAAGGATTTTTTTGTTTACTTTTTGAGACAACGGACACTACATTTGCATGAATCATTCGAACCTGGCAACGTATCTTGGCTTTTGTTTCTGGGCACCTGTTTAACGTGTTGGATTTGTTTTGAATTGTTTCTCTGCTAACCTTCTTGCGGATGTGCTAGCTAGGGACGGAGCGGCTGTAGCTTGTATGTGAACTCACGACACACGGCTGGACGAAACCGTTATTATGAGGCTCGCTACGAACCAATTCAAAGGGCAGCGGTAAAAGCCCAAAAGTCAGATGGAAGGGAAATAAATAAGAATTGCGAGCAATAATACAGTTATGTGACAAAGAAAATACAGTCCCCAAAAAAGCTCACTGTGGGCTTGTGCTGAAATAGTAGTTCTCCCAAAGATACTCGTAATCCTCGATAATCCCCCCGATAAAGCCTGGGACCCTGGATCGTACACCGCCGACAACACCCTTCATAACGTGCTCGTAGAAGGCTCCGCGCATTGTCCACCAGCCCATAGCCCAGCCGCGCCGGCCCCACTCCTCGCGTTCTAGCGACGGTGTGCGAAGGCTATGGTCCCGCAGCTGCCGCGCGGCACATTCCATCGCCAGCCCGGCGAGCCACGGCGCCCAGGACGTACGCCCTTTGCGGTGCGTCCGAGCCAGCGCAACAGCGTAGACAAGCGGCGTGAGGATGTGTATGATTTCGGCAACCTGGGCAGAGCCTCGAAGCTGGTTCAGCAGCTTGGTTGCGGGCTTGATGTCATCGGCCGTCAGAACACGGGACAAGAGGTAGGACGAGATGTCGCCTGGCTGTGGCAGCGGTGGCATCGACATCTGCGTTCGTGGCATCGTCCAGCCCTTTGTGTGCGAGGGAGGCAATGCTTGCGTCTCTGTCGGCGACGGTGACAGTGGGGCACGGCCTGACGGCTGGCTGGCGGCTTCGACATCAGGGTCTGCCGATGCCTGGCGTGGCGATGGTGGTGGTGACAAAGGCGGCTGCGGCGAGAGAACCGCCTTCTGAGATGGCGCCGTTCCAGTTGGCTGGCCGTCTTCGTTCGCGGTGCTGTCGGCAGCAGCCTTGCTCTCTTGAGGGAGACCGTCTTCGTCATGGTCGTCGACGTCCTCTTCGTTCTCCGGAAGCGGTTGCCGAACAGGCAAGGCAGGCGTAAGCAACATGCGCCCACGCGTGATGCGGAACAACAGAAGCTGGCAGACGGCCTTGATGGCCTCGATTAAGATCACCACGCGCCAGCGCAGGCGCTCTCCGCGGCGTTTGGCGGCCATTTCACACAGCAGCTCGGTGTAGCGCACGACCTGCAGCACAATGGCAACACGCCTGTAGAAGGGGCTTTTCTGAATCCAAAAACGCGTGTAGCGTGTATGGTGTGAAGGAGGCTGTGCAGGCCCTGGCGGAAGCTTGGGAGCGTTTGTCGACGCGTGACCCGACGGAGTAGGTGGTGTTGAGGTAGAGGGTGTACGGAGCAGCAAAAGGTCGTGGTAAAGAGACAGCAGCTGCACGCCCGAGTGGATGGCTTCTGAGGCAATCTCAGCGTCACGGAAGCGTCCAGGGATGATGTAGGTCAGCGACCGCAAGGTCGATTCGATTTGCGAAACCTGCCCGAGATTCTTCGCGATGAAATTGTCGTAGGCGGCCAGCCATTTTGCCGGCGACAACCGCGTGCCTGTCGAGGTCGCCGGGCCGGCCGGAGATGTTTGCGAAGACACCATTCTGTCAACGCCCGAGAAGGACGGCCCGGAGTTAAATAGCCAAGAAAATAGCAGCTGTCGGCATCGGATGCCGTCGAGCAACGTGATGGAGAAAGTTGGAAGAAGTTGGGCGCTCAAAGCGCGTCAGGATTGAAAGGGGGAATTTAATTAGGGCGACTCAGCAGGCCAACCCAGCAGGTAGGTAATTGCCTCGGCACAGGAGCAGTTGGCGACGAGTCGTGGTCATGTGATGGTCCACATGACACTAAACTTCGGGCGACACTGACGAGTTGTTACATCTCAACGAGAACGCATTCAACGAGTACATGTTAGGACCAACCCATTTCTTTCAATAACCTCGAAATGAACTTTATACACACTTTTGCACCTCCGCATGTAACCCGCGTCGTGTGCATGCGCACTTATTAGTAATATAGGGCGGATGCCACCCGTCAACTGCGAATGCGTTGATCCTGCCACCATAACTCGGTTAAATTACAAAAGCATACGCGTTGCGGGTTTTTGGGATGCCCTGTCACCAATATGGTTGCTCATTTATGTTTTGTTACTCTTTTGGGACGCAGCGTTGTCTCGCCGATGCGCTCCGGCTCCTTGCCCGCAACTGCAATATACCGGAAGCGTGCACGTCTGGACTAACCAGGGCCAGATAAAGTGCAGTCGGAAGCCAGGGCAGTCTCTCCAGAAAATGGATATTACATCGCAGCTGCCAGACACACGCAGTACCTAGTTTCCACCAGTCGTGTGTGTGGGCAGGAGACTGGCTGCAGAAGGACGCGGCAGGTCGAGGAAGTCAAAAACCAGACGATGCCCTATTTGGTTCCCAACAAAACAAAGTCCCGTACCGAGTAAACCCAACGACCGTAAAGACATAGCCCTTGACAGCTTTGCAAACACCAGACGCCTTGCGCAACAATGAGGCTGACCGCAATCGTCGCAGCAGCGGCTTTCACCGCGAGCGTGGCCAACGCTCACTGCTATATCTGGGTATGAAAAACGAACACTTGGGGCGGCATGGCAGCAGGTTTGAACCGGGTATGCTAACAAATGCTCACCCTCCACGGAACAGGGCGTCTTTGTAAACGGCATTGATCAAGGTGTGTGCCTGCTTGGCGAGAACAGCGAGGAAATTTACCAGCACACCAGGCAAGATCCCCAACGCTGACCAGTGGCAACCCAGGCACCTTTCGCGCCGTCAGGACACCGGCGTACAACGGGCCAAGCCCGCACGGCTATGCAAACTCCCCTGTGAAGAATCTGACATCCATCGACCTCCGCTGCAACGTGCTGGGAGACAAGCAAGTCGATTACACAATCCAAGTCCGGCCTGGGGACAACTTGACGTTTGACTGGTAGGCCGCCCCGGCGTGTCCCAGTTCCAAGGCATCCTCTGCTGACCAGGAGGTGCAGGCACCATGACAAGCGCACCGACACAGACGATGTCATTGCCAGTTCTCATCACGGTATGTAATCCTTGGCACATTCGTACACCCGCGTTGTGCGCGACTTGCGTGCGACCTGTACATGATCGCGGCTGGCAGCTAACCGCGCACGTCGCCTCGTACCGTAGGCCCGGCGCTCGTCTACTTGTCGCCAGACCCGCCAACGGACGACTCCTTTGTTAAGATCTGGGAGGAGGGCCTGTACGAGATGAGCGACGTACCGTTCGGAGCGGGCAAGTGGGCAACCACCGCCGATATTGCAGCCAACCATGGCCATATGAACGTGCGCGTGCCGGACGGCCTCAAACCTGGACAGTATGCCTGCACATGCAAACCATGCAAACCCTGCCGACCGTGCGTCCGGCCATTCGTGCTGACGGAGTGTGTTTCTCAAGCTACCTAATCCGCGCCGAGATGATTGCGCTCCACGAGGGCGACGCGTCATACTTGGACAACGCCTTGCGTGGCGCGCAGTTTTACCCCAACTGCGTCCAGATCGAGGTGATTGGTGACGGCACAGTCGAACTGCCCAAGGGCGTCTCCTTTCCGGGCGCCTACGACTATTCAGACCCCGGTGTTGTCTTTAATGTGAGCTTGTCGCCTGACCACCTTGCCACCTTGCTCCGGACATCCTTGTCGTTCAGTTTGGCAGCGCATGCGGCCTCGTCGCTAACAAAACAATCCAGATATACTGCTCGACACAGACGAGCCCGCTGCCGACGACGCCGTGTGCAACCACCTATGAGATTCCGGGGCCGACTGTCTGGTCGGGCGCTTGGCCAACAACATCCGCCGTTGTCGTTGGTCCCGTGTCTGGACCGACAAAGGCTACCCTTTGGTCCAGCTGGATCCAGAAGTCGGTCGTTACCTATGCCTCGTATGACGGGAGCGATGCTAATGTGCTAAGCACGGAAGTGTACACGGCCGAGTGGTCGACGACGTACAAGACCCCTGCAGCGGCAACCCCGACTGCGTAAAGAAACAATCCGGTCGCTCATGATGACATAGACGGGACTCCAGCCGTCCCGTTATTATGTCGCCTTCTGTCTATAATTCGTCACTGGTTGGTGGTTGAGGGACGACTGTTTTGATAGCACAGCGCATCTACGGCGTACATGTTTAGCGTTGAGAATGCACTGGAATCATAGCGCAATTATTGCTCACACAGATATTCTGCACTGTGCAGTCAAGGAAGGCCACCGAATTCACTGGAGCCATGTGATTTAGCGCTAGGTGGCGAACATTAGATAGCTGCCTATTTGCACAGATTGCACACATTTCACAGACCAGTGGAGAGAGCATAACTTCGCCCCACCCTGAGCCGTTCAACCGCCAAAGTACCCGTAACCTTGTAGCCTGGGGCCAGAACTCGACTGGCTACGTAGTTTGCAGGGGTCCTGAGGGGCTCGCCTACATCAATGTCGCCTAATCGACTATCCGATTGCGCTTCTTCTCTCCCCCACATCGACAGGTGCTCCCGACGACATCTATCACAACCTCGCCCTTCACACGCCCTTTCATCCCCACACTGCACTTGGACATCCCATTTCTCGTCGCACGTTCAAGGCGTTTCTACCACCAGATTTCACAATGTCGCAACGACAACTTGCACGAGACATGCAGGTCGAGTTCCAAGCCCGGGTACGTGTCGATCCGACTCTGAGAGTCTGATAGTTCGCAGGTACTGCCCATGCAGTCGCACGCATTTGCTAACTGTCGCTTCTTGCAGTTCAACGCCAAGCAGGCCCGGCGCGAGGCTCAAAAGGCTGCCAAACAGGACGGCGAGCTGCGAAAGCAAATCCAGACCGTACGTGCTCCCTGCGGGTATCTTGCGCTATGAGATCTCCTAATTTTGCGTTTCAAACGATTGTGCTGTTGACGTTCGTCTCTTCTAACATGTGCGGCTTTGTAGCTCCTGAAGAAGGGTGAGACCCAGCAGGCCGCGCAAAAGGCACGTATGCTCTTGGCAAAGCAGGCCATCGCCACCCAGATGGACCAGGCGGCCGACATGGCGGAGCTGTCTGTCGCCCAGATCCAGGCCAACAACGCCATGAACCGCATGACCAACATGATGGCCCAGTCGTCGCGCACCATGAGCCGCGCCCAGCGCAGTGTCAACCCCGAAAAGACCATGGTGACCATGGAACAGTACCGCACGCAGAACGAGGAATACGCCATGTCCAACACCATCTACACGGACGCGATGACCCAGAACACGTCTGTCCAGGTCTCGGATGACGCGGTGCACGAGCTTTTGGGGAAGCTGGCAGACGACGCCGGCGTGGAACTGTCCCAGGAACTCAATTCGGCCCAAGTCAGCAAGACAGAACCTGTTCGTGAGTCGGCTACCACGGAGCCTACAGCGGAGGAAGAGGACGCTCTTCAGCAGAGACTGCGGGCGCTTCGTGCATGATGTAGCGTGATGTATGCATGTTCGCTGCGACAGTCGACGTGCTGCACCGTGGCGACACGCGGAAGAGGATCGAGATTTGCATTCTGGCGTTGTTGGGTGTTTTTCTGTTTTTCTGTTTTTCTTTTCTGTCCCTTTTATCGGCGACTGTCAGTACATCGACTCTTTTTGCGTTTTTACTGCCTGGAATGCCCATGGTTTTCGTTCGTTTCTTTTTTGTTTCGCAGTTATATGGGTGTTTTATGTTTGTTTTGTCGTTTCTTGTGACCGTTATTCCGTATTTATCAAGGACTTTGCGAAATAAGATGACTTGCATCCAATAACCACCACGCCTTCGCGTAGGATGACCACGTCTACAGATACAAACTAGGAACCGTTGTAATGTTCCTCATGATGGATTCCTTGACACCATTCATCTTCGTCTCCAGTGTTGTGTCGCCGACAATCCGTCCAATGTTTCTAACCTCGCGGCTTGTCTCTTCCAGGCGCGTGATCGTGCGGACAATGGTGCCCTCCTGCTCTGCTGTCATGCCGGCGATTGTCTTGAAGGGGCTGCCGCTCGCCCACTCGTATACGACCTCCATAAGGCCAAAGTGTAGCTTTGACGACCGTTCTGAATCGTCACCGGCAGAGATGACGTGGAGCTGCTCCTGGGTGCGGATGACGTCCTTCCAAATGCGATACACTTCTGACAGGCTTTTTGTGAGGCCGTTTGAGATGAACGGCGCAGTCTCGAGTTCTTGGTCGTCTTTGCCTTGGTACACGAAGATGGAGAGCAGCGCAGCAATCTCCGCTGGCTCCAACCCGGCAAGCAGGTTGTTCAGGATCACCTCGGTGAGGACCAGTTCATCTGCTGTGCGAATCTCACACGCCACACGGCCTTTGAGGAGGACGACGGAGCTGTCGTTGACAAAGCCAAGGTGCTTTAAAACCGCTATGCGGCTCTGATATTCGGGCAGCAAAGCGAGATTCGAGTCGTCCACGGCTCTCCGCATGTCTGCGAGCTTGTCCCGGATCAGCCACTCGTCATGGCGCGCTGCATACTAGGTCCGGTCAGTATTCGAATACCTCTGTTTGGAAGTAGGATAGAAGAGAGAGAGCGCGAGAGAGAGGGCGCTATAAAGAGGGAGCGACTTACATGCTCAACAAAGTTAGGACAGTCGAGCGCAGGAGACTCAGCAACCGCCCTTGCCTTGGCCACACGGTCATCCATGTACCAAACCACGTCAACGTCCCGAACCTTTTCAAGGCTGACCTCGTCCCACACAGCAGAAGACCATGATAAGTCCAAGCCAGTAAGCTGGGCCTCGATGTCTGTCAGAAGCTCGTCGGGCCGCCGTCCAATGGATACCACGTGATGCGAGAGATGCTCAATTTTGCCCAATGGTACCTGCACTCTGCGCATTCGCAGCTTGGAAGCACCCGGAGCAACGGCCGGCCGCCAATATCCCCGGAGGGGAGGGACGAAAGACAGCTTGTCTGTTTCATCAGGGGCCATTCTTGGGGGCACAACCTCAGCCATGCCCACGGATGGTGTTTCACTTTCCATCGCCAGTGTTGACAGGCCGTCTGTGATGACGCCGATGGCATGCACGCCCTGTTCGTTGACAAACACGGCAACGCGGCCCTGGCAAAAGACGGATGGCCCAATGACAGGAGTCTTGAGCAGCTTCTGGTACATTTGTGCTGTGTCCTGCCGATACGTTTCTGCTGCGAGATGGCAGGAACCCATCGTGTTCCCACATGCTTCACAAACCTCCCGCGACTGAACCTGTGCCGCAAGGTCCTTCTCCAACAGCCGAATCTGCTCCTCGTCCTCGGAGCGACCATTTTGGGTCGCATGCTCGGAGAAGGAGCGCTTCATCATGTCCTCGACCTTGAGTGTCTCGACACGGTGGAGGCTGAGGATCATGTTATACGTCAAGCGAAACTGCGACGTAAGGCGTGTGGGTTGACCCAGAATCAATCCTTTGAGTGTCTCGGCCGCAGGAATGTCGCGGTTTTCGCTGGTCGATACGATGATCGCGGTGCCCACAGTGTCGAGGCCGCGGCGACCTGCCCGGCCGGCCATCTGCGTGTACTCGCCAGGCGAGAGTATGCGGCGCCTCGTACCGTCAAATTTGCGGTGGTCGGAGAACACAACCGTGCGTGTGGGCAAGTTCAGGCCAACAGCAAAGGTTTCGGTAGCAAAGAGAACCTTGACCAGCGACTGGGCAAACAACAGCTCCACAATCTCCTTCACAATGGGCAGAAGGCCGCCATGGTGGACGGCAATGCCCCGTGTGGCCATGTCGCGCAGGCGCGTAATCTGTGGCAGCTCCTGGTCTTCTTTGGTCAGACGCGCAATGGACTTGGCGTAGATTGAGTGAATACGTGTCTTTTCCCCCGCGTCGCAAAAGTCCAGGTTGCTGAGCGACATGGCGTATTCTTCGCATCGTGTTCGGGAGAAGACAAATATACAGGCCGGCAGCAGTGACGCCTTGCGTAGGTACCGGACAACGTCAAGCCATAGAGTTTTTTCCTGCGCGATGGAGGAACCGCCAGTGGCCCGGCCGGCGCGGCCCATATGTCCAGGATTGTGTGACGCTCGAGGGGGGCCGTTGCCACCGCCTCGTGCATTTCCGCCGCGGCCGCCACGGCCGCCTCCCCCACGGCCGCTGCCTCCCCGTTGCTGGCTGTTTCCGCCACGTATAGGGATGCCACGGGCCGAACTGCTTCCACCGCCGGTACTGCCACCGCCACCTGTCGTTGTCTCTCCGGAGGCAATCATCTTTGCCTCCCGATAGCCCTTTTCTACCCATTTCCTGTCGGAATCAACAATTTTTTGGATCGTTTTCCCGCTCCATAGGTAGTGCTCGAGGGGTACTGGCCGCTTTGGGGTGTTGATGACATACACGTCTCGTTTCTTGGTGCGACCGACCCAAGAAGCAAACTCATACGTGTTCGGCACGGTGGCGGACAGCAAGATGAGCGACACCTGCTCCGGAAGCATGATGATGACCTCTTCCCACACCACACCACGTTCCGAGTCACTCACGTAGTGTACCTCGTCGAAAATAACAAACTCCACCTCCCGTAGCAGATCGGACTGGCTGTAAAGTTTGCTGCGCAAAATTTCCGTTGTCATGATGAGACATTTAGCTTCTTGGTTGATCTGCACATCGCCAGTTAAGATGCCCACATCGTCGAATATGGTCTTGAAGTCTCGGAACTTTTGATTGCTCAGAGCCTTGATCGGGGACGTGTAGATGGCCTTTGTCTGGTGCTTCTGAGCCAGGGCGATGGCATATTCGGCAACGACTGTTTTGCCCGCAGACGTATGCGCGGCCACGAAAACAGAATCGCCAGACTCGAGATGGTAGATTGCCTCTTTCTGGAACGGATCCAGCTCAAACGGCCACTCGCGTGCCATCTGGCCAGGAATGAGGCTGCGGAAATTCGACGATTCGGCCTCGAGATCGACCATATGAGCCCATTCCCTGCGGGATTTCTTTGCCACCATAGAGCCAAGTGGCTCGCTTGTTTGCAAGGAAGGAAATTCGACAGGCAAGAGCTCGTCCACATCGGCATCAAACCGAGCAATACTTTCGTCGGCGTCACCGTCAACGTCCTTGTCATCAACATTATTTTCGGCCCGTGTCGTGTTGTTTGATCCGTCGGCGGCTCCAGTCTCAATAGCGGCTGCATCATCCTCCACTGAAGATCGCTCAAGATCACCTTCAATCTCCTTCGTCGTGTCTGCGTCGTGTATAGGCATCTTTCCGGGTTTTGGCTTCGGCCTTGGCCGCTCGTCCGAGAACCGGATGCCGCGCTGGAGCCCCGGTGCCACGGCTAGGAGGCCACCTGAGCCTGCCTGAACGATCCTCTGCAACCCAGACGCATCGGTCCTGGTGCTTTCCCTGGCAAGAATGGATTTTTGAAGCCATTGCTCTTCGGCATCGGCACCAGCGCCGTTGGCACTGCCGCTGCCAATCGAGAGTGCAGCGTTAGGGTTGATGTCCTGGTTATCACCGCCTATATCCCTGGGCGCTGCGACCTCTTCGTAGGCGATGATTTGGAAGTTCCTGCCTCCTCGGTAAAAGAGTGTCTGGGTACCGATGTCGGGAGCGTCGATTTCGAACAGGAGCGATTTGTCCACTTCCAGGTCCCAGCGCCTGGTGAACAGTTAGAGGGGAGAAGATAGGGTTCGTGCATGTTCGTTGGTACGGAAAGGAGGTAGACGTACTGTTGGGTTCGTTCAACAAGCTTCTCTGGGATTTCTTTTGGCGGTTGTAGAAAAGCAGTTTCTAGCTGTTTCTTTCGTTCTGCCGAGCTCAATGCTCGACGCCGCTTAGGTCGACGCGTAAACAAAACATTGTCTATGCTTTTAAATTCTTCGTCCTCGGCTCGACAATGAATGGTCTCCATACTTGCAGCTCCGTGCCGGTAAAGAACCAAGATATGTATTAGGTGGCAGCTCCAGTGGCATTTTTCGTCTCTCGTCGCAAAGTAAATAGTGGGGTAATTAAGATGCTGCAAGGGATCGATGCTGTTTAGGGTGCCAAGTTCCACAAGCAGCTGTTAGCTACAGTTAGAAAGCCAATCGCTCAAATTCGTATGCACGCTAACTAAATAATCGCTTAATGTCATAAGCCGTTACACGGCGTTTCGCGCCTCCATCCTCAATATTACAATAAAAATCATGATGCCGCCTCTGCTTCAGCAATTAGGGCATCCAAGTCATAGATATCATCCTCCGGTACCGGTATCCGCGGCGGCAAATACTCTTGGGGCCCGTGAATCTCCATGGCGTCAGCCATGAGGGCGTCGAGTTCGCTCTCGTCTGGTATTTGTCCACGACCTCCGTCTCCTGCGCTCTGTATTTGACGGGCTGGCTGCAAAGAATCGTACGGGTCCTCGTCCAATAGGTCATATGGGACCGCATCTGACCCTTCCATTTCTGCGTTCGTTGGTCTCGCTTGTGGTTGCTGCTGCGGATGGTGTTGATGGTCGGCGCCTTCATCTAGCTCAGTCGAAGGCAGGACTGGCTCACCGTCCAGTTCATCCTGCGCATCCTTGGGCTTTGATTCGTTGATCCATTCCATGCGCATTTTGCCCATGCTCGCTTTGTGACCCTCCTTCTCTACCATGGCGAGAGCATCGGCAAACCGAGCCTTCGGGAACAAGTCGTCTAGCCACAGCTGATACATGGAAAGAAGCCTCGAGGCATTAGAGAACTAGAGCATTTCGTAGTCAGCATTCGTGTCGCTTGACGAGTCTTCCAGTGTGACAATAGTAGCCGGCAACGAGGTAACTTACTTCATGTCCCTTGCCTTTAAGCTTCAGAACGCGCGCTTGTTTGCGTAAAGCTGGAATACCTTTAGAAGAAAGAAGACTGACAAGATGTCAGTCCGGGCGTCTGAGGTGGGTGCAGTCACGGGGTCAGCAAATGGCACTGTACATACCGGGACTCATCGAGCTTCACACGAGGTTCTCTGGCCCGTTTCTTGACAGAAACCTCTTCGTCGATGCCAAGACCGGCAGTACCGTTGCTCTTTGTCTGCTGCGTCCCTGCAGCTTTTCCAGATTGTTCGTCGTCCGAGATCAGGCCGCCAAAATCAGAAAAGTCATCTGGTATGTAATCACCATACGTTTCAGCGGTCCGTTGTGGCGGTCGTTGGACACTTGGGGAGGCCATTGTGATACCGGATGTAAAAATAAAAAATAAAAAATCCCTCCAAAAAACACAGAATCCAGAGTACGGTCGAAAGACTGCAAAATGAACAAGCAGGATGCCGTAACTGGATTCTGTTTCGCTATGTATTGCACTTGTGGAGACGGTGGTTGCGACAAGGTACGACGCGTCTTATTGTCGCGTCTCGTACTAATTGATTTTTGGGAGTAAGCTATCGTTCAAAGAGAGGCCTCGAATGACTAATCCACTGACATTTGATGGAATGTGATTGGCTGAGTGTATTGATTTTCATATTTCTTTTTTTGAGAAAAAAAACTACGTAAATGCTGCAAATCGGCCTGAGGCACCAATCGTCGGTTAGCTTTTCATCCTCGAATGATCACAACGACAAGGAAGCAGAGCCAATTGACAGTGCATCATCGCTTTTCTCTGGCCAAACCATGGCGAACGCAACACCGACATACATCCCAAGCAGGGTGGTCCAGTCCGACTATCCTGTGAGACCGCCCCCCTGTGGCTACTGCCTATAAATACTGTTTCTGTCTGGTACTAACATATCGCGATCTTTCTCGCACAGCTCATCGACAATGACCCGTAAGAGCTCCCCTACACCGATTCGTCCCTCGTATTCGACGACAATGACAGTACTTGCTTTCGTCGCGCGGCGCTTTGCGACCCTTGGCGGTTCCGGTGCTGACCTGCCTATCTTGTCTAGACACTTCAAGCGGGTGATGCGGTATGCCCGCCCGTCCGACTACGCTCACGGCGCAGTTGCGGCAGCGGCAGGGCCCGGCCTGCTCCTGGCCATGGAGAGATTCGCGCCGTCTTATGTCGGAAAGGGCGGCTTTGCACAGGCCATGAGACTCGGTGGCTTCCTTGGTCTTGCGGGCGGTTTTATCTACTTCTACCAACGGTCTTGCTGTACGCTTTTCGTGTCCCCCCCCCTTTGCGATTTCTCGTGACTCAATTGTTGCCTTGTACGAAAGAGGCGTTTGTAAAGGCGGCGATTTTGCAATGCAAACTGCAAACTGACATTCTTTGTGCTTTACCCAGTACGGTTTTACGGTATGTCGGAGAACGCGCGCGAAGTCGACATGGATATGCGGGAAATGGTGGCCAAGGTTAAGGCGGGCGAGCCTCTGTACGGCGAGAGCCGGCTGTCGACAAACATGCAGGGTGTCGCAGCGCGCCAGTCGAGGTATTCGGCGCTGTTTATGCATGTGGTGCCGTGGTTCAACTTCGTCAACCACAACCAGCATGGTGTCGACACCGCAAAGTATTACCAGCAAGCAGAGCGGGAGCTGGAGGCTGAGCGGGCAGGAAAATAAGGAAAATAAGCGAATGGTGTGCGCCTTCGTCACGGGAGGTGGCACGTAGTTGAACGCATAGATCTGTGAGAGATTTGGGTTTCTTGCAGTTGGTCACAAACCTACCATGTTGAGTACGAGCAGGGCAGGCTACTCTTCCATCACAAATGGAATATCCATTAAGCATTTTGTGAACTTGAACGAGCATTCTTTAATACGTCTTGACACCTGCGCGGTGCAGTTGGCACAGATGTGCTTCGGTGTTGTTTGATCTATTACAGACTATTACCATTTCGCTTGCAAGGTGAACTGGGCCATTCTTAGCAATCGCCATTGCTAACCAAACTTTTTGCTGCGCTTTTTCTGTAGCTTTCTCTTTAACTTGTCATTGTTTGACCCTTCTGTTCTAGTCGCATCCCGGCCGGATTGCATTATATGATCGAATACCGACATTAAATCCCCCGTTCTTTCGTGTGGGGATGAATTGAAATAGAAATGCTTTGGAGGAATTAGGCAAGTTTGGGGTTTAGAGAGGGGTTAGTGAGGCGAGGACAATCGTTGTCTAGGCCTATTTGTATCGGACAGCGCCTAGTGCGGCTGGGTTTGGTTCCGGTTTGGCAGCATCCCGCCACTAAATCTTACTTCTTCTTTTGCCAACTCGCCACGATACGAAGGGCTTGCAAAACGTAGCCAAGACACACCTCGTTGACATGATCTACATCACAGAGGCATATTCCAACGACAGGCCTACGGACAAATATACCCTTTACCTTTGGAGGACAACGGCGGCGACGCGGCATGACTCGTTCTGTCATGGCCGGCGGCAAACGACGTCGCGATGAACAAGGCGAATACAGCCTCAACGCCCACGACGGTGGTGCAAGCAGTATACGCGTCCAAGCATCCAGAAAACAAAATACGGATGCAGCCACGACAAAGAGACTAAAGCTGTACCCGGCGTCGCAGGCCAGGAGCGTCCGCGCCACGGGGCGGCGAGGCTCTCAAGTTGCCTCGACAAGTTCCTCTCTCTCGCCAGGCACAGACTGCCTTTCACCGCTCTCCGACGAACTGCTCATTCGCATTCTCGGCAACCTTGACATGACGGATCTTCTCTCCTTGGCTTCTGTCTCGCGTCGGTTCCACTGGCTTGCAGATGATTCACAACTGTGGAAAGCAATCTACTACGAGCGATATGTTCTTCCACGCGCCCTGGCGATCCCGGGATTTCGGGCCGGTCCTTTGATTTCGACAAAAGGAACAACCGGTGAGACAGCCGATGCGGCTACGCTTTTCTCGTTGTCCCGAACGCCAGGCTCCGGGTCGGGCGTTGGCCATGGTACCGCAGACGGCCGTCAAATGCGAACACAATCAAGCGCAGTTCGTGACCGCTTTGGAAGCTGGAATCGAAGCGTGGCAACCAGTTGGAAGCAAAAATTCAAACTCCGGCATAACTGGGCAAGGGGGAAATGTGCTGTGGAGGAACTACGTCCCGACCACGGCGCGGCGTACGACGGCCCGTCTGCATCACGAGATGGAGGGGATGTTGGCGGTGACGTTGATGCTCCAGGCGATGGGTTTCATCAGATGCTGCTCAAGGTGATCGATGGTATCGCCGTGACCGCAGACCGGAAGCGTGGCTTGCGCGTGTGGGAACTGAAATCTCGCAGCCTGGTCGCGACCAGCGACTTCTCGCAGCGAAGCAGGTTTGCGACCGCGGCCGGATCGTTCGGTAAAGCACGCAAAGGAAGCCACTCGGAAGAATACGGTGCAGATCAGGCGCGTGATGAAGCCAAAAGCCATGGCAGGGACGACGTTGCATTTTTGACGCCGAGATCCTTGGCAGTGGATGTCGGTACCAATGTCTTGGACATTGCCGTCGGATTGCTGGATGGAGGCTTCGATATATGGCAATTTGATCTCGCAAAGAAAGCGCTGACGCGGCGCTTTTCACATCCTGCGTCGAGCAGCGGCCCATTGGCGGGCATTGCCTACTCGCACCCCTTTGTGCTCACCGCAACCGACTCCGGACTTATCTCGCTGTATGCATTTGCACCTGAGGCTAAACAAAACGCTGCACAACGGGTGGTTGGATCGTCTAACGTGCCCAACGGCCTGGGACTCAGCGCACCGCACCTCCTGACGTCGTTGCGGTCGCACACGTCACGGCCACCTCTCGCCTTGTCGATCCGAAAACTGGCACTCGTGACGGTTGCATCAATTGTGTACACGTTTTCGACTCGCCAAGGATGGTCAATTGGTATCCAAGATCTACACGTGAAGTCGGACGAGCTTGGAGATGGTGATGGGAAAGAAGCCTGTGGCTTTCGACTGCCTACCGTTGTTGCAACACGCTTGGCCAGCACCTTGCCGGTCCGTACCCATGAGCGAGCCTCTTCGCATGCACGCACAAGACTACGAAGGACAGGAACGCCGTCGTCCAGTCCTCTTCACTCCGAAACAAACCAGCGTTCCTCCGTGGGGCTTGCTCCTATGAAAGCAGCAACGCCTGTGCCTCCATCCGGGCAGAGACACATACATCGGGAAAGTCCGGTTCGGCATGAAGACGAGGTCGATGGCGGACCCACCACCCTCTGCTACTCGCACCCCTATCTACTGGCCAGCATGCCTGACAACACACTGATTCTCCATCTGTGCACGTCAAATGCTTCGACGCTGACCATATCGGCTGGCATTCGACTATGGGGCCACACGTCCGGGATCAGTGATGCCGAAATAACGGCGCGCGGGAAGGCTGTCTCGGTGAGCTTGCGTGGTGAGGAAATGCGTGTCTGGGAGCTTGAAGGGCGGCCCGCTGCCGAACGCGGCCGCAGCGTGGCCATACGGCCACATCTACGCGACGTGGCGTCGAGTCGTTGGAGCAGTGATGATGACGGTAGAGAGTCATTGACGCGCGACTGGGACGAACGCCGTAATTGGGTTGGGTTTGATGATGAGATGGTCATCGTACTGAAGCAGTCGCCCGGTGGCCGAGAAACGTTATTGATGTACGATTTTACGTGAACCATTTAATTTCCATTCTACTGCTAGAGCGAATGAATGCATTTGGATAGCTGCACGCACTTGGAGAGATACCGGCTTCGATAATATACAAGAGTCTCTGAAAGTGTGGGATTGACGCCAGCATATACCATTTTCTATTATTTTTTTCTTTCTTTCTCTTTCTTTTTCTTCTTTTTTTTTGACAGCTGTGCCTATAAATGGAACACTCTGCGCACCTACTCTATCGCCCGCTGTGTGGTGCTGGCCCGCGTCGTTGAAGAAACAAGTTCGCCAGGGATGGATGCGACCAAGACCACGTCGCATGATGCTTACCTCTTTGCTCCGGGCCGTACATGTGCATTTCGGAGGGCGATCGCTATACCAAAGCGGTAAAGCGGGCGGGAAGGCATGCGGCACGGCTACTTGTCGATAAGATAGGATAGGGCTGAAACTAGACAATTTGCATTTCGTGCAGACTGTTCTGCCAACTTCACCGCCTTCAGCTCGACGAACGCGACGGTGGGGGGGGCTTCATGGAAGGTCGAATGTGAAGTTAATATGCAACTGCGACGTACGAACGGCATGGAAGAGTCCTTCGGATCAGAGCCTCAACGAGACGTCCTTTAAATAGAAGAGATGTGTGATTCAGTTTCTAGGTACAATTTGTGTGTGACAAAGAATAAACAAACAAGCCCCAAACAAAAGGAATCAGAAAGGTAGAAAAACCAGGTAATCGGATAGTGCAAATCAGCGATGTGTACTGAATCGAGACGTGAGCAGAATTAAAACAGACAGAAAATACAAGCTGGATTTGGACAAACTGGAGGCTCGAAAGAGACCATGACAGCAAAAAGCACAAGACCAGTTTGCAACTTGGGGCCAAACAAGGCGTACAAACGGGAGGCATATGCTCAGCTCTGGGATACTGAGTAGGATATTCCGAGTAGGATATTATCAGGAGAAGAGAAAGAAAAAGAAAGCTAGTAGCCGAAGTGCGACGCCTTGAAACAATATGGACGGAAAATAACAACCAAGAATAAAATAAAAACAAGCCATACAAGGACGAATAAAAAATGCATATATGAGGTAGATGGAGACGGGTATCGTTGTGTTCTGAGCAACTAACTGGGCTCGTAGGGGTATCAATCGTGAAAATCGTCCGTTCCCAACACGTGTAGTAAGCAGCCAGTGGAGAGCGTGCTCGTTCCGTGGTATGCTGCCTGTACGATCCAAAACAAAGACAAGAAAAATACAAGAAACCCACGAAAACCAAACGTGAGCTAGCCCAAATAAAGGAAAGGTAAAACGCAGGTAAGGCAGGAAAACAAATCGAGATAATGGGGAGAGAGAAGGGACGAATCTGTATCGAAACGGAAAAACGACCGCGTGCAGACGTGCGCCGACTAGATGAAACGGGCAATGTGCTCCAGCTTTAGCCAGCCTACTTTTTCGTAGGCCGTCCAGAGCTTGGAGGCCTTGTTCACGTCGATTTTGCAGGCCTGCTGGGCATCGGTCTTGCGAAACTCCTTGGGCGTGCGCGCACACTCCAGACGCCGTATGAAGATGCGGCGCTTGCTCGTGAGATAGGTGGCACAGTCCAGGCGGAGGCTCGCGGCAAGGCCGACCTCGTCCCGGTGCAGCAGGTGCACGAGGGGGTCGCGCGACAGATCGAGCGGGGTGCCCTTCCAGTCGACTTTGAGATTGTTTGTCCGCTCGGGTAGCGTGGACAGCGGGGGGCAGTAGTCCTCGAGCGCCATAAAGTCCTTGTCCTCGCGATTTGGCGCCGACGTCCGGATTCGTGGCTCCGGGGAGGCGCCGGGCACACGCTTCCCGCCCTGGCCGCCGCTGGATGCAGGACGCGGCGTCCCATTGAGCAGGGGGGCAATGTGTGTTGGGGGATTCCCACGCGGCGTGGTAGCGGTACGGATGGTCCGTTTTGCAACGCGGTTGTCGATGCTCTGAACCGGTTGGAGCAGCGCCATCTCCTCGCGCTGGGAATATGTGGTGTGGGACGGCTGCGATGCTGGGCGAGCCCGTGGAACACGAGAAGAGAAATTCCGGCGCACCGACGAAGACGTCGCTGGCTTCGATGCGGTGGGAGTACGGGAGAGGGAGCGCATGGCCGCACGTCGGAGCTGGTCGTCTTTCTTCAGCTGCTCCCTCTGCACCTTGAGCCAACTGCGCGGGTCCGCCTGGAAATGGCTCATGACATTGGACACCATAAAGAGCGCGGGCATCTCAGAGCTGTGAGGCGGCGCAGGGACGAGCTCGAAAAGTGCGAGGTTGTTGGTTTTGGGGACATTGCGATTTCCGTCTTCTTTGTCTGGGAAGAGGGGGCGAGACTGCAAGGCAGAGGTCGCTGTGTTGTCGCTTGCGGCCGGGAAGAGGATAGGGTCCTGGTTGCCTTGCACAACAGTATCGATCTTTTGAACATGGGGCGTGATGGGAGGTGAGTACAATTCCGGTTGGGGGTTTTTGGCCTTGCTGTCTAGGACGTTGCTGTGGACATCAAAGCTGTCCAAATGTTCGGCCTCTGGGGGCGAGATCAAGTTGCTGACACCAAGCGTCTTCGTGGCCATCGACGGACCGGAACGGCTGCGCTCCCTGGATGTGCAGGCGTCCATGTCGGAGGGGACAATTGGGCTGTATGCAGGATCAAAAGAATGGAATGTGTGTTTCGGTGTGACCGGTAGGTAGGGCGAAGTCTGGAACGATGTGGTGGACGATGCCGTGAGAAGCGAGGAAGCGGAAGAGGATATGGACGAAGAGGAGGCGGACGGCTCCATGGCGATGCTCCTGTCGCTGTCGATGGTATTCATATCGGTCTGCGAAGCCGAGCCAGAACCAGCCGATTTTAAGTTCTGCGGGGGCGAGGTCGGATAGCGAAAATCGGCCATGGCCATGGCAAAGGAAAGCGTGTGTTAGTAGTTGGAAAAGCGCTGCTGGTTTGAAGCAAAATTGAGTTCAAATCGGGGCGCAATTGCTGAAAAAGGGTGGTGATGAGAGCGAGTACCAGCGATGCCCGACGAACGTGAACAAGAGAAACAGTGCACGTTGGCAACGGTGAAAGCCGCAGGGCAAACAATTGTCACGGAGATAAACCGATTCTGTGACCTTCTCCGGGCGAGCGAAAGCTCTCGATCGGAACGAGCCTCAGGTTGTCTCGTCAGTGTCCCCAGGGGATTGGTGGGTGAGACGATGCGTGGCGAGGGAAGCAGGCAGCAGCTGGGAGAATGTGTATTTGTCAGTTGGCAAGAAATTGGCGGAACTTGCGAGCGCTGGCATTGGCGTGGCGCTCGATGTGCGAGAATGGCGACGAGAGGGGGAGGAGAAAGAGTCCAGGTTCCCGGAAACGAGAAGACGGAATTTAAGAAGCAAGGAAGAATGTCGAGACGGATGGAAAGGAAGAAAAGAAGAAGAAAGTGCAGTTGCGTATTTCTAGGGCGTTGTTCTGATGCCTTGGTGTTGGCAGGCGCGGATGCGACTTGGGCGGTTTCCAAGTTGGGAAGGGACGATGACAGCCAAAGTGGCGACGAGCCTAGTGGGGGGCGGGAAACAGCGAGGAAGGGACCAGCCAGCACAATGGAGTGGCCAGTCTTGTCAATCGGGTATTGTACCGTTTCTTTTCTGCTGCAAGCGGAGAGACTGTCAACGTGGCAAAAGACGAGTGAGAGGACGAGAGAAGAAAGAAAGGCAACGACGAATCCAAAAACGTAGAGAATAAAGGGAAAGAGAAAGAGCCGCACGAGCAAGGCGTCCATGAAGGAGCGAATGATATAAGGAGGCATCCAAACAGAACAGCGTTCTACCAGCGCTACGATTCTGACAGAAATACAGACATACAGAGCCAGATACGGAGGATAGGCTGCATGCCCATCTTTTCTCAGTGCTGTGTAAACTGCGAATCGACCTGTCAGGGAGAGCAGAGCGTCGCATGACAGAAGAGCGTTGTTGCCTATTGCGTTCTTGCCTGTTCTGTGTTATTGATAGGGCCCTGGGGGGCCAAAGTGATTAGCGCGGGGTTTGGGCACAGTGAGTTGGTCAGGGGGATTGAGAGGATGATTGAAATGGGAAGGAGGGGGTGTGGATAGAGTAAAGCGTCCGCGAGCACCCACCACCATCGATGTTCTGTGAGAATGCCCTCGACAGCGAACGGTTCCACGACAGGATAAATATGGCGGTTTCCATGTTTCCATGCTTCTGAACAGCACCAAGTTGGGTTGTTGTTTCTAAACTCAGTGACAGGGAGAAAGGCGCGTCCAAGGAAGGTTCTTTCTGTATCTTACCAGCAGGCACGAGCGGCTTGTTATGCACATCCCACCCCTCTCTTCTTCCCGAGGAGTCACAGGAGGCGCATGGGGTTGACTTGTTCGTATGGGGTACCTTTCGTGACGACAGTAGGCGATGCATGGCGGCGGTACCAGAGCAGACGAGGCGCCGTGCTTTAGTCGCGCGCGCTGCGCCGGCCCATTTACACTCCTGTCACTCAAACTCTAGAAGACAAACCGCAGTTCAAGTACAAGTACAAGTACAAGGATGACAGGACAAATGGTGGCCCAGTACGATTTACAACACACCAGGGACTCTTCTGTGACTATTTTCTCGTCTGGCAGGTTGTCAGGGCTGAAAGAGAGACCGAAGGGCGAGTGTCGCATCCTGTGCTCCGTGGATGTGATGCTAACTGCACCCCCCCTCCTCGAACGGGGTTTCTTTTCCTGTCGCGTTGTCCCATTGGTAGAATCATTTAATAGTCATTCGGGCTGGTCACCAGCACTGGTCTCTCCCACTGGTCAATGGCAGCCACCCCATCTCGGCCGACCTGTTAGGCAAAAGACGGCAATGGCCATTGCTGATCCTGAATTCTGGCATTCACCAGACACCGTGTGCTAGGGAGGCGCGGCATGTGAGATAAGATACGAAATACAGCGTTTGCCATAATTTCAAGAAATGGCGCCGCATGCGATGAGGCGAGAAGGAGGAGGGGAGAGGGGTTGCGATTGCAAAAGCCGATTTGGGTGGTCAAGACTCAAGACGCCCGGAGCGACAAAGGCCACTGAGATGGAGGCAACAGAGTTCGCGGCAGGGCGATGGGCGCAATTGACCAAACGCATTGCCATGATCAAGGGCATCGACTGGACAATGAGGAACAGGAGGCAACGATGGCAATCATTGTCGCGCCTCAACCCCGCAAGCCGCGTCGCATGTCCACCAGGGAGTGTTGACGTAGGCGTCCCGCCGTCACTGACAGATACGGCATCGGGAGGTCGCAGCACTTGGGGATTTCCCAATCATCGGCAAGATACACAGCCGTGAACAGCATTGCGGCGTAGGCCGACAAGGGCCATCTTTGGTACTCTTCAGGGCGAGGCACATTTGGAGGTAGTTGGCAGAGTGTATACCCCCGTATTCTCTGGGACTTTTTGCTTCCCCTCTCTTCCGTGGCCATGTAGGCTGCCACACAACGGACAAGTTGCACTTGGCTTGTACTGTTTTTTATTGGGTTGTGGTTTGGCTGATTCGAGAAGATGGTGACATGATGCTGAAGGGGGCGGCGTTAGGCTGCGTTATGTGAATCGTGCAGTCATGGGTTCCGCCGAGGCCAACCATTCAGATGATTCCAACCGCGGGCATTTGGCCTGGCCTCAATGATCTGGCAGTATGTTCCAAATTGTAAAGTGTCCAAATCGAAGGATTTGGTTTGGCACAAGCAAGATGCGGACTGGCGGGAGACGCGGAAGACGGGCAATCTCCATGTTCATTATCTGGAAGACAAGGCCAAAACAGAAAGCAGAAAGCAGAACACAGAATGAGGAGAGAACAACGCGCAAACACCGAAACAAAAGAAAAGAGAACGACATCTCAGTCGTGGCTCTCCCGTTCTCCCCCCATTTCCAGCACACGTCCACAGATGACAGCAGCCTACAGCCACGAAGCGCGATCCTGCACAGCTTCCCACGCCAACGGGCCAAAGCGAGACAATATGCAGTGCCACTAAATCGTCAGCGACGGCAAGTAAATTGGCCAATGACGAAACCATTGGCCAGCATAAGTCTGGCCAGGGTAACAGGGCCTTGTGCTGCAACAATGTTCCAAGCCCTGTTGAACGCCGCGAAGAGTATGAGCTATGGCATATCTCGTACTTCATTTAACCAAGAGTCTTATGTGAGTCTTTTGTGAGTCATAGGTCAATGCAAGAGCGACAAAAAGGCAAGAGAAATTGAGACGCTCAGTGAACTAGATTGCTGAGAAACATACGCGAGAGAACATGCACAAGAGAGAGGAAATAACAAAGTTGCCGTAAGAGAGCGACCAACAGCCGTCACAGCGACCAAGCATACAAATGGAGTCTGAATACAAACGGCCACTATGAGCGCCACCCCGAGCAAGTCGCCCTAAACGAACCTTCCCAGCCTGTCATTCGGTGGATGTTGCATAAATCCGAAACAACATGACTTCTTATGGCTTAGCGTAGGCCCCCCGCTTTTATCGATAAAGGGTCTACAAAATAGAGGGTTCACTGAAGAGGTCGGTAAGTTAGCAGTTCTCCGCCGGAAACATAACGCTACGATTTGTCGTTATGGCATCTTGGGCGACTGAAAGCCGGCCTGCTCGGACTCCGAGTCTAAACTCCAAACTCCAGGCGGCAAGTTCCAGCATCGGCATTTCGTTCCAGCATGCTGATGGTCCTCCTTCTCGCTGTCTGCTCAGTGGCCGGACTTTATCGCCATGCAGAGTTGCCGACGGACCATCGCCTGCTCATGATGCTTCCATGTCGCCCCGTAAAAGTAGTATACGAAGGGTTCGGAAGAGAGGGGATTGGCGGACCCGATGCGCCTCACCTGTGTTGCTGTCGATGTCGAGCAGCCTTGCTGTCTCTACGCGTATCACTTTTCTCTCCGGAACTTCGTTTATACTGGGTAGATTGCTTGATCCATCTGCCAAGCACGTGCTGTGACTGCACACCATCAGAGCCTGCATCGCCCCCTCGTGCTCTTCACTTGTCTCCTCCCGCGCCACACCTTCTCAGTCTCTTTGTTTTTGTCTCGCTGTCCCGTCAGAGTCTTACGAAAGCGTCCCGAGCCAGCCTCCCTCTCACGTATCTGTACAGGTCAGCCGATACGCCAATCGCGCCCCGTTGCGCTCACTCCCCTTCACACTCCCCTGTGTGTTCTATTCCTGGACATCCCACCGCCAACACGATGCCCCATGACCGAGCTTAACTGCTTATCAGCTATCAGCTATCAGCTTATCACCTGCCCAGATAGGGCCACATCTCCTCGTACGAGGTATGCATTGCCAGAGCGTGTCGCTATCTGGTGGTCCCCTGCCATTGATCGTATTTTGCCCGCCTGTACGGGAGATGTGGACAAGATGTGGACGACCCTGTTACTACTGTCTGGGGTTCGACGATTGCGCCAATACCACCGTAGCTGCCCCTGCAGGGGAGATCGCCGTTTGCGATGCTGCCGCATACTGTATGCTGTACGAGACGACAGGCGTCTTTGCTTGGATTCGTCGAGGTGGCTTGAACCTGACGGATCCGGCGCCGACATGTTGCGACAAAGACCGTTGGCGTTGGTCCCCTGCAGAGGGACTCGGTCCATGTTGTCTCCCTTTGCTCGTTGGCCGTTGGTTGGAAGCTGGATGGCGATTCAGTTCCGACAGACCTCGCCTTTGTACTCCCATTTCCGGTTCAACCGTTCTTTGCACAACGTGGCCAACAATTGTGCGTCTCCCTCTGTGTGGTCCGAATGGTGCAGTGTCTTCGCTATCGTTCTCGTCATTGATACGTTGGCAGACCGTTGAACCGCATTCCTTGTTTAAAGACGGATATCGTCTGAGACATCGCACCCACTACAATAGTCACCAGATCTCACTTGCGCCACTTTGTTCTGCCGTCATGACCTACCGTACACGACAAGAATCTGAAACTGTGGATGCCAAATGGCAAATCAGCATCGGGCCTGGTGTCGTGTACAAAGACGACTATTTGCCAGCCTTGCGCTCGGTCGTACATTCTGTCTCCGGCGCTGAAGGTCCGATGCAGCGGCAGTATCAAGTAGCAGCAATACGATTCAATGCCTACTAATCATATCGAAGTAGCGACGGACGCTCGTCTGCAAGCCGTATTTTTCACGACGTGCCTAGTATTCTTTCTAGCTGTTTCCTGAAGGACATTTCTGGCAACGAATTGGGTACGTCCTCATTGTCTTCAGATCTGATGCTATGCGCTTGAGCGGAGGATGCCACAGCCCGACCGACCGCGTGGGCCGTGAACGAGCACCGCCTTTGACGAATATCGTTTGTGAGGAAGCAGGTAGTTCATGTTGTCATGGGATGCTACCGGTCAGACTGTATGGTGATGATTGCAAACCGTAGAAAGGCCAAGGATGGGATATAAATTGTTGGGAAAAATGCCTTTGCAGATATCGAGCTGTTTTTCTAATGTGAAAGAAACGTTTTGGAGCAGCTTTGCTATTTTGATAGTCAAGACAAGTACGTCTACTACTCTTCCGACCTTACACTGAGTCCGGCTCCATACGGGATTTCGTCACGACCATGGGTGGTGATTGTGATCTTCTGATCGCGTTGCCGCGATGAGAACATGACTGCACCCGCCTTACTTCAACCTTGAGAGCTGGACATTGACCTATGCTTCCCTGTTCGAAGCCCACCGTGTCACAAAAAACATATTTAAGAGCAAGGAGAGACGGTGAATAAAGCAAAAAGTCTGTACTTTGACAAACGCGGCATAGCGTTTCTATGGAAGTTGGTGAGTAGAGTGTATGGGATCACCTTTAGAGTCGTTCTTGCATGCTCTCCGTCTAGTATTCTGATTGAAATGCAGCGACCATCATTTGATCATCCGCGACCTGGCGAGAGTTGTTTGTGATACTAATCACAGTTTGTTGATAGAGCTCGTTGCTCGCTTTGCGTCTTGCTTTGCACTATTCTCCGACAGCAGTTCGATCTTGATATGTCATGAAGAAAACGCCCAGGGCGTAGATGGAGGCTTAGATGGCACTTGCTAACAAATTGCTATAAAACTGGACGATATGTACATAGAGTAAGCAACGAGACACCATTCTGTAAGAGTTTACTTGCTGTTTGATTTTATGAAGGTCACGGTGGCCATAGTCTAACATGATGCACTGGATGACTCACCTTCCAGTCTTTGCGCGTTGTTTTGCTTGTCCTAGATTCTGGTAGATTATGCAATGCCATTTTGGTCACGCCAGAACGAGACTGCAACCGATTTCCCGAAGACAGAAGAAACGTGAAAAGCTACGAGGAGAAACAATATATGGGTCGAACCGTAATGAATTCGAACACAAAACCAACTAGCTAAATTATTTGAAGGGTGTTAGGACCCCGATCTGAGAGAAGAGACCAGAGAGAATCTTTCGTGCCAGTTGCGCCAGTTTGATTGCGTTTTGTTTGGCCTTGTACCTTTCACTTTACGTCAAAAGTACATTTTTTTCTATTGATGACTCGTCGCTGTAGTTTATTTACTAATCGATATGAGACGCTGCTCCTTGGTGCCTTTATGTTTCTTGTGTACCATGGGGCAAGAAATGAAGAATGCTCACTAAGCTCGTACTGATGGCATGACAAGATACAGTCAAAAAGAAATGGACGCGCCCGACTCTGCTGTCCCTTCCCTTGACAGGTGACATTATTCCTCTTGTCACAGTTTTCAATGCCGTGATTGTGACACAGCTCATTTGGGGATACCCGACTTTGTCACTGGCCTACTTATGTGCGCCGTTTGTCCTCTTGTATTATTATTTTATTATCTTATTATTATTTTTTATTTTTATACATATATTTGCTTTCATGATTTGGTGTCAAGATGGTTCCCATTGTTTTTCTCGTCTCCAGACTGGAATGACTGGGGTGCTGCCGTTTGCCCGGCGCCGTCGAATGTCGAATGCGGAGGTGGGTCTGCGAAACAACCGGCCAAGTCCCTTTTTGGTGTGCGATAGCCGGTCAGTGACCCGCGTTGGGGTTTCCAGTTGAAGGTCTGGGGTAATGTGGGACGACAGTGGCGGCCTGTATCTCTGCCGACAAATCATAAAAAGAACGTGCGACTCATGGTACGATACTATGTCAAAGTCCATATCGTGACCGCGTCTTTGTGTTATGCGCTCGTAGTGAGCTACATCACGCGATTAAACGTGTAAATGTATGCCGGTTCACCGTTGACCGTGTGCCGAGCTGTATATTGCAACATCGACGTCAGCCTCTTCATTCTCACCTGCTTCTCATAACTTTTACGTCCCTCATCTCTGCCTCCCACTGTTCCCAAGTATGGGAGTATATAGTGAGCGGTGGAAAGGGGGGGACAACGCCTCCCTGCCCGTTATTATGAGTCTGACTACACTGGCGTACGTTGCGTGTCGTGGTTGTTGCTATCGGCTGTACGGAGTCCCCACGGGCAGATTGAGCGGAGTCGCATCTGCCTCGTCTGCCTTGCATCTGGACCAACATCTCACGAACCGAGACGTAAGACACGCCTCGCTGGCCCAGGATGTGCTCGCCGGCCAGCGATGCAGCGATGCAGCGATGCAGCGATGCGAGCGCTGTTCTGGCTTTGTTTCGGCGTACGCTTTGCTTGATTGCCCTGCTTTCCTACGGTCCTCCAATGTCGTGAATTTGCCAACTGTCTGTAGGTGGCCGTGTGTTCGCCCACGCTGCTTTCCGACTCCTCTATCCCTCCAGTCCTTTTACCCAGTTCCTTTCACTCCCCATCTGCCCATACTCGTACTGTCCTCCCTGGCCTTTGTTGACCGCGGCCTACGCGGAGATGAGCTGCGGAGCATTGGGTACGCCGTACTAGACTTTGACTCGTTTGCTTCGTTCGTTTTTTTCTTCCTCTTCTTGTTTACCCTTTGCATCTGTGGAACCGGAGATGTGGAGGCAAGCCCTTTTTCCATTCTGCTGGGTCCTGTACTTTTCTGGGGAAGGCATTCCTCGACTGGAGTATAAGTAGCTGCGTTGGCCCAGGACTCCAACGTTGCTGGCAGTAATTTATTCGGTTGTGCCCTTGACTGTAAGCCTGAGCTATCTCGACTTTCCTTTGCTTTCTCTCCTTTCTTTTGCCTCTTCTCCTCGGTGGACTAGAACTTGGCGATATCCCCATTGTCCCGTTGTGCTTTCTGTTATTACATCCATCACCCTGCCACCGAACCCCCCAACTCATCTACAGCCTTGTGGTATCACGATTGTCATCATGTCTCAATTAAACGGTTCATCTGTCATGGACGAGGAGAAGGGCCTGAACCGGACCCAAACGGCCGTCACCATGTCTCCGGAGTTGTTTGAAAAGGTTTGTTGACACGGGAACGAACAACGCAGTCCTGTCCCCAATGGACAATGGGTGGTCGTCTTATACTGACTGTGTCCGTCCAGCTCTATCTCACACCAAAAGTGCCGCATGCCGGCAACAACATCAAGCGGTTCGCCAACCCGACTCCGCTGGGTTTCATGGGGTAAGCCATGCAACATCCGTCGCCCGGGTGCGTCGTTGGCGTATCGCCACGTGTGTTTTACCCAGTACCCTGAGCGGTCTAACACGGGCCTAGTTTCGTCATCGCCGGTTTCTCTTTCAGCATGATTCTCATGGGCTGGGGTGGCGCATCGGGCGCGCAGCCCATTGTGTAAGTCGCCTGCCGTGTCTTGATGGCTTTGTTGTGTGCTTGGGACGACAGGACATCTAACCATCTACTCAGCGGCATCTTCTTTTTCGGCGCCATGCTTCTCATTGTCGCTTCCATCTTTGAGTGGATCATGGGCAACTTTTTCTCCATGCTGACCATGGGTGTCTTTGGCGTCTTCTGGCTGTCCTTTGGCCTTCTCCTGTTCCCGACGCTGAACCTCACCGCCCCCTATGTGACCGCAGACGACCCGACCGGCCTGGCGTCACCGGCCTGGAACGCCGGCCTGGCCCTGTTCCTGATCGTCTGGGGCTTTGTCATCCTCACGTTGACCATCTTCACGCTCAAGATCAACGTCGTCTTCGTCGTCATCTACTGCATTCTCATCGCCTTCTCGTTTGTCATGTCCGGCTGCTACTGGCGCCTGTCCCATGGCGATGTCCACGGTGCCGCCAAGCTCCAAAAAGCGGCGGGTGCGCTGCTCTTCGCGGCGGCTGCCTTGGGCTGGTACATTACGACCATCATCATTGCCGGCGAAATGCGCTTCCCCTTGCCGCTCCCCGTCGGTGATCTGAGCCATTTGTGGCCCGAGACCAACGTCGCCCTGGCCGACGACAAGCGTGACTAAGTTGCAACTGGATCTTGGGTGGCTGGGGCTATTGAAAGAGTAGGAGTACGGCTGTTGAGACGGGGGCAGCCTTTGTTGGCACTCTTCTTTGGTACTACATGCTGCAAAGAACGTTGCATCGAAGGCCGTTCATCATCTCTTCACAAAGGATATGCTGAAATACATACAGAAAAAGAAACCAAACCAACAATCGCCACTACTGCAGTTGTGTTTGACTTCCACCGGTTGCTTCGTTTGCGTGAATTTGAATAACTTTGTTTGTTTGCGTCACATTGCCTGGCCGTGCCCTTCAGCTGCCCTTCAGCTGCCCTTCAGCTGCCCTTCAGCGTCTGGTTTCAAAAAACGCCTTCCTGTGTCTCCACGATTTACTCTCCTGCCAGCCTGTCCAACTGGTACCCTTTAAACTGGCGCGCCGGCACCCGTTGATCAAAGAGAAGATCCAGCTCTTCGTATGTGCGTCCGGCCGTTTCAGGCACGCGAAAGTAGGTCCACGCGAGGCAAAACAGGGTCAGGCCGCCAAAAAAGAAGCCGACCTTGCCACGCGCATCGGCCTGGTCGGGGTTAATCAGGTAGGGGATGGCCACGGTCATGACAATGCCCAGGATGCCCTGTGCGGCCGTGCTGACGGCGATGCTCTTGGCGCGCACGCGTGTTGCGGAGCACTCGGAGATGATGACAAAGCACACGGGGCCGATGGAGAGGTCGTACACGAAATTCCACACGAGCAGCATGGCGGCCTCGGCCCAGTCGAGGCGGTCGCCGCCGCTGGCCGGGCGCGGGACGCAGTCGAGGATGGCCACGAGAAACATGAGGACGGCGAGGCCGACGAGGCCGGCCACAAAGAGGGTGCGACGCCCCCAGCGCAAAATGAGGAACCACGAGACGAGCGTGCCGACAAACCCCGTGGCCAGAAAGCCGATGCTCATGTCAAAGGCCGTCGTCGTGGACAGGCCGCCGTGGCTGAAGAAGACGGTGATGAAGTTGATCATGTAGATGCCGCTGAGCACCTGGGTGCAGTAGACGCCCGTGGCAATCTCGGTGCGCCGCAGGTTGACGCCGCGGAAGCAGTCCCGGTACGTGCTGCCGGCCTCGAGCGCCTGCTCCAGCCGGTCGGTCTCGGTGATGACCGCCAGGGCGGCGGCAATGTCGACGGACGCAGATGCAGACGCCGACTTGGACGCCGCCAGGCGGCGCAGCACGGCCTCGGCGTCGGCGGTGCGGCCCTGGCGCACGAGCCACCACGGACTCTCGGGCACAAAGAACAGGCCCGGCAGGATGACGGCGACCCAGAACCACTGCAGGGCAAAGGGGATCGAGTAGGACCAGCGGCTGTCCAGGTTCTCCGTGGCGGCCGTGACGCCGCTGCCGAGCAGCTGGCCAATGACAAAGCACAGGTTCACGTAGGACGTCAGGTGGCCGCGCAGGGCCAGCGGGCAGACCTCGGAGGCGTAGGCCGGGGCGATGACGACGTAGCAGCCGAGCACGAGCCCGCCGAGCAGCTCGCCCACGAGCAGCGTGCTGAGCGCGCGCGAAAAGAACTGGATAAACACCAGGCCGCCGGTCAGGACGACGCAGGCGCCAAACGTCCGCTTGCGCCCGAAGCGGTCCATCGGGTAGCTGGCAAACAGCGCGCCAAAGACCTGGCCGATGGGGTTGCCCAGCGAGAGGCCGCTCTGCCACGGGGCGCTGATGATGTAGTCGCCGTCGGGCCCGTACTGGTAGCCAAAGTCCTGCTCGAAGCGCGGCGTCGCAAAGAAGCCGCCGAGGATCTGCGGGTCAAACGCCAGCATAATCACGCCAATGGACACAAACGCCGACCAGCCAATGGCCGCCGGGTATAGGCGGACGGCGTCGCGGAACGTCAGCTCGTGCTCGCGACGAATGGCCTCGGCGAGCGCCTCGGAGGCGACGGCCCCCTCGCCGCCGGCGACCGCACTGCCGCGGCTCTTCGTCTCGTGGACAATGTCGTCTTCGGGCAGCGGCTTCGTCGAGTCAGTGGCCATACTGAGAGTGTGGTATGTGTGTGTTGTCGATCTACGTTATGGGCAAACCGTGCCGTCAGAGAAATAAACGTGGTCGTTGTCTTGCAAACAGGTAGTGGTACGTTTGGATTGCGTTTGTTCATCGCCGGAACAGTCTGGAAAATGGATGTACGGAAAAGTTCAGCCCTCCTCTGTCCTCTGGCCGTGTCCATGCTGTATAGTACGGTGCGATATTGCAGCGTAGACCGCATCCTCTGCCATCCTCTCTCCTCTTTTCTCTGTGTACTTTGGTACTGCTTCTGGCCCCAGTCAGCAGCTGTCTCTGCACTCTTCCCCGCCTTGTGAATGTGCGTATGTCCATCTCGGCTCGTCTGCCCATGAAACGCAATGTCATGGCAGACGGCTGGCGGTGGTTATCGTCCACAACCAGGACGCGGAAAATGCAACTCTAGCTATGCATTTTGTATGCACATTGCCCACGGACGTCGTATTCTTCGTGGACAGTGTGTAGCAGCGGTCCAAAGCCGCCACGGACGTACATGACACGGGATCTCCTTCGTGGTGAAGAGACACGACGGGGGCTTCGCTCGAGTGGGGATCGGTTCTGTTTGCTGTCGAATGGCAATATCAGGTTAATATGAGATAACAGCCAGCCGGGAAGCAACCATTTAAATTGTGACTGTGATTGTAATGTCGCTAGAAATAGGTGCAATGGGCTTACTGCAACGCATTATGGTATTCTTCGGGAAGTTGTCCATTCCACCCTTTTCTTATTTTCTTCCTTTCTTTGCCTTAGTTTTAACCCCTCGCGTCCCTTCAAAACTTGGCTGTAGTGGTTTTGTAGCTTTTTAGGAGGGCTCGCTGCACATTGCACGATTGTCTTGGACACTCAAAGTGGAATGCATTTCATGCAGAAGATACCAACCAGCATGTCGTTGCTGACATAATGCTGCGTTTGTGCCTTCCTCGAAAATGCAGTGGTGGGCGTTAGGCAACAGTGCAAAGACATGCAGCATCGTGTTTTATCCACGGAGTCAGATTGCATCGCTCCTCACGAGCATCGTCTCCAACACGCTGTATCTATGGAGCTGGCAACTGTTGTTCGTGAGCCCTCGGCGCCGCATACGCACACCGTCGTCTTCCTCCACGGCCGCGGGGACAACGCAAAGAACTTCGCTCGGACACTCGGCTACTCATGGGGTTCGGATGAAAAGCCGCTCTACGGTGCCTTTCCCTCGTTCCGCTGGGTCTTTCCACAGGCACCCGTGCGTCGGTCCGCGAATGGGTACGGCATCATGCCCCAGTGGTTTGACACGTGGAGCTCGGCCGACTTCTCCGAGCGCGAGGAGATGCAGGTCCCCGGGCTGCAAGAGATCGTACCCGCGATTCGACAACTGCTCGCCGCCGAGGCGGACAAGCTGGGCGGCCGCTGGGACAAGGTGGTGCTCGCGGGCATCAGCATGGGCGGCGCGACGAGCGCACACACCATGTTCAACCTGGCCATACCGCCGCCGGGCCGACTGGGCGCGTTGATGACCTTTTCGTCGCGCTGTCCCTATGTCGGCCGTCCCCTCGCGGAGCTGCGCGCCATCCTCCACCTCGCCGATGTCCCGGACGACGCGAATGTCCTTTGCAACACGCCCATGCTGCTCGAGCACTGCACGGACGACGATCTCGTGCCAGCCAGTACGGGGCATGCCCTGCGGGACACGATGATCCGCTTCGGGGCGCAGGTGACGTGGAAGGAGTATCCGGACGGCGGACATTGGTTCAACGCGCCACAAGGCATCGACGACGCTGTGGCGTTTCTCAAAACGCATCTCCTTGGGGAAGGACGAGACGAAGCGAAGGCAGAACCAACGGTCAACTGATTCGCTTCTCCAGGTGGACAGCCACTGCCATTTCCATGCAGCCCGATGTGGCTTGCAGAGACGAGCCTTGGCACGGCAATTGACTTTTCAATTTGCTGCTGGCCACTCCATTTTGCCTAAACTAGAGCATCTGCGGTGTCGATTGATTGTTCTGTAACGTTGAATTTTTGACATTGTCTCGAAATCTCCACATTCTCTTTGTGATATGGAAGAACCGTCATTGGCTGCTTGTCATTGTACTCTATTCCCTTTTCCCGGGTGCCATTATGCCTGATCACCCCTGACAGGGTTGGTGGCATATTTGGAGACTCTGTGTCTGCAAAAACGTCTGCTGTCATGTAGCTCTCCCGTTGCGGCCGATCGAGAAATAAAACACACAAATAACAGAAGACTTAGCACACAAATCCGGCTGGTCTTGCTCGTCCCTTGACAGACTCTTGGCTACTTTGGACGAACTTGGCGATTTACAGATCCAATTCTCCCGATTGGTCGTGGCTCAACAGCCTCATCTGTGATGAAGGTTGTAAATAGCAACCAGAACGCGTGGCAGTGAAGAGAAAGAGCAAACGCAACAGGTTACTATTATGTTCAAGACGAGGTGAGGGTTTGCACTCACCAGGGGCATATTTGGATTCAGTCGAGACTCCAATACCACGTCAGCTTCATATCCCCGTGTCTTGCCGCAATATGTAGCCGATCAACACGCAATATAAACCCTTTCAGGACTTTATTGCCGATTCGCAAACTATGGCCTTGCGGCTGCTGAAAAACAGAGTGTCAGGACAGCCTCAACAGCAGCGCGAGGTGGAGAGGGTCGAGAACCAAGCATGAGAGCATAAAGGGTATATCCCGTTGCGATCCCCTCTCGTATGCTGTGTCCTCTCCCATGCACCTTTGTCGCATTTCGACGCATTGTTCTAGACTCGTCGACTCGGACACTGCATCGACTTCTGCACTGTCTGATCGTTTCACAAGCACAATGGGCCACCTGAACATACACACCGCCGGCCTGGCGGCGCTTGCCCTTGCCAGCCAGGCCACACTGGCCTCGGCGGCCGCGATCCACGGCCCTCGCCAGGCGGCCGCCGCGCCCAAGACGGCAAAGTACTGCGACAACTCGCTCGGCGCCACGGTGTGCTTCGCCGAGTTCACGGCGGCCACGTCGGGGACCGTGTTCCGCTTTGCGATTCCCGAGGTGCAAAAGGCGCCGTTTGACACGCTGGTGCAGGTCGTGGCGCCCGCGGCGGTGGGCTGGGCGGGCCTGGCCTTTGGCGGGTCCATGGTGCAGAACCCGCTCGCGGTGCTGTGGGTCGACGGCAGCAAGAGCAAAGGCCAAGGCGTGGCGTCGTCGCGCTGGTCCAGCGGGCACACGCCGCCCACGTCGTACAACGGCGCGTCGTACGACGTGCTCAGCGCGGCGGCCAACGCCACGCACTGGACCATTGACGCGGTGTGCCACGGCTGCAGCGCGTGGGGCACCAACAACACGTCGCTGAACCCCAGCGGCGTCAACCGGATCGGGTACGCGACGAGCAAGACGGCGCCCACGACGCCCGGCAGCAACTTGAGCACCATTGCCATTCACTCGGAAAAGGGCGTCGCGCCGCTCGACCTCAGCGTCGGCAAGGTGGACTCCAACACGTTCAAGCGCTACCTGCTGTACCTGTCGAGCAACCCGTCCGAGTCGGCAGGCGCCGGCGACGGCGACGGCGGTGATGGCGCGTCGTCGGCGGAGGCGCCGGTGCCGACCCTCCCCAAGAACATTCCCACGACCACCATCGGCATGCCCCAGACGCCGCCCGGCCAGCCCGCCCAGACGACATCCGTGCGCCATACCACCATTGGCCCCAGCTACGCGCCGACCACCATTGTCGGCACGCCCGTGCGGTCCACGGGCGTGACGGTGACGGTGACGGTGACCTCGCCTCCGAGGGGCGGCGGCGGGGGCGCACCCGCGCCGACTCCGTGCAACCAGGGTGGCTTTGGCGGTTTTGGCGGCTTTGGCGGCGGCGGCCGGTCCTGCACACCGCCGTCGTATGGTGGCGGCGATAATGGCGACGACGGTGACAACGACGATGGCGGCGACTCGGGCTTCGGCGGCGGTGGCGGTATTTTTGGCGGTGGTGACGGCGGCTTTGGCGGCGGACGCGGTGGCGGCGGCGGTTTTGGCGGTGGTCGGGGCGGTGGCTTTGGCGGTGGGCGTGGAGGCGGCGGCGGCGGCGGCTTTGGCGGTGGTTTCGGCGGCGGCTTTGGAGACAATGGCGATGACTGAATCTGGGATGCGGAAAAAGAGCTGGGAGGCAACCACTGGACGCTAGGGAGTGATGGAAGCTGTGAATGACGCCATTGTACAGAATACCGGCAACCAAGAAACCATCGGCCGATGTTTTTCACATTGGCAGTACTTTCGGATGTTGGACAGAGCCTGTCCTCACAAAAACAAAGAAAATTGAGAGTGAAGCAGTTGACTGTTTTCGTGATGGTGCATCGTCCAATCACGTCCCGAGAGGCCGATGGGAATCATGCTGCTTGGCATGGCCCTCGATAGCTCAGGACCCTAAATCGTTGCGACAATAACACAACCGTCGCGAAACGGTGGCCGCAGCCGGCCAGTTCCGAGAAAACAACGGCCCATTGAGAGGAAGAGGCGACAAATGGGAAGACGGATAACACCTGATAAAATCAGGCCATTTTCCCGGTGCCAGCTGTGATTGGCCCCCGGGAGCTTCCGTAGGCCCAGCTTTTGCTGCTGGAGAATCCTCGGCGTGGTGTGCTTTTCCGATGGGAAAGAGACGTGGCGGAGAAACGAGGAACGAGAAACGAGATACGAATGTCACACATCCCTTTGGTAAACCACTTCTCGGGATTTGACTGATCCCGTTGCGGTGAAGCTTGAAGCAGACGGTCACCTCCAGGGTCTTTTCTCGTCTCTCTTTTCTTGTCTCTTCCTTGCCGCCGTGATCAGAGGCTCTCGCGATGCCGTTCCAACGCCAGTCTGAACGACTCTCGCAATGCTTCTTGTTGCGTACCGCATGGTGGCCGTACACTTTTCATCCTTGCGATGCTTCTTGTTACCGTACCGCATCGTACTCTGCGCACGTTTCATCTGCGGCATGCTCTGCGCGGCTGGCCAAGGACATATCACCTCCCGCAACACGTACCAGATGCCACGCAATGACAAGATGCTTTATTTATCTTGTATCAGCGGACGTGGTGATTGCGTCCATTTCCAAGTCCATTCCACCTCGGGCGCATCGCCCATACAGAGTGCCACCGCTAGCAAATTTCGAGACACCGTGTGACTGCCCCCCAACGCCTTGTATCGTACCGTCCCAGGCCCATTGGATTGTCCTGTCCCACCGAGCATCGTAAGACTGGAGCTTGCCGATGGTTCGGTTTTGCGCATATGCCCGCCGCTGGTCGGGATGGTGGGCCAGGCCTGGCCAGCCCTGTTGCTAGTGGTGCTAGGGTGCAAGGGAGCACCGCTAGTGGTGTTAGTGGCTTCGTCCTTCCTCCAGTAACACAACACGCCTTCCTGCCGGAACGAGCACTAACACCACACTTCAGCCATGAGACAGAACCCTCACTCGGCCAGCATCAAGCCCACACACCCAGGCAGGCCAGGAACAAAACGGAGACGGAAACAAGAGCGGTGAACCCACAGCACACCACGCACACAACAGCACACAAACAGGCCAGTCTGACGTTTCGCGCACAGGTCGATGCTCCGGCTGAGCACTGCCAGACGGAAAGGGCAGGCACGGCTTTGGACGAGTTTGGCAGGGGCGCGCTTCGCGCCTTCCTCTGCCTACTTATATGAAATGTCCGCGATGCCCTTTTCATTTTGGGCAGTCGCGCCCTCTGTACCCAAGCTCCACCAGATACCAGATCACCAAATCCCTAGCACCAATCTCTGACCATTGCGTCAAGTCTACACTTTCATCTTTTCATCATTGTTCACCCCCCACTCAACATCACCTTTGGCGCCCACGCACTATCATGCACGTCTGCCAGCCCATGTCTTCGGCGCCGTCTTACTCTGCCATTGCATATCCTATGAAGATGCAGCTTCAGAATCGTGAAGAACAGCAGAAGCATCTCCAGGGACGGCAGACTCAGAAGCTGCAACAAAAACAACGACAGCAGCAGCTCCAGCGCCAGCTCCAGCTCCAACAGCAACAGCAACAACAGCAGGCACAAGAGTCGTTTTCCGTCTCCCCAGACTCGCTCTACAGCTACTCGTTTGACGAGTATACCAACTTTGCAAACAACAGCTACGGCACAGACTTCAGTGCCGACTCGCCGCTCTCCCCTGGGTCCCCCGTTTCGCCCTCCACGGCCAACCCGTTTGCACCATCCGTGGCGCCCGACGACTTTGATTCTTGGAACAAGACGGAGTCGGACAACCCCGACGGGATTTCCTTCAAGCCCGAGCCCGGCAACAGCCCCCTTCTCTTCGCCACTACGGCCCCGTCTCTCGGCCGGGACCTTGTCGCGAGCGCCGCCATTGACCCGCTCCAGCTGTCCCACGACACCGTTGCCGACGATTTTGCTCTGTCGGTCCCAGAGGAGCAACCAGCGCAAGACGACGGTGCCGACGACGACGCCGACGACGACGGTGACGATGCAGACAACGAGCAACAGGTCTCCGTTTGTCCATCGGCGTCAATATCAGATACCGCCACAGATACCCCCATGAGCCCTGCCACCATGCCGGCCCGGGGCCATCGCTCTGCCGTTCGCAAGCCGTCTACCGCCTCGCGGAGCAGCACCTCGACAACCGCCAGCAGCAATCGGAAGCGCAAGCATGCCCGTGCCACGTCGGCCCAGTCGCGCTCGCCACAACAGTCGCCTTCACCGTCGGCCACGCACAGGCAAACCACTTCGATTACAACCCAGCGGCCCAAGAAGACGGCGCACAACCTCATCGAGAAGCGGTACCGTACCAACCTCAACGACAAGATTGTGGCCCTGCGAGACGCCGTCCCGTCCCTGCGCGTCGCCGCTCGTCGTCGCAACGACTCCACGTGCGGCTCGGACGACGAGGACAACGACAACAACAGCACGCTGGCCGCTGTGGACGGCAGAGATTTGGGCAGCCTGGCCCCGGCCCACAAGCTGAACAAGGCCACCATCCTCAGCAAAGCCACTGAGTACATTGCGCACCTCGAGCGCCGCAACAACGATCTGGCCCGCGAAAACACGGCCCTGCGCGGCAAGGTCGGCGGCTTTGAAGCGCTGATGACGAGCCGCGGCGGCCAGAACGGCGTGTGGTGCTAGCCTCATCGATCGTTTCCTTCTCTTCTCTTCCCGTCCTCTCCTCGTCCTGCCACATTCGAGCCGGATGCCAAATCTGCCGTCTTCACAGCGCCTTGTTGGTCCAACGTTGTTCTGTCGTTTCTTTGCACAGTATTTAGGGCGTTATAACTGTTAGTACTTGGGCTGGAAGGACGCGAAGACTGTCCACGCCACCTCAAGAGTGTATTGGGCGTCATGACTGGACCGTGGCGTTGTATACTTCTTTGGGCATTGTTTCTCTCTATTTTGCTCCTCGTTGCATTTTCTGGCGCAGTACTCGGGACGGTTTAACTCGCAGCTCCAAGTCTTTTGTTTCTGCAGAAACGTGCAATCTGATGTACGAACGCATAAACTTTGTCGTGTAAACACGATTGTCCTCATTCCACATTCGCGTGACCCTTAAAACAAGTTGACATAAAACCCTGCATAATGACGTGCCTAGATTGAATCGAAGAAACGGAAACAAGAATTATGACGATTATTATGACGATTGTAGCCCTGGACGCTATGCTGTGAACCAGTTGCTGCCGAAAAAAAGACTGTCAACCTATACGCCGCACCCCATTCTTCCTTCCGGGCCTATTTCGTCTTCTTGCTGCGTTTCCGAACGCTTTTCCTGTCGGCGTTGTCCTTGCCCGTGGCAACCAGATCGACTTCTTCGCCCTCTGCATTGACGGATTCTGGTTGGATCTCGACCTCGTCGACTTCGTCATCCTCGCTCTCGGCCTCGCTGTCGGCCACTTCTGTGACCTTACGCTGCAGCACCTGGCTCACAATCTTTGTCGCCTCGCCGTCCTCGCCGTCCTCGCTGTCCTCGCCGTCCTCGCCGTCCTCGCCGTCTTCGCCGTTCATAGCACCGCAGCCCATGCAGCGCCAACGGCCGACGTCGGCCAGGCTGTGCGTGCCCGGCGGCGCCTGTCCATTCACGAGACGGCACGCGCGGCAGATGAGCACGAAGCGGTTCTTGGCCGCGGTCTCGTCGTCGCCCATCAGCAAATCGAGGAGGCGATCGTACCAGTGGGACTCGCCGACGGCGGCGGCAGCACCACTGCTGGACGCGGCCGCCGCATACGCATGCGGGCCGCCGGCAACGTGGGGAGGAGGGAGCGTCTGCGCAGGGGTCCCTACCTCGTCGGGACCAAAGGCATTCGGCGCAAACTCGGCCGTGGCGCTCAGGTCCGTCACACCGGGGCTGTGGCCCCCCGCTCCCGCACGCGGCGTGTTCGGCTTGGACGACGCCGCCGGGACATGGCTGCCCGATGGGATGTTGGCCGTGGGCGGTGGCGGCAGACGCGTCCGGTTGGGCGTCGAAGGATTCCTGTCGTCTTGCGTCCCTCCGCCTGGACCACCTTTGCCGCGTTTTTCACCCTGTTGCGCCTTACCTTCGCCGTTGCCTTTGCGCGGTTTGGTCTCTCCCCCGCCCCCGTACTTCTCCAACAGCTGCAAGGTCGAGTCGTATTTGGTGGCGTCTTTGAGTTTCTGAATCGTCTTGGCCCGCTCCTCCTGCTGCTGTTTGAGCGTCGATGCAAGAGAGTCAATTCGGATGCTAAACACGGAGGCAAGGGCTTTGCGCGTGGCGTAGATGCTGTGTTTTTTTCCTTTCGTTAGATAACGATTTGTGGCCACAATGGGCTCGTCGTGCGGCGGCTCACGTACAGGACCGGCCCTCCGGCGACACCAGACCACTCCCAACGCCCCATGTTCTTCCATCCCACGACAAGCGCGAGCACAATGGCGTACACGAGGTAGCCAAAGGTCAGGTAGAGGGTGCTGAGCACGCGTGCGCGCCTCGAGCTGGACCGCGTCCGGTCGAGCTTCGCTTGGGTGTTGGCGATCTTGGTCGCCAGTGCGGAGAGCACTTTCTCAAACGACGCGGGAGAATCATCGGCTCTCTAGGGGTGCCAAGGCAGCTTCGTTAGCTACTTTTCTCAACAGAGCGTCCGACAAGCTCGACTCCAAGATGAGGTTACCTTCCACGGCCATATTGACACCATTTTGCCGGCGTGAGATGTGCAATATCGAAAACCAGTAGTCTGTGATAAAATAAGAAAATGCCCACAAAGTCAGACGGCCCGTGTGGGCGTGTAGCGTCGTCGATGCCGTAGAGCGTATGCAGTGTCGGTGGGCGACTGGAAAGTCTTGATGACGATTTGGTTGCGTGGACTGGAACAAAACGCGAAGCTGCCTTGTCGCAACACGGCAAAATGACTAAGCGCTGTACTTTAGTAGCAAGGGGGACCTGGGCACCGTGCACAGCGCCCTGAGCTCCTTTTCGGCCTAGTGTCCACCTAAAGCTGAGCAGTGAAACCGCCCCAAGAGGATGGCTGCAGAACGAGGGTCCTAGCAACGAGACGACAATACGGGCTGAAGGCATCGCCGTAAATGCAAACCTGGCCAAAACTGTCTTTGTTCCAAGGTCGCGGAACCGAAACCAGGACACGAATATCCACAGATTTTGTTACCGAATAGACAGTCCCAGTCCCAGTCCCAGAGCAGACTATTTTGCCGACCGAAATATCTTTTTCGACTTGTACCTGACCCGACGACGGCTCGAACGTTGAACTGTCACATGGAATCGAAGGGTCGCAAGTCGCATTCCCTGACGGACGCTTGAGAAGGACGACAGGACGACAGGACGACAGGACGACAGGACGGCGAGTTGACACAGACCGAGGGACGAACACACATCATGTTTCAGGTAGGGCCTTGACGATGTCCCGATCCTGGGGGACTGCGTCTGTTGCTTGTATTTTTGTTTTGCTTTGCTGACTGGGTGCCTTCGACCCTTGGGTAGAGAATCCGTGGCGCCATCGATCGGACCATTGCCGAGGAGCAGGCCCGCCAGCAGAGAGCCTCCGAGGGGGTGGCATCGCCAGGCTCAGCATCGCCCAGCCGCCGATCAACATCCGTCTCCCGGACCGGCGGCGCCCGCGGCGACGGCCAAGCGGCACGACGCACGCGCCCGAAGAAGCCAAGCCAAGACACCACCACAAACGACGGTGTGCCCAACGTGGACCCAAGTGTCTTTGAAGATGCCTTTGCCCTCGATGACAACGACGAGCCGGCGCGCTCAGCGACGCCAGGAACGCCCGCCGCCGAGGGAGCGGACGACGAAGACGAGGCCAAGGAAGGGGGCGAGGCGGAAGGCAAGGCGGGCGGCAAGGACAAGGGAAAGTCGGTAGAGAGGCGCAGCGAGGAAGATGACCAGACTGCGAGTGCTGCGACAGCCGGCTTGCCAGGCGACACGTCGCCGCCCTCTGCGACCGACACACCGAAAGGCGCACCAGCGACCGTGGCGTCCAGACCAAAAGAACCAAAAGCCGAGCTCGCTCCGGACGTCCAGGCGCGACTGCGGAAGCTCGACAAGCTTGAAAAGACGTACCCAGAGCTCCTGCGGTCGTACCGGATAGCACATGGCCGCGTGTCGGCGATTGAGCCCTTTGAACGCGCGCTCCGCGAAAACACACCCCTGACGTCCATCCGCGACCCGACCGCCCTCATCGAGTACCTCAACCAGCTGAACTTGAAGAGCGAGATGATCCTGGACGAGCTGAAGCGCGTGACGTCCGACCGGGACGACTTGAAGAAGCAGCTCAGCTTGACGAAAGACGAGCTGGACGCAGTGAAGGCGTCCCAGGCCGATGCTAAGGACGCCGCAAAGGGGTCCGATGCGACCAGGGGCGAGGAGTTTTTCTCCATCGACAGCGAGCTGCCACGACTGCAGGCCGAGACGGCCGAGAAGACGGCCGAGATCGAGAAGCTGCAAGACAAAGTCCAGCAGCTGAATGAGGACCTGTCGGCCGCCAAGGAAGCCAACGCCGAGCTGGCGGAGCGTGTGCAGAGCACGACGAAGGAGCTGGACGCATCCAAGGCAGGTAGCACGTCGAATGCCGCCTTGACCGACCGCCTCCAAGAAACAGAGTCCAAGCTCAAGGCCCTGGAAGACCAGTCCACGGACGCCCAATCCACATCGGAGAAAGAGCTGCGCGCGGAGAAGGAGAAGCGCGAGGCCTCGGAGACGCGCAACAGCGAGCTGGCGCGCCAAGTTGCGTCGCTGGACAAGACGATTGCCGACAGGACCGCCGAAATTGCGTCCCTCACAAAAGAAAACGCCGAGCAGGCTGCCAAGGTGGCGGAACTGAGCAAGAGGAGCGCGGCCACTCCTTCGCCTGCCAATGCCAATGCCACGCCCGCAGCCGCGGCCGCTGCAGCTGCCCCGGAACCGAGCACAGAGCAGCAGACCGGCGGCGGCTCTGGCAAAAACAAGAAGAAGAACAAGAAGAAGAAGAATGCCGGCGGCGCTGCTGGTGGTGCTACTGCTGCTACGACAGCGACAACTGCTGCCGCGTCGTTGGCTGCGGCCGACGAGCCTGCGCTGTCTGAAACATCCGAGCGCACGCTCGTGGGTGGCGCCAGCGACGGCCCGGACGCTGCCGAGCTGCAGGCGGAGGTGGCGCGGCTGCGCAAGGATGTCGAGGCCAAGGACGAACAGATTCAGCGGCTGTCGAAACAACGGAAGACGGAGGAGGACCTGCGCGAGGAGATTGAAACCCTGCGGGAGAACCTGGTGACCATTGGCCAGGACCACGTCCAGGACAAGGAAACGATCAAGAGCCTCGAGAGCGAAAAGGCCGCGCTGGTGAAGCAAATTGCTGAGCTGGAGAAGCAGATTGCGTCGTCGTCGTCAACGTCCCAGACCCAGTCGACCCAGCTGCAGGCGGCGCTCGCGTCGCTCCAAAAGGAGCACGACGACGCCAAAGCCAAGGCGACGACGCTGCAGGCCGACCTGGGCGCCGCGCAGCAGCTGTCGCAGACGCGGTACAAGGAGCTTGCGAGTCTGCGCGAGATCTTGCAAAAGGCGCAGCCCGAGCTGAAGAGCTTGCGCGCCGACGCCGCGACGCTGAAGACGACCCAGGAGGAGCTGGCGGCCAAGACGGCGGAGCTGCGTTCCTTGGAAAAGCGGGAGCGGGAGGCCAAGCTCGACACGACGCGGGCGCAGCGGCTGGCGGCGGACCGCGACGCCGAGCTCAAGGCGCTGCGCGACAAGCTGGCGGCCGAGACGAACGCGAAGCTGCGCCTCGAGGACGAGAAGCGCGTGGCCGGGCGGGACCTGCGGCGGGCCGAGGCGGACAAGATCGAGCTCAGCGCCAAGGAGGAGAAGGCGACGCGCGCGCTGCAGCGGCTGCAGGAGGAGCTGGCGGCGGTGCAGCCGCGGCTGCGGGCGCTGGACGACGAGGTGGGCCAGCTGCGGCGCGAGCAGGAGGCGCTGCGCGAGGAAGCGGCGCTCAAGACGTCGCAGTACACCAACGCGCAGCACCTGCTGGGCAGCATGCGCGACCAGACGGCGGAGCTGTCTGTGCAGCTGCGCGAGGCGCAGGCGCAGGCGGAGGCGCGCGACGAGGAGCTGGCCGAGTGCCAGACGCTGCTGGCGGAGCGCACGCGCGCGGCCGAGAGCATGCGGCAGCTGCTGGCCGGCGTGAACGAGCAGACCGACAGCAAGGTGCGCGACATGCGCGCGCGCATGGACGCCGCGCTGGAGGAGCGCGACCGCGTCGAGGACGAGGCCAACACGCTGGCGCGGCGCCGCGCGCGCGAGGCCGAGGACCTGCGCAGCACGATGCGCGATCTGGAGCGGCAGGTCAAGGCCCTCACCAACGAGCGCGACGACGCCGAGCAGCGCGAAAAGGACTGGCGGCGGCGGCGCGAGGAGCTCGAGCAGGTGGAGGCCAAGGCCGCGGCCGAGGTCGAGGAGATGCGCGCCACCGTCGCGAGCCTCCGCACCGCCCTGGATGCCTCGGAGCAGCAGGTGCGCGACGTCGAAAGAAAAAACGGCGACCAGCGCCGCGTCCTCGACGAGCAGCGCCAGCGCTACGAGAAACTCCTGCGCGACGCCAAGGGCCAGCAGGGCCGCCTGCACGCGAGCTCGCCGTCGCCGTCGCCGTCGCCGGGCCCGGGCGGCGCGCGCAGCTCGAGTGTGGCGGCCGGTGCGGACGGCGCGCGGCACTCGATGGAATCGGTGCGGTCGTCCAATGGCACACCCGCCGCGGCCGGTGCCGATGCCATGTACCTCAAGACGATCTTGCTGCAGTTCCTGGAGCAAAAGGACAACAAACTGCGGGCACAACTGGTGCCCGTGCTGGGGAAGTTGCTGCGTTTTGACCAGTGAGTGCCTTTCGCCCCGCTTGATGTTCGCCCTGGTGACCTTTCCTGTTGCATCTAACAAAACAATTCTAGGGCGGACGAGAAGAAGTGGCTCACGGCAATCCAGCATCTGAATGCTCGGTGATTGCACAGGTGTCTGGCCGCGTTACATGGACATGATGGGAAAGCGGGTTTTGGTTTCTTGTGTCTGTTCACTAGGTTTGTAGTATACTGTATTGCACCAGCTGTTTTAAACGTGTGCACCTTTGTCATACATATTTTTACATTATTTATTACATTGACGTTTAGTCAAAAACTTGGGACAGTTCCGGCTGGCCTTTGGCCTGTCCTTTTGCGTGGAGACTGGCAAACACCGCCTCGGCTTCTGTGCGGCCCAGACGGCGCATTCGGTCGAGGTCGTCGTCCGCCAGCTCCTCCAGCTCGGCCGACAGCGCACGGCCGCTGTGTTCGTCGCTCACGATGCTGTCCGTGCCCTTGCTCTCGCCAATGAGAAGCACATGGCTGTGGACGTAGTCGAGGTGCTCGGGCCGAAGGGGCGTCCATCGCCGCGCCCGGAAGGACTCGCTGATGCTGTTTTGTTAGCAACGAACGGCATGTGGAACAGATTGTGCAAATGTACAAATATACCAATATACATACGCTTTCGGATAGTCTGGCCCGCCGCCGACCATCGAGCCGCCGCCTGGCATCGGGTACGCCGGATTCTTGGTGCTCACGATGAAGCAGCCCTGCTTCGCGGCCAGGCCGAGCTGCTGCTGGACGGCACCGAGCGTCTCGGGCACCGTCAGGACGTAGGCCAGGTGGCTCTCGCGGCCGGTGCTGATGATGGCGTAGATGCCCTCGCCAAACGCTGTGGCGGCCGGGACATGCCGTTGCTTGTCACCATCGCCATCGCCATCGCCCTCCCGGCTTCCATCCCGGCTTCCGGACAAAAACTCCGTTTGCAACTTGTCGTACGACGCGTCGGCCGCGAGCACAAACGCCATAAAGCGGTCGCGCCCGGTGCGCGGCAGCACCTTTTTGGGCAGCGCCAGCAGCCGCGTGTGGCCTTTGCCGTCACCACCACCATCCGTGTCGTCGTTGGCCTGCGGCCGCAGGACGAGGTACGTGCGCGCGACGTCGTCGAGGCTGCTGGGGTCGTCCATGTCGACGCGGGCGCGGAAGAAAAAGTAGATGTTGCCCTTTTCGAGAATGGCGGGCGCGTTCTCGTTGTCCTTCTCGTTGTCGTCCGGGCCGGCGTCTGCGTCTGCATCCGCCCCGCCCTGCTCGTGTGCCGTCTTGTGCCGTTTGCGGCTGTCTTTGGGCGACTGGCTGTGGTCGGCCGGCTGGTGCTTGTCGCCGGCGCGGGCATTGTCGCTGGGCTTCTCGCTTGGTTTCTCGCTTGGCTCATTCTTGACCTTCGCGCCACTGGACTTGGTCGTGCCGTCCTTGGAGTCTCTGTCTGTCTCAGGCTTGCTGCTCACTGCCTTGCCTGGCGCATTCGTCGTCTGAGTGCCGTGTCTTGTCTCAACCATTGTGGATTGCTGTTTTTGGTTTCGCGGAAGATGACATGGGTCGGCAACAACATAGAATGGAAAGCGAAATAAAGTCCTGGATGAAGTCAATCTGGGAAACAAGACAATTGGCCATCAATGGCAATGTACACTAATCAATAGACAAAGGACACAGGATAAAATGTCGCTGTCATGGACTTTGTGTGACGTCACTTTCGGAAATAATTGAAGCCGCAGTGATGGCGTAAAATGGATGTCGTACATCTTGCACCAAAATCGACTGCTGAGTATGCCGTCTTCACGCCGTTTAAGAGTCAGTCGTCTTATTGGACGTAGTTGTATTTGAAAGTAGGAGTCCAAGTGACCCATTGTCAAAAAACCTATGTACAAGATGCGAAACAAGATGTGACCTATATGTCGCCTGCTAGCATTTTAAGACAAAACCAAATGCTTGTCCAGCTCTTTCCTACCACAAAATACCAAAAAACCAAAAAATTTAAAAAACCCAATGGTGAGAGAATGCATGCAAACGGCAAGCAGAGAAAAGGCGCAAAGAAAATAGATGTAGGGAGAGACAACCAAACGCAAAGCTAAAAACAGTAGGCCCTTAGCCTAACTTACACTAGAAATAAACGGTTTTATACAAATGCACAACGTCCCCATCTCTCGCATTACATGTACCAGTATGTGCTGTATGTGCTGCTGTATGTGCTGCTCACAGAGTATATAGCAAGCCTCGAGCCTCGAAGGCTGCTTTCATACCGTCGTCCCGCCGCAGTCGGGGATGACGATGCCCGGCTTGAGGTTGCGGTTGACGTCCATGATGCCCCAGTGATCCTCCCAGTTCTGGTCGCCCGAGTCGTACTGGATCTTCCATGGCTCGTCAAACGCCTCGAACCAAAAGTACTCGGTCCCGTTCGTCAGTGCGTCGCACACCCACGTCGACAAAAACGTGTTGATCTGGGAGATGCCGGCCACGGCCGCATCGGGGCAGACCGTCAGCGTGGACCCGGAGCCGCAGTCGGTGCCGCCCTCGCTCGGCCACCCCGTCTCGCTGATGATGTTCTTGCTCTTGTCGGACTTGAAGAATGCACCGTTATTCGTCTCCCAAAAGTTCCATGTCCAGGCGGCTGCATCATTGGCGTTCACGCCGCCAAAGAACGGGTGGATGTTGGCCATGACGTAGTCCGACGCCTGCGACAGCTCGGCATCCCACACCGTGCCGAGATCCGACGTCGCGACGGGGAGGCTGATGCTCATCGACGACATGTTCGTGCGCACCGACTGCAGCAGCGTCGACAGCTGGCTCGTCGTCATCTGCTGCCGGAACAGAATTTCGTTGGCGACAATGATGCCCTTGAACGGGTCGGCGCCGAACTTGTCGAGAATGTCCCACATCTGCGCGAGCTGCCGCGCGTTCGTCGTCTGGTTGTTGTCCTGCCACACGCCCATCCAGATCTTGACTGTGTCCTGCAACTTCAGCTGGTTGATGGCGTGGATCGCCATCTCCGTCTGGTTGCAGTCCGTGCCGTACAGGCGGATCGTGTTGGTCAGCTGCGACAGCACGGCGATATCCCGTGTCACGTTGTTTTGCGACGGAGGGTTGGCGAGACAGTCTGGGAACTGCGTGTTGATGGGCGTGTAATCGACGCCGGGGAAGATCTTGTGCAGGTTCTTGTTGTTGAGCAGCTTCTGGATCTCGGGGCTGTTGATGTCGAGATCGCCGTTCTTGTTAGTGTCACCAGAAGCAGTGCCAGACGAATCGTTACTACCGCCGCTGCTGCCGTCCTTCTTCTTCAGGACAACACCAAAGACAACGCCCAGGACAACGCCGGCAATGACGGCGAGCGCGATACCAATGATAATGGCCCACTTCCAAATCTTCTTGCTGTGACTTTGTTTGGTGAGCCATTCGGACTTTTCGGGGACGCCACCGCTGCGACCCAGGTTGTTATATGCGCCGCTGTCATATCCACCGCCACTGCCACCGCCACCTGCGTAGTGAGAATGGCCGTTGTTCAAGGCATTGTAGCGTGCACCATTTGACGAGGCGACGCGGTCGCCCATGAGGCCATCCGGAGAACCCCCCATCCCTGGTGCATGCGAATACTCGCCTGCATTGCCGTGTGCGAGAGCCGCAGTTGCTGCCGGTCCTGCAGCTGCCGCACCGACAGCGGCAGCACCAACAGCCGCCGGACCAACCGCACCACTGGCAGTCCCGCTACGGCTGCTTTTGGTGCTGTAGCCAGCCAAGCTCAGCATGGACGTTCTTGCATTACGACTGCGGCCGTACTCCAGGCCGTCGTCGCCATCGTCTTCAATCTCATTAGGGTTGACATAACCAAGTGACGTGTCGTGCATGGAGTACCGGTTGTACGGGTTGTCCGTGTAAACGTCGCCACCGAAATTGCCGTGCGGGCTCCGTGACGGCGTGCGCGTTCCCGGTGTCCCAGCGCCCGGAGGATACGCCGCACCGCCAAGGCCTTGCAGGCTTGACCTCGAGTCCCTGTCAACGTTGCGCCCGCCTGAGCCTCCATACGCCGGACGGAGCATCTGTGGTGACGGCTGGCTCTGCTCCGGCTGGTCGTATGGGCCATTGTATCCGCGGTATTGTTGCTGTTGCTGTTGCTGTTGCGACTGCGACGGGTAGGGTCCAGCCTGGTATGTGTGTTGAGGATACCCCGGTGGCGGGGAGCCCTGATAATTTTGCTGCATTTGCTGCTGCTCTTGCTGCTGTGGTTGCTGCATCCCACTCATGGCCGCGACTCCGCTCTCTCTTGGGTTACGATCGGCGACGCTGTAGGCAATACCAGCCATGCCACCCGCGGCAGACTCGCTAAAGTTGTCGGCTCCGGGTGTGATGTTGGACGGCGGCGGGAGCGGCGTGGCCAAGGGCTGGCGCGTGCCGCCGTGCGGCGGAGGTGCAGGAGGCGAAATGGGGGAGACGATGTCTGCCGCTCCGCCAGCGAGTGCTGTCGTTCGGAGAGGCGCGGCTGCGCCGAGCTGACGTTGGGCGGCGAGCTGGTGGTAGGCGCTGTCCGGGTGGAAGACGGGGTTACGGGGCGTGCGAGAACTGGACGGCGGGTAGTGGTTATGTTGTTGACGGTCTTGCCGTGGAGACGCCTGCGCTGGTTGTTGGTAGACAGGCGCCTGCGGTGGTTCGTCGTAGTAAGGTTCGTGCTGTTCCAGTTCGATGTGCTGTTGGTGCGGTTGTGTTGTTTGCAGGCGGCGAGATCCTGGGGAGCGCTGGTTACTGGTATTGTCGAGAGGCTCCTGTTCATCCGGTCCAGAGGACTCGAAGGAATATTTGCGAGGCATGGTGGTGTTAAAAGGGAAAGAGGACGAGGGCGAGGAGGGGGTAGGGGGTAGTAAGTCCCAAAGCGGAAGAGAAAACCGGTTTCAGTGATCAGGCTGCTCCGCAGCAAATTAAATATGACAAAGTAGAGGAAGACAGGAGGAAAATAGATGGACGCGGCGGCCAAATGGAGACAACGCCACAAGGTAAATGGCGAGACAGTCGGCTCAACCGATCAACACTGCCTGTGTACGAGGCGGCAGGAGAGTTAAGTTGGGGGGGGGGGGGGGGTGCCAGGCGGGCTGTTTGGCTGAACGGTCCAGTCTGTTAGCATCAAAGTCTGGCTGAACGGTGCATGCAAAAAGCAAAAATACTTGAGACAGGTCGCACGACACCGCCAAATGGAGCGCCGGCGGGCGAGACGTACAGAGACAGCAAATCTAGTCGCAGGCGAGGAGGGTCATATCCGCGTTCCCCTTTCTGGCGCTGTCATGGGACGAGCTGGCAGTCCTGTTGTACGAAGCACACGAGTCGTACGGAAACGTCTGCCAGGGCGACAAGAATGACAGCATACAACTGCCAGGTTCTCAAACCTTAACGAGGGTCGTGTTAAGGCTTGGCAAAATGGCCGGGACGAGCAACGGAGCAGCGTGGGTTAATGCGCTCGTAAAAAGATCGATGCGGCTGTTTGAGGCAGAGAGAGAGAGCCCGCCAACGGCAGGACGAGTGAGCTCTTACCACCTACAATGGCGGAAACGGGGGAAACGGGCGAAATACGAGGCTGATGTGGCGTGAGTAAAAACGAAATGAAGAGCAAAAATAGAAGTGCCCAAAGGGGGGTGTCGAAGCAGGAGAAAGGGGAAGCGAACGATGGAACGAGCAAGACACTCGCGACAGATAATGAGAGACGAGACAAGACAAGACCAACAAATGCAGGAGGAGAAATGACAGGCAGTCGAAAGGACGAGGAGAGAGAGAACGAGAGCGGATGAAAGTGGATGAAAGTGGATGGAATCGACTGGGGATGCAGGGCGGATGAGACAACACCAGGACCACGAGCTTACCTTTGCTGTGTCCAGACTGGGGAGAGACTGGGGAGCGCTCGTGTTTACAACTTTCGAGCGGCGCTGGATGGGGTTTGTCGTCTCGTATTGTCGCTAGTTGAGCCTCTCACTACTAGCGGATGGCTAGTGTTTCGGGCGACGTTGCAATCCTGGACCAGCGCTGGGTCGTGTTTCCTGCAAGGAAGAAAGCCTGGGTTCTTGGATGCTTTCAAAGTTTGATGCGCAAGGACAAAGAGTGACTGCGAGTGTGCGGCGTGAGGAAAATCGTGAAGAAAATCGTGAGAGAAACCGTGAAGCTTGAACTTTTGGGTTGTCAATCCATTTCCCTTGTTTCCTGGTGTTGCCCCGGGAAAGGGGGGCCGTTTAGGGCGATGGACGAGGCTCTCCTCGACCTGCTTCAGACCCTGGACAAATGCAACCTTGGTTCGTGCGATTGTGTTTTGGTGGTGCTGGGGTCCCTGGGTCCTTGATGTGTGAGGAGGCTGTGCAGAGTACGAAAAGGCGAAAAGGACCCAAAAAAAGAAACCGGGGCAGAAAGGGCTGGAATGGGCTGAACAGGACCGTACCTCGCAAGGCCGCCCCGAGGCTGACAGTGTCCAGAAAAGCTCGCTGTGGGAAGGAACGCCTCGTACTGTCCGTAATGTGCGTAAAATTACGACCAACGCCGTTTCGGAGAGCAAATAACGAGAGGATCGTTCCTGTCGGTTTCAGACGAGGGGGATTGGAGCGCTTGGCCAAGAGGAAGGAACACGACTGTTGCGAGGGCACAAAAACGCGTAAATATGGTAATGGCAGGAAAGAACGACTGAACAATGAACGCACGCCGAGGAGTGGCATGCTTTACTCTTTTACGTCGTAATTACGCCCTCGATGACATTTTGAAGACCAAGCCCAAGCCACCTGAGGAAATACAAAGGCTGGGCATGATCGCCGCCCAGAGGAATGCTGAGCCTCGTGGCTGCCAGAGCGACGGCGACACGCAAGGGAACTGACGTCGTGCGTCTCCTGGCAGTGGAAGAAAGCTGGAGGCAGAACGAAAGGCCCCTGGAGCCATCAGAAAAGTGCCTGGCGCAGCGGCTGAAAGCGGCTGGCGGTCATATCGTAGAGTACCGATACCTTTTGGTATGTGTGTACACAGCGGTTCAATGAGTATCAGTACATAGCTAATTTGGTACAGTCCAATTTAGCAACTGGACGTGCGCTAAAACAGGGGAGAAGTGGGTGTAGGTGACGATCGGTTGGCTGAGCGACCGAAAGTGGTAAGAGCTAAGCGCACGTGCGTCGTGGCACTGAGACGACCGGAGCGACCACAACTGCGAAAGGAAGACCAATCACACCAACGGACATTCTTGCAAACGTTCAAAATGATCGTGAGTATCATGATGTTTACGGAATACGCTGTACATTCAATTCACCGTCAACGAACACCAGTAACTTCGGCGCGCACACATCTACGGGATATCTCTTAACAATCAGACAACGAAACACCAATCGACAGCCACCTCACAACAGCCACCGTCACCACTCATATTTGCGGCGGCAAGGAGAACCCGAGACTGGCATCGCAGTCGTTCCAGTTGCAGGCCGTGGGTGTCATCAGGAGAAGCAGCTCATAGTTGCTCCACTCTTTGCGTGCGCTGTCAAAGCGTGTGGTTGGCGTGCCGGGAGGCGCACCGCGGGCGCCCAGGTCGTCGCCGTCATCACCGACGGAGGCACACGCCAGCGCCTGGGACAGGCTGGGCGCTGCTGTGGGGGACCCGAACGAGTCGGTGGCGCCGCCCCACGGGACGCCGCGGGCAAGCTTCAACTTGGCCGCGACGGGTCGCCCCAGCGTCACAAATTGGAACTGGCACAGTAGGTACTCGAGCGTTTTGTAAAACACCTGCAACTTGGGCGCTGCGCGTGCTGCCTCAATGTCCGTCCGGGTCGCCTCGTGAAGGCCGGCCTGCAGCCGGTGGAACCGGACCAGTTTCGTGCCCGTCTTGCCGAGCTTGCCGCTGCTGATACGGCCACCATCCCGCTTCAAGGTCGCGTAACCCTCGTGGCTCAGACGGCCGGTCTTGATGGTTGTCAGCGGGGCAGGGTTGGTACCCTCGACCAGGATGGTATCGGAGCAGCGCGGGGATGTCCACCGCTGAGGCCCCTCGCCGGCACCGACCGGGCCTGGCTTGATGTGTATGTTCTCGAATGCGCGCGTGACATCAGTCGGCCTGACCGCTGTGTCAATGGATATGTGTTGTTCGGGAGTATACACCGCCTTGCGGAAAAGTGGGTTGCTGTCGTCGTGCCTCACACAGCCAAGATCGTCATCGTACTCAGTGCAGGAGGTGCGGTTCATCTCCTGTTCACCGACGGCGGGCCGGAAGAAACGGTAGCCGCGCGCACGGTATTTCTGGATGCATGTTTTGAGTTCTTTTTCTGCTTTTCCAAACGGCACATGCCAGACCAGCGACATCTTTTGCCGAGCCAGATCGTAGTAGAAGTGGCCGGCCGCCCAGCCACTGATGAAGCACTGCACATGCGTCGCATAATACGTGTCGACAATGTACTCCAGCGGTGTCGACGCCTTGTGCTTGTCATGGTGGCACTGAAACAGCTGCACCTTTTGGCGCAGGCCGCCCGGCGGTGTGATGAAGCCGTTGATCAAGTGCACTGTGTTGTTCGGCGCGTAGCCGTAGCCGTGGTAGGCCTCGGGCCCGGTAGGGACAATGTCGGCACCGTCGACCTCCTCGCTGGTCAGAGGACGCCCTGTGTGTGGGTGGAAGCCGCGATACTGCATGTCCTGTAGCAGGATCTCTTCAAAGGCATAGTTTGACCCCGGTTCACTCGAGGCAGGAGGATGGTCCTGTACGACTTCCACGTTGACCCACGACCGGGCATCCGGATCCGTGTGCACGTAGACGAAACTGTGCAGTCGCCGGTACAGCGCGAGGGCCTCGACGGACAGTGCCTCCGGCGCGTCGCTGGCCAGGTGCGATGGCAAGATAGGCATCACGGATTGCGCCCGGATGAGTGCCGACGACCCGGCCGGCTTGCCGACCAGGCCAAACAGTTCGGCCATGGAGTCCTGCCACCGCACACCGCAGCGGGCGAGGGCGTCCATCATGCCAAAGACGCTGCCTTTGTGGCACGGCACCAAAAAGTCCCAGTCCGAGACGGGGCCGCCGAGGGACTGTCTCGGATGCTCGATGGACCCGGGCACAAAATACTCCAGCGCGCGTGACCCAGACAGAACACAGCCGAAGTCGGTCATGGCGGCCAGCAGATACCGCGCATATTTGAAGGTGGGCTGCAAGTACCGCTCTGGGTCGAGCCGCGAGTGGCAGGCCGTCCGAATGCGGCGGGACATCTTGGCCAAGCTCAGTGCATCGCCGGCGCTGAGGTACCCGATGATCTGCTCCAGGAGCTCGAAGCTGAGCTTATCCATGGCACTGGGTAGAGGGTCGCCAAGGACGAGAGTGGCAAGTCGAGAGGAAGGAGAGAGAGTGTGTGTGTGTGTGAGAAAATGCAATCTGATACAAGATGCGAGAAATGAAAAGCGTCTATCTAATTCCATCAAACCGGGCGACAATCCCAACAAAGCGACGTATTTCCCAGGGAAGCAAATGCAAGGCAGAAAGCACGGTCATGTCACCCCGGTCGATTAGGCCTGGCTAGCAAAGGAGGCGTCTGATTTGGCGCCGCCATGATGTCACGTGCAACATTTGTGGTAATGCAGCTGGAAACACGGATCTTATCAACAACAGATAACTGATGTCAAGGGTGTTTGAGGTGGAAAGCAGATAGAAAAGAGGGTGATAATGAAGTTGTGTAAACAAAGCCAGCCTGCTGAATAGCGCTTCAACCGGGTGGCGATGTTGTTCGGCTGTCTTTGTAGTGGGAAATACGGAATGGTTGTCCCACTTTAAGTTTATCGATATTCTATCTTTATTTTTATTTTTTATTTTTTATTCTTTTATTTTTTTCTTAAAAAACTACTGTCGATAAAAACAATAAAAACGAACATTTGACACACCACAATCATTTCTCAAATCATTGGTATAGTCTGAACAATATAAAATCATTTCCGGTATTTATTAAAACCCTATTTCTTATTCCATACACGAAACCCACAACCTTCATGTAGTCCAAGTCCATCAAAACAATACGCCTTAGCGTGTTGTGTAGCCGCCGTTGGGGAAGATGGTCTGGCCGGTGATCCAGCCGCCCTCTGTGACAAGGAAGCGGATAATGGGCGCGATGTCCTTTACATCGGTCAGGCGGCCGCCCATAGCCTGGCTCTTGTGAAAATCGACAGCCTCAGGCGATTCTTGGGGATAAAAAAACGGGGTATCAATCGGGCCCGGACCAACTGCGACGACACTGATGCCGCGCGGCTGCAGCTCCTTGGCGACGCCGCGGGTGAAGTGCTCGACGGGGGCCTTGGAGCCGGCGTAGGACGTGTAGAGGCCGGTGAAGGCGGCGAGCAGCGACGTGACAATGGTGACAATCTTGCCGCCGTCGGACACGTGCTTGGCGGACTCCTTCAGGATAAAGAAGGCGGCCTTGCTGTTGGCGGCAAACATGTCGTCGTATTCCTTCTCGGAGATGTCGACAATGGGCTTCTTGAGGACCTTGCCGACGGTGTTGACGACGATGTCGATGCGGCCAAAGTCCTTGAGGACGGCTGCAAAAATGTCCGTGACGGCCGAGGCCGTGGTCAGGTCGGCCTGATAGAGCTTGACCTTGATGTCGGGGAAGGCGGCTGCGAGATCTTTCTGGGTCTTTTCGGATTCCGCCTGGGAGCCGGGCGAGTTGTAGTGGAGCGCAAGGCTGGCACCGAGAGGCGCGAGCTCACGGGCGATGCCGGCACCCAGGTTCTTGCCGCCACCGGTGATGAAGGCAACCTTTCCCTTCAAAGACATGGTGAATGCGGGTCGGTTATGGTGTGTGGTGAGGTGGTGAGATTCGGGTGGGATTGTTTGTGGGGTTCGATGATCGCGACGGACGTCTTGGATGAGCTTAATCAAACAGCAGTTGCTGATGGTGGATGTTCAATGTTGCGATGGAGATGGAAGAGATGGTGGAAATGCAAAGAGTCTCTCTCGTTTGACGATTGACGGGTGCGAATGGACAAAGGCGCTTTTATACTGCGAGAGTACAAGACATTGCGTAATAGACATCATGTAGCCTGGCACTTTGCGCTTCTAAGCGCACGTATCGCATCTTTTTCGCCCAATTGAGTCGAGCTACAGTACATCCGCCCGAAAGAAAGGTGCGGCACATTACCAGAAAGCTAAGATCTACTGTACCGGCCGAGACCTGCGCAGAGAGGTTTGTCGGAGCTGGACGGATTGGCGCGTTTGGTGGTCGGAATTAGAGCAACAGAGTTACGCCTAATCCGGGTTTGAGCAGCCCAAGACGCACTCGGCGACGCAGATCTGCACGCCACCACTACCAAGATAGCTCCTGTTGGTTGGGGATGAATCACACACAATTCCATCGCCCTTCACCAAGCCCAAAACACACGTACAAAAAAGCCCGTGGCTGTCGTGGCGAGCTGGAGATACCAGCAGTACCAGCAGTACCGACAGTTTCGGTGGTAACGGGGCCGAGGTCGATCTCCGTGTTCGATCTCCATATGTATACATTGCGTCAAGTCCGTGCTGCATTGCGCTCAAAAGGTGTATCATTGCGGGCTATGTCTGAACTAAATCACTTTTACTCTCCCTTCACAACCGGGATATCACTGCCGCTCACAACTTTGAGAACACCGTCGCCACACTGCCACTCATCTCAATGAGGGTGCTCTTGTTGCGCAGCCAGGCCTCCAGGCCGCGGCGGCCGTTCTCGACACCCAGACCGCTCTGCTTCCAGCCACCCACGGCCATCTCGGCCGGCGACTCGCCCCACGTGTTGACCCAGGTGATGCCGGCTTGCAGGGCGCCCACGACCTGCTGGCACTGGTTGAGGTCGCGGCCAAAGACGCCGGCGGCCAGGCCCAGCTCGGTGGCGTTGGCCCGCTGCACGGCCTCGTCGACGGTGTCGTAGGGCAGGATGCACAGCACGGGGCCAAAAATCTCCTCCCGCACAATCTTCATGTCGTCGGTGCAGTCGGTGAAGACGGTCGGCTGAACCCAGAACCCGTCCTGCAGGTCGCGGGGGACCCGGGGGATCGTGTCCGGGCGGCCCAGGCCGCCGTGCAGCAGCGTGGCCTTGTCCGTCTCGATGCCGTGGCGGACGTACGCCAGGACCTTGTCGCGGTGCGTCTGGCTGCTGAGCGGGCCAAAGTTGGTGGCCATGTCGAACAGGTCGCCCGCGCGCACGTGCTGCATCCGCTGCAGCAGGGCCGCCTCGAATTCGGCCTTGCGCGCCGCCGGCACGAACACGCGCGTGCCGTTGGTGCACACCTGGCCCGAGCTGTAAAAGTTGGCCATCATGGCGCCGTCGGCGGCCTGGTCCATGTCGGCGTCCGGCAGCACGACCAGCGGGCTCTTGCCGCCCAGCTCCATCGTGACGTACTTGAGGTGGCCGGCCGCCGCGCCCGCCACACGCCGGCCCGTGCTCACCTGCCCCGTGAAGCTAACCTTGGCAATGGCCGGGTGGGCGGCCAGGGCCGCGCCCACCTCGCCGGCGCCGTAGACGACGTTGAACACGCCGTCCGGCACGCCGGCCTCCTTGTAGATGCCGGCGAGCGACTGCGCGTGCAGTGGCGTGAACTCGCTCGGCTTGTAGACGAGCGTGTTGCCGGCGGCCAGGCACGGCGCCGACTTCCAGAGGGCAATCTGCAGCGGGTAGTTCCACGCGCCAATGGCCGCACACACGCCCAGCGGCTCTTTGGAGGTTTGCACAACGGCACCGCCGGCCCCCGGCCGCAGCGCAAAGTGCTCGCCGTTGAGGCCGCCGGACGCAATCAGGCCCGCGTAGTACTCGAGCACGTCGGCGCCCGTGACGACGTCGACCGTGGACGTCTCGCTGTAGGGCTTGCCCGAGTCCAGGGTCTCGACGCGGGCGAGGGCATCGTTGCGGCTGCGCAAAAGGGCGACGGCGCGGAGAAGGATGCGGGAGCGTTCGATCGGGGGGGTGGCTGACCAGCCGGGGAAAGCAGCCTGGGCGCTGGCGACAGCAGCATCGATGGCCGCGGGAGACGACGTGTGGATGCAGGCGATGGGCTTGTTCGTGCCGGGGTAGATGGAGGCGAAGGAGGAGGTGGACGAAGACGGCTGGGGCTTGCCGTCGTAGAAGGTGTGTCGGTCAGGTTCTTGAGGCTGGGACATTGTGAGTTTTCTGTGCGTGATGGGAGCGGTCGAGGAGACGGTCGAGACGGTCGAGGAGGCAGTCGAAGGTAGTCTCATGCGGATCGTCGACAACGTCCAAGGAAAATAAAAATAATAAAATAAAAAAAGTAAAAAAATAAAGACGGCGTTCAAGTCGAGATCAGCAAGGAAACTGTCCCAAAAAGGCAATCAGAAATGATGGGCAACTGCCAAAGAAAAGATAGGATCCGTATTCGGAGACCGCAGCAAATTCCCGTGGCGGGAAGAAAGATTGTCACCAACCGCGAGTGGCGCTGTTTCAATACGAAAATTTGGTGTCGTATTCCTCCGCAGTAATTCGTAGAGGAGATACGAGGGTAATTACATACGCGAGGCAGAGGAGGCAGAGAGAACATCACAGTACGAATACGCAAACAGTGAGGGGCAGGCGGTTGAAAGAGCGGGTGCAGTGACGTCACAGCGCGCTAGAGAGCAAAAAAAGTCTGCAGTACGGAGTTACAGGGTGTTTCGTAGCATTGTTGTGCTGCAGAAATGGGGCTAAAACGTACTATGGGGCGGCGGCGGGGCCGCTATTTGGACCAAAGACCCTTTTGCAAGGCTCTCCACTTACAAAGGATGGCGGCGACCCCACCTGGTACAACTGCCTCGACACCCTTACAAGACACGCCCAAACGGCAAACACCGTGCGACGACGACGTGCTGGAAGAGACAAGAGCCGACATGAGATAGCTAGCATATTCCCGGTCTGCAGCACAGTTGCAGATGCTGTCCAGTCGGCGACCAGAGGAGGTCAAGTGGTGGTGCCAGAAAAGCTTGAACGGTGAGCCAAGAAAGGATGCAAAAGAACGGGCCAAACCAAGAAACGACAAACCCACAAACCAACAAACCAACGGTCTCTTACTTGCGGGGACATCATTGCCGATACGAAGCGGAGGGAAAGGAGAGGAGACGCTGCAGCCAGGATGGCTCGGTGTAATATTAGCGTCAATGTACCTGCTGTCACCTGTCGCGTGTCTTCGACCAATGTTGACCGAGATTTTTAAGTTCTCCATTGGGAATGCGTGTGGTTTGTGTAAGTGTTAGTGTGCGCGAGTTTGAGTTCAAAGAGATCAGCGAGCAGGGGACCGTTGTACCTGTCATTGTTTTTTTTTTTTTCATTTTTAGACTTTGTTTTTAGTCTTTGTTTTTCCACTCGACTGGTACCTTTTAAAGTTCCGAGTTTTGCTGTCGTTTCACAGCGTTTGCTTCGCTTCTTGTTCTTCTTTTCTTTTGTCTTGCCATTCTTCTTCTGTCTGTTCTTCGTTTGACCGGTTTGTCTGTCGTAGACAAGCTTCACATTGAGGTCATTCCCATCTTCTTCCCGTGCTGCTTCCCGTGCCGCTTCCCGTGCCGCCTGGACCCTGAACTGACGTGATCGGACCCCTCTTCGTCCTCGACTCGTCTACCTGCTCTACCCCCCTTCCCTTCGATAGCACGACAGCCAAGAGCGTCTGCCTCCCTCACCCACCCACCACCCATCATGACGACCACCTACGTTGCTCCGTCGCAGGTCGACGACTTTGACTATGTTCTCGTCGGTGGCGGCACTGCGGGCTGCGTCATTGCCTCGCGCCTCGCCGCGGCTCTGCCCCAGAAGAAGATCCTGCTCATTGAGGCCGGCCCCAGCGACTTCATGGACAACCGCGTCCTCGACCTGCGCCAGTGGCTGGCCCTGCTCGGCGGCGAGCTGGACTACGACTACGGCACCACGGAGCAGCCCATGGGCAACTCGCACATCCGCCACTCGCGCGCCAAGGTCCTCGGCGGCTGCTCCTCGCACAACACCCTCATCTCCTTCCGCCCCTTTGCGTTCGATCTCCAGATCTGGCAGTCCATGGGCGCCAAGGGCTGGACCTTCCCCGTCTTCATGCGCGCCCTCGACAAGCTGCGCAACACCGTCCAGGTCGTCCACGCCAACCACCAGAACCAGCTGTGCAAGGACTGGGTCGCCTCCTGCAGCGCCGCCCTCGATATCCCCGTCATCCACGACTTCAACCGCGAGATCAAGAGCAGCGGTGCCCTGCGCCAGGGCGTGGGCTTCTTCTCGGTCAGCTACAACCCCGACACCGGCCACCGCTCGAGCGCCTCCGTCGCCTACATCCACCCCATCCTGCGCCGCGAGGAGCCGCGGCCCAACCTGACCATCCTGACCGAGGCCTGGGTCTCCAAGATCAACGTCGCGGGCGGCGACGAGGTGCTCGGCGTGGACGTCCGGCTCAAAGACGGCTCGCTGCGGACGCTGCGCGCGCGGGTCGAGACCGTCTTGTGCGCCGGCGCGGTCGACACGCCGCGCCTGATGCTTCTGTCGGGCCTCGGCCCGCGCGAGCAGCTCGCGCCCCTCGGCATCCGGGTCGTCCGCGACATCCAGGGCGTCGGCAAGAACCTCGGCGACCACCCCGAGACCATCATCATCTTTGAGCTCAACAAGCCCGTCCCCGCCAACCAGACCACCATGGACTCGGACGCCGGCATCTTCTTGCGCCGCGAGCCGCCCAACGCCGACCAGGGCCGCGCGAGCGCGGCCAACCCGGCCGGCCTGCCCGACGGCGACATCGCCGACGTCATGATGCACTGCTACCAGATCCCCTTTACGCTCAACACCGAGCGCCTGGGCTACGACGTGCCCAAGGACGGCTACGCCTTCTGCATGACGCCCAACATCCCGCGGCCCCGCTCGCGCGGCACCCTCTACCTCACGAGCGCCGACCCCAACGTCAAGCCCGCGCTCGACTTTGGCTACTTCACCGACCCGGAGGGCTACGACGCCGCCACGTTCGTGCACGGCATCCGCGCCGCGCGCAAGATTGCCGAGCAGGCGCCCTTCAAGGACTGGATCCTGCGCGAGGTCGCGCCCGGCCCCCAGGTCCAGACCGACGAGGACATTAGCGAGTACGCCCGCCGCGCCGCCCACACCGTCTACCACCCCGTGGGCACCACCCGCATGGGCGACGACGCGCTGGCCGTGGTCGACGAGCGCCTGCGCGTGCGGGGCATGCGGCGCGTGCGCATTGCCGACGCCGGCGTCTTCCCGACGATCCCCTCCATCAATCCGATGCTGACGGTGCTCGGCGTGGCAGAGCGGTGCGCGGAGATGATGATCGAGGAGGCCAACGGCCGGGCCGATGCGCGGCTGTAGATGCGCGGATGCTTTTTGTATATATACCCTGTTGGAAGGGCGTCCAGCGGACGCGCAAGCTATGACCGCAAGCAATGAACCGCTTTTGAAAGCTTGCAAGTGAACATACGTTATGATAGCCATTCAAAAGTAATACATAGATTGTGACATATTGCCATAAATAGGGATGGATGGAAAGCGTATGTAAAATTTGGTCATCACGTTGTTGAACCCACACGTGATGATCTGGATCGCGACTTCCTTTTTGGGAGAGCTCAACGCTACTGCCCCAGCCCACTAAACCCCCAAACCATAATTTTCACGTCAACTCTCGACATCACCAAAACGCATTCCTATATCCTATAGCCATGACTGCATGAACAATGGCACCCGATTTTGAAGACCTGACGAGCACCTTTGTCTTCACGGCCGGTCCGCGCAATGCCACGGCCGTCTTGGCTGAGCTGCCCAAGGGCCTGCCAATGGACCCCGCCCGCCAACGACAGGGCCACCGCAAGTCGACGTTGGGCTGCGACAATTGCAAACGGCGACGAGTGAAAGCAAGCCATTCCCCTCAATCATGTACCCTATGCTGGCGAACCGTCAAAGGCGGTGGCTAACGAGACCTTCCAGTGCAACGAGGAGGTGCCGTGTGCGAGCTGCCGGCGCCGTGGCGAACGGTGCGAGCGGCCGGAGAAGGCGAAGCCGGTGTTTGAAAAGAGGCGGCAGCAAGCCGTCCCCAAAAGCATGGCGACCATGGCGCCGTCTACTGCGTCGGCACGGGCATCGGACTCGGTCGTCAATTTGCTGCATCTCAAGCTGTTCCACCACTTCCAGGCACACACGGCCGCGACCCTTGTCTTTGACGCATCTGCCTGGGCCGCCGCCCTGCAGCTCAGCGTGCGCTTCGAGTTTCTCGCAAACGCCGTTCTCTGTGTGTCGGCGCGGCATCTGGCGTCGCTCTCTGGTCCAACTGCTGCCCCCGAAGCGGCCGCCTACGCCGCAGCCGCTGCCAGCCACCTCTGCCGCGCCCTTGCCGGGCTTCGCCAGGAGCTGCAGACAAAGGACTTTTTCACCGCAACCCATCTCGACGCCTTCATTGCGACGTCGACCTTGCTCCAGTTCGAACTGTGGTCGAGCACGGACGTTGCGCCGTCGAACCACGGCCGCCGAGCCGGTTTGGACATGGAACGGGACCGGCTGTTCGCCTTCAGCGCCAGCCTCAAACAAGTGTTTCTGCAGAACGTGCCCGAAGCGCTGCGTCACCAACCCGACTCTGTGTTCATGCCGTACATCCGGCGCAATCCGGCCACTGCCTTGCACGAGCATGCCCGTATCAGTCACGACACGGCGGACGCGTACCGTGCATTCTTCGCTCCGCGTGTGCCAGAAAAGCGCCTTGGGTCGATGAAGGAGCGCTTCGACGAGACACCCCCTCTGCTCCTGCGACGGAAAAACGCATCTGCAGCGTCCCTGTGGACACCAAGAAACGACCCCGGCACCACCAACACCGCAGTCTCGGCCGAAGACGGAGGCTACGCACACGTGCTTGACGGTCTGTGTCTTCTCATGTCGTTTCTTCCAGAGAACCCATCCTGCCAACCAGATGCTACAACCCCTGAACCGCCATCTGCCCCTCTACAGGCCGACCTTGCACGATGTGTCTTCTCCTTCCCCATCCTGTGCCGTGGCACATTCGTGTCTCTGCTGCGCAAGAACGATCCGGATGCACTTTTTGTGCTCTACCATTTCTACCGCACCGCGCGCCTGATCCTCCCAGAGCCAACATGTTGGTGGGCCCACGGGCGTGCTGTCATTATGGAACAGGCGCTACACGACTGGTTGGAGACCACGTGAGTGTGTGCGTGCATACCGTTGAGGAGTTTACTTTTATCTCCGCCGCCACAAACACAATGTCTCCCTGGAGCTGGGGCCATCAGGAGTCGTTTTAGCTGCATCCCTTCGTTGAAAGAAGTTCGTATCGCTATTTTAGGACTAGCGTCTTTTCCTCTTACACGGAGAAGAGCAACAAAGCGACAATAAAGACGGAGCATACGAATTACCGAAGAAACGGATGACTGCCCTTTGGCACGTCGCCCCAATGCTTGTATATAAAGCTGTCGTCCGTTTCCAACATTTGACAAGACATGACACTGTGAATGACATAAGTCAAGTCTCAATAAGGATATACAGCTCACACCACCTCACCGGACTACCTTAGCGACTTCGACACAATGGTTGCCCTTCGTGAGGCTGTTGCCTCCAACCAGCGCATTGCTGCGACGTTTCCCAAGGGGCTGGTGGCTGTGTTTGTCGGAGGCACAAGTGGTGTTGGCGAGTACACGGTCAAGGCGTTTGCCAAGTACACCCGCAACTCGCGGGCCTACATCATCGGCCGTTCGAAGCCCAACGCCACTCGCATCGTGGCCGAGTGCTGTGCCCTGGGGCCCAGCAACTCGTTTGAGTTCATCCAGGCCGACATCAGCCTGCTGAAGACCGTTGACGACGTTTGCAGGCAAATTCGCACGAAAGAGACGGCGATCAACATTCTGTTCCAAACCCAAGGATCGATGGCGTTTCAAGCAGGTGCGTTCCTTTCGCTTTGTATTGATTTGCCTTGTGTGTGTCCCCTCGGCTGCATTCTAACATTCTGTTCTCAGTCACCTCGGAAGGTCTCTCGCTCGCCGCTGCGCTCGGCATACACTCTCGCAACCGCTTCCTTCTCAACCTGCTGCCCCTCCTCCAGCGCGCCACGACCCTGAAGCGCGTGGTCTGCGCTATGGCGGCGACGTGCGAGGGGCCCATCGACCTCGACAACCTCGGCGGCGTCGGCTTTTCGCTGTTCCGGCGCCGCGACCAGCTTGCCGCCGTGCAGACGCTTCTGCTAGAAAAGGTCCAGGAGACGGTCGCGGGCGCCGCCCCTGTCGGATTTGTGCATGACGTGCCGGGCGTCGTGCAAAGCGGCATCACGCGCGACGCCGAGGGCGTTGGCATGAAGGTGCTCATTGGCGTGACCAGCTTGCTGGGCCCGCTGATTCGGACACCCATTGACGAGTGTGCCGAAATGCATCTCTTCTACGCGACGAGCGCCCGCTTTGCCTCCTCCGCGGGTGGTGTGGCCAGCGACGGCGTCCCCCTGCAAAACGGCCTTGGCACAGCTCGGGGCAGCATCGGCAAAACGGGCAGCGGCGTGTACACGATCAACACCAAGGGGGAACCTTCGCCGCCTCGTGTGGAAGAGGTCCTGGCTGGGCACCGGAACGACGGCACGGCGACCAAGTTGTGGGACATTGTCCTGGCCGAGTCCAAGAAAATCACGGGCAGCGAATGGCTTGCGTGAGGCGGGGAGCCCATGGTCTTTTTGCCTTGGGCAAGAAAGGGATGTACCCATTGTCTTTTATTGCATTCGAGTTTGGGACTTGCGTTCTCGTGTTTTCATACTGTCGTAGTGCACAGTTTCTCATTTTCATATTTTCCACGTCCTTCTTCTGTGTACAGACACCAAGCCTTCGTGCCACGAACTTGATCTTATCCATGTTATCGCTCGGCGCCATGCCTTTGTTCTATTGTTCTAGATTGCTGGTAGGACAATGCGACCCTTCCCAGTCTTGCATCGGCTTGCGTCTCTCAGTGAAAGCACTCTGATGTGCATTGTGATGGCCGGCCGGGCTTTCTTTGCGTAGTTGATATAAAGGCGCCCCTGCGAAGAGTGCGCCCCAAGGCGCCAAACGTCGAGGCAATACGCTTGCCGTCGACGCCGTGCCTCTGACGAGGCGGGATGCTGGTAACAAAGCACCACAAAGAGCCCGTCCAATGCCGGTCCACGTTGTCTGCCGCAGCGCAGGCTTTGGCAGGGGATTCCGCGGAATGAGCGTATGGTCGCGCAGAGTCCAATGCGGATGCGCAGTTACCATAACCAGGGTGTAGGCTGTACACAGGTGTTGCTGACGATTCAGGAGTCGTTTCAATACACTACTCGTCGACCCGCGCATGCGCTTCATTCAGGACAGCCCTGCGGCCTCCATGGGCCAGATCATGTGTGCCATCCACTCCACGGGCATAATGGAGCGAATGCCGCGCACCTCGCGCGTGGCAATGGGCTCGCGGCTGTCCTCGCCGCCCAGCCACCAGACGCCGCCGGAGGCCTGGGAGAGCTTGGAGATTTTGCTGACGGCGGCAAAGAAGTGGGCCAGGACGACGAGGGCGCGCGGGCGGCGCTCGCTGACAAAGTCGACAAAGCGCGGCGGCATGACCATGGTGAAGCCCTGGACGCGGCGGCACAGGACGTAGACGGGCTCGCCGCGGCGCATGGACAGCTGCAGCGAGCCGACGTAGCTGAGCGTCTTTTCGTAGGCGTCGCGGGTGGCGGCGTCGGCCCAGTCGTCGCCGGAGGGCAGGTCCTGGGCCAGGACGGCGCGAAAGGGCGCGCGGTTGCTGGCGTCAAAGTAGGACTCGTCAAAGCCCATGCGCGGCTGGGCGTTGGCAATGGTCAGCATGACGGACTTGGAGGCCTCGCCCGTCTTGAGGATGGCCTCGATGCTCGTCCAGATGACGGCGCCGGCGCCGCGGCCGAGGCGCAGCCAGTCCATGGGCGGCGTGTAGGTGTCGATGACGCGCTCGTCGAGCATGGCAAAGGACTGGACGAGCATGACGAGCGAGGCCAGGCAGACGGCGTCGGCGCTGTCGAGCGTCAGCGTGTCGACCATGCGGCGCTGGACGCGCATGGCGGCGACCAGGTACGCCTGGCGCGCGCGGAACAGGGTGTGGTTGCGCGGCTCGCTGCGCAGCATGTGCGTCGCCGAGAGGGACAGGATGGCGTACAGGATGTTGTCGTAGCGCAGGGCCAGCGGCGGCACGGTCTTGGTCCACAGGTCGTTCCAGTCCTGCGACGGCGAGGCGGGGGACTGCACGCCGAGGTTGTAGAGGTAGTTTTGCATGAGGCGGTGCTCGAGCAGGCGGCGCGTGCGCGACTCGGGCAGGAGGCAGTCGTTTTCGGCGTCGGTGGCCACGGCGGACGGCGCTGCCGACAAGGACGAGGACGAGGACGAGGACGAGGACGCCTCTTCGGCATTGGACCACAGCTGCAGCATGGCCGAAAAGTTGTGCGCGTCGTGCTCCTGGGGACTCTGGCCGTTGCCGGAGCTGGCGTCGCCAAAGTCGGTGCCGGTGGCGGAGGTGCCGGGCGAGTGCAAGGGATGAGACTGGGAGTGTGCGTGGGAATGCCCGTGCGGCTGTGGCTGTGGCTGTGGATGCGAAGGCGGGTGAGGCGTGGTCGATGCGGCCGATGTGGCCGACGTGGGTGTCAGGGAGGGCGAGATCTGGGAGACAGACATCGGGGCGGCATGCGGTCCCGGGCGGCGCGTGGCTGCCGGGGATGGGAGCTGGTGTGGTGGCGAGCAGCGGCCGGGCGCATCAGCCGTGGGCCAGGCGCAATCGAGGCCGAGGCGGGAGCAGTTGCTGCACACCGGCCGGACCTCGTCGCACTTGACCCGCCGCGTCTTGCATTTGGTGCAGCCGTTTCGCGACTTGCGGTGGCCCACCTTGGCGGCCCGCCGCCCGGCAGGTCCGTCCATTGTCATGCGTCACGGGCGCTGTTGACGTTGGCGATCGGATGCGACGGAGGCGTGACACACGGGGAGGTCTTTCGCGTGTTTCGCAGCTCTTGGGAGTGTCCGCGCCCGGTCCGAGTTGTCGCATGCCGAGGTGCACAGTTTGGGCCTTCAACTCGCAGTATTTGTCGGCATTGATGGCGCCCGTGTGGTCAAACCCATGCGATCGTTTCTTTCAGTAGCGGAAGACGACCGTTAGGCCATACGTCAGTTCTGTAGGCAGCTAGCATAGCATATAATAAATGTGGGGCCATGCATGGGCCATCACGTAAGCTGTCGTCGAGCGGCATCATTCAGTGTGAAGCCTTCGAACGACAACGGCTGCCAAAGCTGTTTACAGAAGTAAGAAGCATTACTGTAAAGCGCAGCTATTTATTGATAGAATACTTATTTATGGTACAGTCCTGTGCAACGAGCGCTTTGTGCACAGTCATTGATAGTGCAGATAGCATGTACGGTGTATATGCTATGCAATTAAAGAGAATAGAACTAACCACACAATACGCGTGGAGCCTCGGACGACATAGGACCATTGCGGGCTTGGCGCTCTCCATTTTCACTTACACAAAGGCGTTCAGTCGAGAACCTTAGAACAACGTCCCTCTGAGCCTGAGCTCAAACCAAATCCACCTTACGAAAAGGCCCGTTTACACGTCTCCGCTGCAACACGCAATATGGCACCACAATTGACCTGAACCTGCTTTTTATTCATTTTACTTTATTTATTTTTGTGTATATGCATATCTCGGACAAACGTTCCGCTTTGGGTTGTTTTTCTCTTTTGCCTCAAGGTGGGATCTTCGACCCCCGCTCAGAGCCTCGTTGTCACGCTGTTCAGCCCTTTCCAGCTTATCGGTGTCTGTTTTTCACAATCTGAGACGGCCTTGGCTCTGTGTTCGTCCTTCCATTGCTTCCATTTCCACTATTTATTTCTTCCATACCGCACACTGCTACGCTGCTGCATCTGCCCAAGGCCGACCAGCTGCCTCTTTCAGGTTGCTTCTCAGCTGTTCAGCAGTGTGCGGGCCCACCCGCTGTACCTGGCGTTAGCGTTGTATTGGTACACGATTCTGCGCCAAAACTGGGGCACATCGCCATGATACGCCTTGGCTCTTTTCTTTTTCCTTTGGCGTGGTGGTTTGTGCGCTGTTCGCCCTTCCTAAACAGGAAGCTCCGTACAGGTCGAGTTTTCAAACAGGGTCCCTCAAAGTATCAAAAACGTTCTCAACAACTTGCAGGCCGTCAAGGCCCAGTTCGGTGACTTAAAACGGGTGGAGACCGGTACATAGACTTCGTCTCCGTGAAAATAGGGCGTAGGGCAGTTGGTGCGTCTTCGCCGATGTAAAGGGGCTTGTAGGTACTGGTGAGCATGTGAAAGTCAGGCCGCGATGTACTTGAGAAGAAAAATAAATAACAAAATACAGAAATAATACACACACACACACGCACACACAATAGAAGATACAAAACGCCACAATACAAACTGCTGCACACTTGACACCTCCACCCCCTGGACCCGTAATTACATTGCCTGTGAAGATGAATGGAGGTTTCTTGCAAAAGCCTCATCGGAGTCAAGTCGAGAGAGCATGTGCCCACCACCCATCGCATTGCCTCTCGTCCTCTGGAAAATGGACAGCTGAGGGGTCTGTGCACGTCCGGTCGGGGACTGTATCAATGTATCATCGTACGAACGATTTGCTACCTGACCGCATGGTCGGCATTCAGGGGTGGCGGAAGCAGTTCGTGCTCCGCGGCTGGCGTTTGTCTTGTCCGTCCAGTCGTCGTATATAGGAGTGAAGATGCTGTCCTTCTTCGTCCTTGGCAGTCTGCTTTCTTCGGTCGTCGTCGAAGTAGCTGGCCGCACGTCGCCTACATCAGTGTGTCGCCTCCGTTCGTACTTGAGTCCTCCGTCTTTTGACTACACGCCCGTTTGCCACCGTCGTCATGGATGACCGTGGGCCGCAGTTCGCCGCTGTCCTCGTTGTCTCTCTCGCACTGAGCATCGTGTCGACCATCCTGCGCTGCTACTCCATGGCCGGTCTCCTCAAGCGCTTCTACCTTGAAGACTGGTTGGCTGTTCTTTCGTTGGTACGTCCTCTGCTGTCAAGATGTTCGAGCCGTATTGGCGCCCGTCACACTCACACGTCGCGTAGTGCCTCTATTGCGTGTACACCGCTGCTGGCCTTCGATGTGTCCATTTCGGCGTCGGCCAACACGTCGTCAATGTCCCGCCCGAATCCCGCGTGAACGCCGTGCTCTGGCGCTGGGTCGCCTCGCTGCTGTACATTGCCATCTCCACCCTGTCCAAGCACGTCGTCGGCCTCTTTTTGCTGCGCATCTGCTCCCACTGCCGCTGGCAGCGCTGGACCATTTTGATCCTCTTGGCCGTCGTTACCGTCTTCAACATCTTGTACTTCTTCTTCGATGTCTTCTCCTGCCACCCCGTCGCGTATGTATGGACCCGCTACGCCAAACCGCCGCGTCCGGCAACCGGCGCCAATTGCCATGCCGCCTCCTTCGCCACGGTCACCATATATGTCTCCGCCTTTCTCAACGTCGTGGCCGACTGGATCCTCGCCATCCTGCCGTGCTACCTTGTGTGGCAGGCCAAGATGGAACTCCGCAAGAGGCTTTCGGTTTGCTGTGTCCTCGCCCTGGGCTCCGTGGCGTCCGTCGCCACGATTGTCCGCATTCCCTATGCCAGCGGGATCTTGAACCAACCGGATTTCCTGTACAACTGTACCGACATCGCCATCTGGAGCACGCTCGAGATCGGCATCGCCCTCACCGCATCGTCGCTGGCCACGCTGACGCCGCTGTTCCGCAAGATAAAGTTCTTTTCAACGACGTATGCGACGTCGCGCACGGGCGGCGAGTCGGGTGCCACAGCCAAGCCAGGACGGTTGCCATCCTCGGTGCAGACAGGCGCACAGCGTGGAGAACGCAGAGGTACAGAAGAAAGCAGCCAGAACCAAGAATGCGATGGCCATCGTTGGATGGGGAGTGGTGATGGCGATTTTGGGTCTGATCTCGAGTTGCAGCCCATGGAACAGCTGTCGTCTGGGAGTGATCGTCGTCTGAGAGAGACCCTTGTGGTTTGAGCAGCTGCAGCTGCACATGCGAGAGTAGACTAGAAATAAAGCAACATTTGAACGGTATCAAACAGGTGGACAGCGTTACACGAGAAGTAGGTCCCTTACTTTGCTGCCCCAGAACAGGTCGACGTGCGGCGATGCTTTGTCCCATGTAACGTAGTGCCCATGGCCAAATCGCTCCCAGGCACCTGGCACTTTTGCTGACGGCCGCAGGGCCAAAAAATAGACGGTGTGCGAGCCAGCCTCGCGTCTGCGGAACACTTGCATGAGCATAGAAAGGCCGGGGACGAGTGTCGTGTGCGGTGTGGCTGTCGCCATAATGTTGGCGTCAATATCCTGCCATGCCACGTCGTCGCTCGGCCACACACGGCACGTGCTGCACCATCTTTCCTTGGTGGTTCGGCCAGGTTCGTCTTCCTCGTCGACGATCTGGCGGATGTGTCGACCTCGGTTGTATTGGCAGCTGCGGGTCAACCCATTGTCTGTGTCGACATCTGTGGCGCTGCCGTTCGTGAGTAGCCACCGCTGCCGCACGCGGGTGTTGTGCGTTGAATCATCTGCAACCCAGCACGGTAAATCAGGGCTTTCCATGAACACGTCAGGAGTCTGCACGTCATCGCAGAAGACACTGTATGAAAAGCCATTGCATGCGCGCACAATGTTGGGCCGGGACACAAGGGGCCGGGCACGACTTGCTGGACCGCCTTGACCGGATATTGTGTCCGCAGGTGCCATTGTGCGCACGGCAGCCGGCACAACAGTTGCCGTCAGCGTCACGCCAGTGACTTTGGCATTTGTCTTCACGATGGTGTGCGGTCTGAAGTCGTGGACATGGAGCAAGCTCTCCGTATCTTCCGAGTAGATCATGGAATAGCCCACAGGTGCATCAATCGAGGCCCAAGACCATGATGGGGCGTGCAAGTCTGGAGACTGCCGTCGCGTGGTCGGCTGTTGCGGACCAGATGGTGGTGGAGTTGACGACGCAAGGCTGTTTTGCGACACCCCCCACATCAGCTGCTGGGCGAAGTCGGCGACAAAGAGGCCTTCGACGTAGGCTGTCCGGATCACGGTGTTGTCGAGGCTGAGTGGCGGAAGGCGAGACACGGGCGCACCACCTTGGCTGGACATGATGGTCCCTTCCACCATGCGGGCCAAGCCGTCCATGGCGATAAGCTTGTCCGAGAGGCGTGTCAAACTGCGTCGTGAATATTGCTCCACAAGCGACATCCAGTTCAGCTTCGCGATCACGCTTCGACCATCGTTGCTGTTGCTGTTAGATGTCTTCTTCTTTATGTCGTCGTCGAGAGAACGCAGGCTGCGGCCCAGCATGGGCAGATGCGGCGCTTCGAAACCGGTGGTCTCACCACATTCACAGTGGTGTGTCGTCTGGCATTCCCAAGCCATTTCGTACTCGAAAAAGTGCAGGATCCGTCGCGGCAGCACAACTTCTTGCAGCGTCCAGCCACGCGACCCAAGCGGTGCCGTAGGGAGCGAGTGGATCTGTTTGTATTCCGCACGGAGAATCATCTTTGCCTTTCGACGCGCCGTGGCGTCCCCGTTCTCGCGACCAATCTCCTCGGTCCAGAAGACGCGCTGGTGCTCGTCTTTGCCAAACTCTTGCGCCCCCAGAAAACCATGCTGGCAAGCAGATGCCCGGTGTGCGGCAATCGTTACGTGCGACCGTTGGTAGACGTTGCACATCTGCGCAGCCTCGCGGCGCCAATCGTCGCCGTCGTCTTGCACGATGCAGAGCGCATCAATCCACAAATAGCGTACATGTAGACGCCGGCATACCAGCACAGCATCTTGGATGGTCCGCGGCAGTGTCGACAACTCGATGCCGCGCTGGGGGTCCATGTGGGCGGCCACATTGCCTTTCTTCGTAGTGACGGTGCCGCTCGGGTCTGGACCCCAGCAATAACTGAGCGCAATGTACGGCGAACCGGCTGGGGCATTTTGGACAAGAGAAATGCGGGCGCTGTCGCTGCCGCCAACGTCAAGCACGCGTGTCGGTACAAACGCGTCTGCTGGTGACGATGTCGCTTTCGAATTTGGCGTCGTGGAAAAGAACGGCTGCGCGCAGCCCGTGTGGTTCTTCGCACAGGTTTCTAACCACTTGTTGGCCGAGCGAAATGCATCTTCGCTCTGGGTATTGGCCACCACGTTGGAACGGAGAGCAAAAGCAAACTGGCTGTTGAAAATCGGGCCGTCAGCGTGACCATAGATGTTGAGCACGCCCGTACTGTCACGGCCGCGGAGGCGGATGGCAAGGCTGTTTGGGCACAAGAGCACCGACATCGTATGGCTCCGCACTTTGGCTGCCCACGCCGGTGTCATAACGGCGAGACCGTCTGCCACGACGCGGCAGCACGGGCATCCAGCTGCGGCGGCCGCCTGGATGCGGTCGACGGTGGTCGTCTCGGTGGTACTTGACCCATTGTGCCACATCTTGAGCTTGAACCAGTAGATGTGGCAGCCTTGACAGACGGTGTTTGCAGCACCGATATCCATCGTGGTGTCCGGCATGGCGCGCTCTTGTCGATTGGTCTCGTGCTCTTGGCATGTTGCTCACAGGACCTTTGATTGAGGTTATTTGACCGCCTCATCGTCGCAACCTGGATCCCCTGGCTCTTCCTGCATGGAGCTACCCAATAACTTGTTAGCCTAGGCTGGAAGGATGCGAAACGGCCATGCTTTACTGAGCTAGTTGGCGTCTTGAGGCTCTGCGCAGAAGTCATCCAGCACAACCAATTGCCGGAAAGCCTCTTCAGTCTTCTGTCGAGAATGACATACTGTTCATGTCTGCTGATTCTGTGTCTTTTCCACCCAAACTTTACCATTTCCAGGCCTTTGCAGATGTTGCGCTACTCTGCTATCTGGAGAGAATGCATTGCTCTGAAAGCTGGCCAGCCATCTGGAAAAACGGCGCGGAGCGAATATTCAAACGTACCAGCACGTTTCGTTTTGCTGGGTGTGGCGGTCCGCGTCGTGCGCTGACCTTGGTCGAAAGGTAGATTTGAGGAATCACGGTCACAGACGCCGTCGGGGCTGACCTGGATCAGGGAAAACCCGGCTGACTTGGAGGGTCGCATTTGGGTTGGGTTTGCGGGGCACCTGGGGCTAAGCTTTTAGTGACTTGTAGTATTCCACAACGGCTTTGATTCCAGTCTTACAGTGCACAGCCCCTGAATCGGAATCACGAACGGTGGAAACTGAAAGGTTGGCTTTGGGTCGCACCTGCAGCGTTGACATCTGTGTAATGTTGATGCGGAAGCTGAGATTGGTCCTTCCTTTTTAACTTTTCGACACCGTAAGTGCAACCCAAAACGGCCCAATTGAGAAGGAGCATACGGTAGTGGCATTTGGCAGATTCGACGTCACGCGAGATTGTATTCACCAGGACCTGTGGAACAACGATACACGGCTGCTATTTACAAGTTTTGCTCGATGCCAATTGCTAACGCGGAGGACTGCTGGATCCGCTTAAATCAGCCTCAAAACGTGTCTCTTGTCCAGGACGGCATTTCTGTGGAGAGGCAATGTCCGCTGGAAGTCGCTCCTTCCTTAACCAAGTCGAGGGCAATCCTGGGGCTTTGCCCAAATGGGTAATGTTCATCATCATTGCACCGGTTCCAGCAGGAACGAAGGACGGAGTTGAATTGTCCCTTGCCGGTGCGGTGGTCGGATCGCGCTTTCCTGTACGCCCCAAAACTTTGACGGAACCCCCATCAATTTCCCTCTGTGTCATCCCCTGCCAGACACGCTGAGATGTGTTGTGAATATGTGACTTGGGCCGGCTCGGCTGCACACGCTCCTTTTGTCAACTCTTTGCCCCGCTGCCATCTCCTCCACCTCGCACGAAATTTGAATTTGCAACATACTTAAAGGACGGGCTCTCCTCTCTCCATCCTCTTGCCAAGCTGTTATTCCTTCCACCAGTTCCTCCCATGTTTCTGCTGGCTGGTCACTGGTATGCCCTTCTCTAGCCCTCTTACGGCGACCTTTGGTTTCTTTTGCATTGTCGTTGCAGCTATTTCATGACCATGGACGGCCTCTTGCGTGGCCTGGCACAGAGGCCCCTGCTCGGCGGTGCTGCTATTGTCGTCATTGGACTCGTGCTCTACCTCGCGCTTGTTAACAGACGGATGCGCGGCGTCCCCGACGACGCCATGAAGGTGAAGCAGCCGAGCTGGACCGCCCAGGTACTGCACGACACCTACGCCCGATTGGAAAAAAATCCCATCAATGTCGAGACAACAAAGGCCGGTCTGCCGCCGAAGCTGGAGCGCCGCTACATTGTAACTGGTGGCTGCGGTACGTGCTCGCAGAAGTCCACCGTTGTATTTGGAAACTTTGCTGACAACAACAACAAAGGCCTCGTCGGTGGTTATCTCGTCCTGCAACTGTTGGCACGCGGCCAGCCACCGGAGAGCATTCGCATTGTCGATTTCCAGGAGATGCATCGCCGAGACATGCTCGACGGCCCCGCACGCCATGTTGAAGTCGTTCACACCGACGTCTCGTCGCCTGCCTCCACCGACGCTGCGTTTGGCAAGCCGTGGCCCAAGTCTGTGGCAAAGCTGCCGCTGACCGTCTTCCACACCGCTGCTGTTATTGTGCCGTCTGACCGTACGCAGTCCGCCTACCGGTTCTTGGAGCGCATAAATATCGAAGGTACCAAGAACGTGCTGGCTTCGTCTCGTCGCGCAGGCGCCGATGTGCTGGTGTATACGGCTTCGGCATCGATTGTCATTCGCTTTGTCGAGTTCTTTTTGGCACCGTGGCGCCTGCTCACGGGCTGGCCCAAGCATTTTGTGCAGCAACTCAACGAGGACGACTTTTTCCACCCCCTGCGTCCGTTCAGCCAGTTTTTCTCGGCCTACGCAGCGTCCAAGGCAGCCGCGGAGCGCATCGTCTGCGAGGCCAATTGCGAGACTCTGCGCACGGGCTCGATCCGACCGGCCAACGGGATCTATGGCCACCCGACGGACAACACTGTGGGTCAACCGCTCAACGGTTCTGTGCAGCCGACGTGGTGCTTTAATATCGTCAACTCGTTTCTGCACGGCATGAACTGCGCTGTGGCGCATCTGAACTTTGAAGCTGTTCTGGCAGACCCTCGTTCATCGACAATGCCCCAGGCCGGTCGTCCGTTCTCGGTGACGGACCCCAACGGCGCCATCCAGTTCCAAGATCTGTATTTTGCGATTGAGAAGCTCAGCATCACGCCATTCCGCACAATCGCGCTGCTTCCGGTGCAGATGTTGTTGATGTCGTATGCCGTAGAGGCGTACATCAAGCTGCCCCAGCGCTTCCCCGTCTTGAAAACTATCCTGCCAGCCCTGACTGGTGACATTAAGCACCTACAGCCTGCACTGTTTTCTATTGTGACGCATTTGTACGCAACCAACGACCCCGTCAGCAAGTCGGTCAAGGAGGGCGGGCTGGGATACCGTGGCCTGATCACAACGCTTGATGGACTTGTACAACAGCTGCTCGACTGGAATTTGGAGCACAAGGGCGTAGATCGGAGCGCCTGGGTCAGATACCGCAGCAGTGTTTCCATGGCGGAAGATCTGAACAAGATTGGCGCAACGGCCAAGACATTGCAGAAATAGGCACTGGAGAGTGACGGATGAAGTGGCCAGATTTCGCAGAAAAACAAAGACAGTTTTTGTGTCCAACAACCTAATACACAACAATCATATCCTAATTCTTTGTCTCGCTTCTCGTTAAAGCATGTCGTGTGACAAATATCCTTTTACGACCTAACCTTCACGTAAGTTTTAAACGTCTAATATTAATCACCGACATCGATTTCAGATCTTCACCCAGTGACCTACTCGAAAACTAACGGGAGCCTTTCAAACGCCAGACAGGGTTCAACAACCAATACTGGTTATTTTAAAGCGTAAATTGATTACTTGTCGCTTACACAACAAGGCGTCGCTTCTACGCATTCACCAGCCACAGCCTAGTCCCGAATACGCACACGCACGCCCTTGCTGCCCGGGTAGGCATGGGCTGCGACATAGTCAGAGTGCAGCTCAACGTCCGCCACTGTCGTCTCGTACAGCTCCATTGTCGGCCCATTTTGCACCTTTTGCGTGGGATCATACGGCGAATACTTGCGGAAAATGCCGGCGGTAAAGGTCTGCAGCTCCTGGTAGGCCAGGTTGATGCCGATGCACTGGCGAGCACCGCGCGAAAATGTCATGCTGCGGCGGGCGAGTGTGGGGTCCTCGAGGAAGCGGTCCGGGTCGAATGTGTCTGGGTCACGGTAGAGTCTGGGCGACCGGTTGAGGAGCGGCGCAGCCATGCCGATGGACGAGCCGCGAGGCAGGACGATGGAGCTGCCGTCGTCGTAGACATACACGAGATCGTCGTCCGGGGCCACGCGATCTTGGCGATGGGTTGCGCTCGGGTGCATGCGCAGTACCTCTTCGATCAGGGCGTTGAGGAAGCGCAAACCGTCCAATTTGACCGGATCCGGTGGCAGTGTTGGGTCCGGCATAGCCGAATCGAGCTCGGCGCGCAGACGGCGGAAGATGGTCGGGTTGCTGAGCACGTGGTAGCAAATGGCAGCAAGAGACCACGCAGTGGTGTCGGCGCCGGCAATGGCCAGCACCATGGCCTCGTCGACCAGGCGCTCGGTGCGCTTGTCCGACTCGTCAATGTCGCTGTCGAGCACCTCGCGGAAGATGCTACTCTTCTCGGACAGCTCGTCGCCAGCTTTGGGCGACTGAGCCCGAATTGCGTCGATCTTTTCTGTCAAACCGTCCACGAATTCGATCATGGCCAGGATCGACGGCTGTAGCTTCACGAGAATGGCCGGAGGTAGGCGCGCCATAGTGCCCATGAGCGAGTGGAAGTGGACGGCAAGGTGTGAAAGCCGGCCGGAGGTGAGCACGGCAAAGAACGGCTCGTTCAGGTCGTCCATCTCGAGACACAACTGGCCACCGCCAAATGCGTACGACTGGATCACGTCCTTGGTCGTGGCCTTGAAGTAGGGGCTGAGCCGCACCGGCTCGCCTGACTCGGCGAGCGCCTGCAGCCGCCCCAGAAGTGCGGCCAGCGTGTCGTTGATCGCCGGTACCAGGCGCCGTACGCTCTGGTGCGAAAAGAAGCGGCTCAGCACGGCCCGCCGCCTCCGGTGGACGTCGTGGTCTTTTGTCGGCAGCATGGAAAACTTCTTGGCAAACATGTTGAGCACTGTAGGGGCGCGCTCGCGCCGGACCTTGGGCGATTGGGTGTAGAGCTTGTCGATAAACCCCGGGTCGTTGACGTGGACGACGTCCGGCATGATGCGCAGCACGGGACCATACTGCTCATGGAGTTGCTTGATTTTCCAAATGTACTGACCGCCTAGGTAGACATCATAGTACGCGCAGTACCAAGACGTGAGCGCCGCGATCCTAGGCCCGGGTACTTTGGCAAGCGGGTGGAAGAAGAGACGGTAGACGCCAAGGCCGACGAGATAGACGACGAAGAGGCCGGCCACGACCAAGGCGTTTTGGACTGTGAAGAGACCCATGGTCGCAAAACAAATCGAAGCAATACAAAGCAAGACAAAAACAAGTCAAATCACAAAAGAAACAATACGAAAACAAATGAAGGCTCAAGTTGCAAATAGGAGAAAAGGATGAGTCGAGAAAGTGTTCTCCTTTTAAGGCGGACGTCCTGTTGGAGGAAATGACGAGAGGTGATTGGGCCGTTATCACGCGTGGCTAGGGCTGTTAGTGCTGACAGCCTCAGTGAGAAGCGGCGCGACGTTAGCTTGTTTGACAGACACTCGGTGCAGAATACCGTTTGATTCTTATGCCGGGCCGCATTTGTAATTCTATTAGTATTGGAAATGTGTTGGCTATGTTCCATGGCGCTATCTTCGGGCCTCTTCGCATGTGGAGTCAAACAAAATTCGCAAGAATATAGTATTGAATTTCAAAATTAAACGCAGAAGGAAATACTAAAAGGTAAACCATGCAAAGCAAAGCTACTGAAGACTACCGAATACATGATCGTGCACATACCCCAAGCACCACTTCTCACACCGCTACCACTCCTCACAGCTTGTTGAACACCTCCACAGCCGCGCGCGCAGTCGATGAAGCACTTGCCGGGTTCTGGCCCGTCACCAGACGGCCGTCCACAACGTGGTGGTCGTCCCAGATACCCGCAGACCGCACATACTTGGCACCCAGCTTCTCGGCAAGCTCCTCCACCAGAGGCTGGCCCCACGTCTTGAGCACGGCCGTAATGCCCAAGACGTCCTCGGCCTCGCTGGTAAAGCCCGTGATGGTCTTGCCCTGGATAAGCGGCTTGCCCGTCGCCGTGTCGAGCACGTTGGCAAAGATGGCCGGGCCGTGGCAGACAGACGAAACAACACCGCCGTTGGCCCAGACCTGCATGGCAACGGCCTGGAGGCCCGACGCCGTCGGGTAGTCAATCAGCGCGGCATGGCCGGCCGACGCGTAAAAGAGGCCGTAGCGGCTGGCGTCGAGGTCGGCTGCCTTGGGCATGTTGTCCAGCTTCTGGCGGAACGCGCTCGTCTCGTCCTGCCAGGCCTTCAGGTCGTCGCCGGACAAAAAATCGGGCTGCAGGGAAAGCCAGTCCGGGGTGTAGGTGCCGGTCTCCGAGGCCAGGTCGACCTCAAATCCAGCAGCGGTCAGGACGTTGAATGGGTGAAGTGCCTCGCCGACAAAGAGGCCCGTGGTCTCTCCGTTCATGAGCGGGGCGTGGGCCGAAGTGACGGCGATAAGGGCGCGGCGGGGAAGTGTAGCGGCAGACATTTCGATAGATGTTTGGTGTCGAGAGTAGATTGATAAGGCAGATATGGCTGGGTAATTGTAGTGTGAATGTAATGAATTGTTTATGAGTGTGAGTGAAGGCACAGTAAGTGTGAGATGAGGTTGTGATTGAATTGCTGAAGAGTGGATGATGATTGTGATGATGAGATGAGGACAAAACAAACATCATTAATCTGGGGAGGTCAGGTCATATATATAGACATTGTCCGCAGGATACATTCATCTTGAGTGGCCGAGGAAGCATCACCATCATGATACAATTCCATGATGGAAGGCCTATGATGCGCATACCGGACTTGTCCGGTGTTGCATTATGCTGACATTTCCAGGCGACAAAGAGTTACAAGCCGGAGCGCTTCCGGAATTGTCAGCCTGTTGACGAATCGAACGAACTCCGAGAGGCTGCTTCTAAACTCTGACTAAGAGTAGCGATAAGTCACTGGTGGTTTTCCCATTGGCCAGTCCCACTTTTATCGGAGTTATCCATTTTGTATTCATCGTCTTCAACTCCGAAGCGACACCAACGTTTTACCTATTTTATTAGTCATTTTCTTCCAAATAGATCTTACAAATCGTCAATGTATCGATTGTTCTCATCACGACTTTTAACGAATTTTATTAAATCGACCTCCAAAACTTACAATAATTATCGTAATAAAATGTCAAAATCGTAAAGTAATAAGTTAAATTTAATTTAAAAATGAGAGTGATTTATAACACAAAGCTCACAACTTAAATTTGACGGTTTAGATGTATTTCCTACAGAGCCTTTACGACCTGCCTCAGATACTGCTTCCTGATTAAGAAAGCTACCGGCTGTGGTGGCCAAAACAGTGAAAAGTGTTCTTTAATGGAAACCTTCCTGTTATTTTTATCTCTCTTTTAGTACATACAGTCTGAGTTTACAAGTAGTAGAGGTCGTAACAAAGGACAAATGCGTACATGGCTATCTGTCAATTCGTGGAAGTATTGTGGCACTTCTGTCCGGCAACTTGAGATGCCAGCAAAAAGAGAAAGTTGGCCGTAAACAATGTAACAGAAAAAGGAAGGAGCATATGTTCTTGACGGGTCTTGCCTAATGTACTCTCTTTCACTCTCTTTCACTCTCGAAAACCATCGTTGAATCGAGGTCCGCCGCTTCCCTCCCCCTAATCCCTTTCCCTATGTCTCGCTCTTTCCTAAAACGAAAGGCATTCGCGGATGCTAAAAATGGCAGTTTTTCGATTGTCGCCGGTCATGGGGGTGGTCGTCCTTTCTTCTCAGTGACTGGTATCAGAGGCGTTCTTTCGTCGCCACAAGATAAAACGTAAAACTGGCAACAACTCCTCACGAGCAAGGAGCGAGCCTGTTCGTTTTTCCGAATGGAGAAGGAGACGCCGTAGGTTCATCATTTACCTCAAGAATAAATCAAAAGAAAAGCTACCCACCCCGCCAACCTCCCGGGTCGCTCCTTCTGTATGCGCAAAGTGCCCCAAAACGGAAGTAGCAGCCGCCAAACGTCGAGGATGGAAAGGGCGAAGAAAGCTTCCAAAACCTCTCCAAACCCAATCTTTTCCCCCCTCTCGCGGAGTCCTTCTTTCTTCGCCAAATATCACGAGAGGAATGTTACCACGGACAATGCAACGGAAATAGCACTGAAAAACCTAAAACTCTCAACAACTTGTCATCGAGATCCCCTCAGAATCGCTCTTTTTTCTCCGTGCGCAAAAGTCTCCTAACGTAGAAGTAGCAACCGCCAGACTTCGTTCTTGGAAAGAACCAAGAAAGCCTAGCACTTTCTCAGTCACAACCGCACAGATTTGCACTACTTTCTGCTGGTGCAAAGTCCTCGAAACGGAAGTCGCAAGCGCAAAATATCGCGATTGGAAAGAACCGCCGACAATTCAACAGGACCAGCACCAAGAAGAAAACCCCTTGCGCTTTCCAAATTCGAACACCCTGGAGCCACTCTTTCTCTGCTTGCCCAAAGGCCACTCAAAGTAGAAGCAGCAACCACGAGACATCACGAATGGAAAGAACCACCGAGGACGCAACGCAAGCGACACCAAAAAAGCCCCCGGCACCTTCCCGAGCGAACATCTTCTTCACACACTCCCCTGGTCATATGACGTTTTTGGCCCATAGCTACTTCCTCATTTTACTCTTGGCTGCGATAGACGGTTCAGGAAAGAACTCTGCGCACGTCCCAGCAACGAGCCCCCAGGTACCGGAACCTGCATCGATATAGAAGGTGCGATGGAAAGCAGAAGACAGGGAAGACGAAGGGTTATTATCCCCATCGCTTCCGTCCGTCCATTCTTTGCCTTCTTCTTTTCTTCTTCTTTCTCCCCTACTACCAAGTCGAACGAAAAACGGTCGATGTGGCCAGCAAGATCTCTCATTTAGGGAGATACCCTTGCCACAGACCAAGCCGTAAAGTGCGTCGGCTTCAGAAAGGATCGGTTGAAGGGGACCGTTTCCTTGAACGCTAGAACAAGATCCTGCAGTGCAGACTCTACCCGCTTCGACTTCACACTCTGATTTCAGGGGAACAAAGTCTTGGGTGTCAGATTGGCCTTTTTCTCCGTGCCCTTCTGGTTCTCCTATGCGGGTGGGACATTCATATTGATCTCTTCACACTGATGACAGGCACCGACACCGGGGGGATGACGGATGACAGCTGTAAATGGTCAGCAGGGGGCTCTTGGCAGACACTTGGCTGTCATTATGGAATCTGGGGGCTCAGTGGGATCTGTGAAATCTGGGGGATCTGTGGAATCTGGGGGCTCAGTGAGACTCTTTGGAAACCGGTGGGATCAGTGGGCTCAAGTTCGACACTCGGGTGTCATGACGGGACCCAGAGGGTTATGACAGGGTGAAGGGTGGTTGTGCATCAACTTACTGGGAGATCAACATATGCACCAACACATCGACCAGCATTTCTTCTTCATCGACATCACAAAGCCAACAACTTTCCACAGACTTTTTGTACCGGCAACATTTGGCACTACGACACAAGCCGAGACGTCCAAAGCCGCCAATGCTGGCCCAACATCAACACTCCTTTGAGTCAACACTCTCTCAAGTCGATGCATCCTTAAGACGACAGTTTCTCAAGTCCATGTTTCTCGGGAGGTGGTCAGTTTCCCCGTTGGAGTGTGGCAGACGATGACGTTATTTTGTTGACACCTTTTGACAGATGGACGCGCCTTTCAGCGGCTTTCGCATCGTCTGGCATCCCGACATGTCCACGTGATTGAGTTCTGCTCTCACATCAAGCAGGCGCAGGCGGCAACTGTCCACCAAGAACGACACGCGCATCATGACAAGCTGAGCACATTGCCATGCTGGCCAAGACAAGCAGCGCCCATGGGCAGTGCTGCACCATACCAATACCGACATACACAGAGGGAGGAAGACGAAGGGCACCAATTGCCGCTGCAGTTCGTCTGTTGGTGATCCACCACTGCTACTCTTTTTCCCACTGGGGTTTAATGAGGGCAGTGCACCATAGCCTGTAGCGGCTGGCTGCAGCAGCCCCCATGTTGCTGCCGTCTAACCATCAGTGGGAGGGAGAGAGTATATAGACTCTTTGTCATGGAGACTCAATGTTAACTTGGGACGGAACGGTGGAATGGTGGAACGGGATGGCTTTTGGTACTCCCCCAGGCAGCAAAATCAAATCATTGCGTTTTTCTCTGCCAGGTTGAAAGGTGACATTTTGGAAGGCGATACTATGCCGCACACACCGAAAAATGCATTTATTTCAAGAGAAGGTTGAGGGACCGCTATATCAGTCTGGGACGGAAGCGCATCTTTATATACGCAGCAGACTTTGCGGTTGAACTTTAAATTGTGGCTGAATGAGCCACAGAAGCCAGGGTTACACAGCGTGCGCGGTGGTTTGAAAACAACAAACTGCAAGCCACCACTAAAATATAGGCCGCATTACTCATAGCTTAATTACGCAGGCTCTCACTATGTTAAACCATCGTTGCTAAAGCCTACTGTCCTCCCAGCGCTCGCTTAACGTCTGTAAAACAAAAGTGATGTCCGTAATGATATGTTATTTTTAAGGTAACAACGTCGCATCTGCGAACATGCCCAAATACGCAAAATTACTTGGATCTCCTTCATACTTGTGTCTCAGTTGAGGGTCATTGGTATTTAATGGAACGAGAGTAAAGAATACAAGCCTAGAACGAAGTCCCTATGCGGCTCTAATTATAATCTGTATATATACGTTCGTCACGATTGGGTTTCATAGGAAAAATCATTGAATATGTCATGGAATCAAAGATGCGTCTTGCTCGCGTTGTGATGGTTTGTCAGTAAGAAGGAAAATAGCAAAGTATCCCACCTGATGAGTATCGTCAAAAATAAACGCCGGCGCACTGTGGGCCATAATTCCGTCCACACAAGATACCGATTTGTCCCAGTACACGCCCTCTTACATGGAGAATAAGACTCCTTCGGAATCGGGCCAGAGTGCATTTAGGTCCAGCCACTGATCCACATCAAAGGCCATGAGCATTGTGTCTTGGAGGACAGACGCATCCAGTCCCGAGAACGTCACCTCTGGTTGCTTGTCGGGGCCCGTGTTGAGTAGGTCGGGGATGCCATTGGCCGGCGGTAGAGCGGCACCGTTCATGGCAACGGGCTGGCTTTGAACACAAACGGGAGACGCTTCCGCCTGTATTGCGGCTTGGCCTGCGTGTCCTTGCGCCTGCGCCTGGGCCTGCTGTCTCTGTGCACGTGCGTTCTGCTGCGCCAGATAGTTGACCTTGTCACGCAGCGTGCGGATGACAGCGGCCGCGCTGGTGGCAACGGCAAAGTTGCGGCCAAACATGTCAAACACGGCAATGGCCAGCTCGACGGCGGCATGTGCTTTGCAGACAATGGGCACTTCGCAGATGTCGTCGGAGCGGTGGATGCCGCGTGTCTGTTCATGCATAGCCAGCAAGAAGCCGACCAGCGTCATGGCGGCGTTCCATTGCCACTGGAAGACCTCGCTCCAGCCGGCCAGAATGCTGGTCGTGGACAGCACCTGGTGGACGATCTGGGTGAGAGTGATGGCGTGGTGGGCGCACGCGTCGGCGCACTGGCGGACGGGGGCCGCCGAAAAGGCAGAGGTCTCGAAGCTGATGAGGGGGCGGTACAGGTTGATGCACAGGTTGTGGTACATGAGCTCCAGCAAGAGTCGCTGGCGCTGCACCCAGAGCGGCGCAAAGGGCTCGATGTCAAGCGGCGAGCCGTCCGTGGAGAACGGCCGACCGTCGCCGCCGGCACGGGCGCCGCCGCCCACGCGCGCGGTGGTCAAGGCGGGGGGCACGCTGCGCGCCCACTGTGCAAAGGCGTCACCGTGCGTCAAGGCGATGCGCGCATGCACCTCGAGTGCCTCTGGGTGGTCCCACAAGGTTTGGCCGGGACGCACGGGTAGGGGTGTCTGGTGGCCGCTGTAAAAGGCCACATGCGCCGCCCGTGCCACCTGAAAGAGCGCGCTGTGGTACAAGTGAAAGCTGAGCCAGCTGCGGTTGTCGCCGAGCGGTGCAAAGGACGAGCCCGACAGGGCGGCGACGGCGACGCTGTCGTCGGGCTGCGGCGGCGTGGTGGCACCGGCCAGGTGCAACAGGAACGGGCGACCCAGCTTCATGCCAATCTTGCTGTCCAGCACGTAGAGCGCCCACCAGATGCGTATGCGCAGCTCGCTCTGGCGCACGGTCATGTCGGCCGGCGGCGCCAGGTGGAGTCCCAGCATGTGGGCCTCGCGCACGGCCAGCGCACAGGAGCTGTCGCTCATATTCTGGAAGGTGCCGTTGCACAGGTAGACACCGCACAAGATGTGGCACTGCAGCGTCGACAGCGACGGGCTCTCGAGCTCGTACTCGAGCAGCGCCTGGCAGCGGCGGTAGTACCAGCGGCCGGCCACAGAGGTGTCGTCGTTGTCGACGATGAGCTTTTGGCGCATGCCGGGGACCATGGTGGACACGCCGATCTGGAGGCAGAGGGCCAGGACGATGTCGACCAGGGCAGACGGGGCACGGTCCTGGCCGGACGTGGCCCACAGCGACCGATAGTGCTGGCGGAAGTCGGCTTCGTCGAGGACGGGGAACAGTGCTGCATGGTAGGAATGCCAGTAGAGGTCGAGGAAATACTCCTCCTGGGTGAGCGTGAGAAAGCGAGCGCCCGCCAGGGCATCTTGTATGCTCGCATGCGGCCGTGATGTACTGTCGTGCACGTGGGCTTGTGCCTGCTTTTGGGCATCTGTTGGTCTGGTTCTGGCTGTTGATGTCGATGAAGACGGCGGTGCTGGACCGTCCACTAGCATTCCCGCAGGGTTCACGTCCAGCAAGTTGTCGATGCTCGCCTTATTGCTTTTGTGGTTTGCGTGGCCACTGCTGTTGTCGCCCCCGTCCGGATGCTGAAACTGGAACGAGTCGTCCAGATATGCGGCTGTTCGACTGATGAAATAAAACAGCGATGACGGCCCGTACCACGTCTTGTTGGGCGACCGGGCGGTGCCGACATGCACGCCACCCCAAAAGGCGTGTGCAATGCCCGTGTCCGTGGCCACCCGGCTTGCGATGTCCCGTGGTGTGGCGGATGGTGGCAGTAGTGCGTCAGATGGGAAGGGCATGATCGAGGGCGGTACTGTTATATGAGTGGTGGCCGTCCCGGTCGGCGTTGCCGCAGTCGATTCCGGACCGTCGGAGTAGGGTGACGCCTCCGATACGGATCCGGCGCTGGCGGCCGTGTAAGGGCCTGCATGGCGACTGGCCAGCCTTGCTGCGTTCAGCTCTTGCTCCAGCTGAGCAACTTGCCGCCGCAGACGGTCGATCTCGCGGTGTGCTTCCGGCAGCGACGTGGCATTGAGAGCGTCTTCGCTGCTGCAGTGGCCGCCGCGGGTCTTGCAATTGGCGCACGGCACACTGGTGTCGCACTTGATGCGGTGCTGGCGGCACCAGTCGCAGGCTCGTGATACCTGGCGACGCTTGGCCCGCTTCGGGGGCGGCGGCTGGGCGCTGGACGTGTCTGAGGTGACAGACGCCCCCGACAGACCAGGTGGATGAGAAGAAGGTGAGGATGAGTCCATGTCCACTCCGGAAGCAAAGGAGCTGAGCGGCTCTTGGCGAGTATGCCCGTTGATCGGCTGCTGGTCAACGCCTGTTCCATACGTTGGGCTGACGTCGCCAGTTGTGGGGTGCGAAGCGGTGGTCGAAGCACGATGACCAATCAGTCGTTGCTGTTTACAATCACGTGATGTCATTCTTGTTGCTTTCGGAGCTTCTCGGACTAACTCCGGATACAGACCATTTCCAACTCTTAGCGTTTGAAAAGCTGGCCATCCTGTTTGAGGAGATCTCCGTGACCCAATTTTAGGACTGCTGGAGGCTTTCCCATTGGGTGGATAGCAGAATTTGGATCTACGTTTTTTTCGAAAGGTGCTTGGTGCGGAGCAACTCCAGTGTATTACCGTGCGGAGTTGTCCAAATCCCTGTTGGCATGTTCCACTTTTACTAATCTCGGAACTGCTCCAAGGAGGTGGTCTTCAGTAATCAACCACTGCCTGCAGCGTCTAATTGGATGTTCCACTTGTAAGTCCAAGGGCGTTGTAACAAACATGAACAAATTCGGATCAGACGGGAAACGTTGAGACCAAAAAAAAATCAAGACGTGGCCACGTTTGTAACAGATGGGGCTGAACTGACAGATTTCGTCTATTAGTTTTCGATGACTTATTGTGGAACTTTGTAGAATTCAAGATGGATATAAAAGACCTCGTCGAGCCCACCTCTCGAGAAGTAGATGAACGATATCGACATCACCAACAACAATACAATACCAAGCAATCACACATCAACCTTCAAACACCCTCAACTCTCATCCAGTATTCTATTCGTATACAAAATCATCCCACTCCACTTCATCATGCCTTCATTCACCGTTTACAAGGGCTCCAAGGAGGGCGCCATCAAGAAGAGCACGACGACCAAGCCGGATGAGCTCCGCGGCGACGAGGTGCTGCTGCGCGTGACCGCGTCTGGCCTGTGCGGCACTGGTGAGTTGGCCTACCCGACGTTTTCTGGCTTTTCAACTGGACACACTCACATACTTGACAATCGGACGTTTACTAACACGATACAGATCTCCACTACGTTCGTCCAGCCCGTTTCTCTTTCTCACCAATCCCTCACGGCTCTCGCTAACACTCCTTCTCTAGACACATAAGGACATGGTCCTCGGCCACGAGGGCTCTGGCGTCGTCGAGGCGGTGGGCCCGGATGTCCAGACGCTGGCCAAGGGCGACCGTGTCGGCTGGGGCTACCAGACGGGCGCCTGTGGCCGGTGCAAGGAGTGCCTGAGCGGCCACGACACCTACTGCGCCCGCCGCCAGGTGTACGGCGCCGCCAACCTGGACCAGGGCAGCTTCGCGTCGCACGCGGTGTGGCGCGAGGCGTTCTTGCACAAGCTGCCGGAGGGCCTCAGCGACGAGCACGCGGCGCCGCTCCAGTGCGGCGGCGCGACTGTGTTTGCGGCCCTCCAGGACCTCGCGCCGGGCGCCACGGTCGGCGTGCTGGGCGTTGGCGGCCTCGGCCACCTGGCGATCCAGTTCGCGGCCAAGATGGGCTGCCGCGTGGTGGTGCTGTCCGGGTCGAGCGCCAAGCGCGCGCAGGCGCAGCAGCTGGGCGCGCACAAGTTTGTGGCGACCAACGAGGGCCAGACGCTGGGCGACGACGGCGAGGGCTGGACGATTGACCGGCTGCTGGTGACGTCGTCGGTGCAGCCCAAGTGGGAGACGCTGCTTCCGATGATGAGCATGCGGTCGCAGGTCTACCCGCTGTCGGTGTCGGCGGGCGACCTGGTGATTCCGTACATGCCGCTGATTAACCAGGGCATCCGGGTCCAGGGCTCGCTCGTGGCGGACCGGGTGGTGCACCGGGAGATGCTCAAGTTTGCGGCGCTTCATGGCGTCAAGCCCATCACAGAGACGTTCCCGATGACGGAGCAGGGCATCACGGAAGCGATTGACAAGCTGGAGGCCGGCAAGATGACCTACCGTGGTGTCCTCGTGCCATCCGCCTAGGTTCTTTGTTGTTTTGTTGTGCGCGGGAGATGAATATTCATTAGTATAGAGACAGGCAAGATGAGAGAGCGTTACTGGTATTTACTATAGATGGGCTACTACTTGGGCGAAGTATGTCACATTATCACAGGTGGCTGAAAAGTATGTGTTGGGTATATATTGTTGCAATCGATTCGTACAAAAGAAACAGAGGAAAACTGCCAATGCCAGAACACCGGTTGAAGAATGAAGAAATCAAATGAAGCGCACCCAGTCTAGGAGAACCAAAAGAAACCCAAGCTACCATCAAACGCCACGCCAAGCAATCAAAACATCATGTATATCCCGTCAATGCAAAGGCCTCTCGCAACATCCCTCGACCAGCTAAAGTCACTACCTCCTCGTCACCACACCACCTGCTTTCTCACACATAGTGAGAAGGAATGTGCACGCTCTCGGAGCTGCTGTTGTCGTGCTGCTCGTGGTAGCCGGCGGGCATCTGGTAGCCCTGGTAGGCGTGCTGCTGCGGGCCCTGTGGCACCATCTGCTGCAGCTCGACGTGGCCCTTGCCGGTGCCCAGCTGCTGCTTCTCGGCCTTGCGCTGGGCCTTTTCGTCCTTGCGGGCGGCCTTCTTGGCGGCCTTGGCGGCCTTGCGCTCCTTGCGCGAGATGTGGGGGAGGTCGGCGTTGGGTCCGCGCAGGAGACGGCCGGGGTGCATGAGGGCGAGGAGGAGGAGGCACAGGGCCATGGGGAAGGCGTCGAGAAAGTAGGCGTAGGCCTCGTGGAAGGGCACGGGGTTGGAGGGCTTCATGCCGCCGGCGAACTCGGCGATGCGGTAGAAGAGGCGGAAGGAGATGAGGGCCAGGATGACGTAGAGGGTGTAGAGCATGCCACGCCAGCCGCGCAGGATGCCGGTCGGCGTCTCGACGCCGAGACGCTCCAGGCGCAGGCAGTCGCGGTGGAAGACGACCATGAGGCCGACAAAGACGAGAATGCAAAACTCCTGGCAGCCGAGGCCGGCCATGTAGACGTCGATGCCAATCTTGATGACGCTGGCCGAGGCGCCGGGCGTGACCATGACGCCGCCGGCGGCCTGGATGATAAAGGTCACGACGTCGGCCCAGACAAACATCTTGCTCATGCCGACGGCCTTGACCTTCCAGACGGTGTGGTCGGGCTCGTAGCAATACACGGTGCGCGCAAAGGTCATGTAGACGAAGCCGTTGATCCAGAGCGGGGCGAGCAGGAACAGCAGCGTGTAGGCCGTGGAATAGGCGGCGTTCTGCTGGTCGTGGGCGCCGATGGCGTGCAGGATGAAGGCAAGGGTTTCCCAGGAGGCGGCCATGATGATGACCCACGCATAGCGTTTCTTGTAGACGATGGCCTGGACGAGGTGGGTGAGGGTGAGGAGGCCGAAGATGACGGCGGTGGCGACGGCGGGGGCGAAGTCGGGGTTGAAGTTGTAGTAGGAGTTGCAGGCGTCGATGGGCACGTTGCCGTACTTGCCGGGGACGGCGGTTGTGCAGGAAGGCGATGCGGATGCGGATGTGGAGGAGGCCGACGATGCGACTGTTGGCGAAGGGGTGGCAGACATTGTGAAGATGGGAGGGGGGAGGACACGAGAAGTGAAAGGAAAGGAAAATAAGGGGAAAGGACAAGACGTTCAAGTGCAGCAGGGGTGTGATGAGACTGGTAAATGTGTTGAGTTGTGTTGAGTTGTGTTTGGTGATGTGCGAGTGTGAAGAGATGAGATATGGAACAGAAAAAGAAAAAAGGTGGATGTCAACAACGGTTTATATCCATCTTGCAGACTTTGGATTGTAGAGATTGACAGTGTCCATCAAGCCTTGAAAGTATTTCAACAGAAACAACCGTACGACCAAACGTCCATACGACAATACGACATGCATGGACAGTTTCTGTTTTCAATCTGCACAACGCGCCCGCCTCATTGGTTGGCCTGATCCTTTGTGATCCTTCAGACGGCCATGGCTTACACAGGGGCTCCCTTTGTCAGGCGAGATCGTCGTGTGGCTGCCCCTGCCGCTGGTCGCCAGGCAGACGAATAAACTTAATTTAGCAGCACTAAGCCCGCACCGGAACCATACTCCTCTAACATACAGTCGGGACGGAAAACGTTAATTTTACTGGGACCCCGGCCGCAGAATTCGGCAGCAGGCTTGAATCTGCTCCGTATCCGTGCACATAACTACGCTGGCGTCGATCGACAGTCTCACTCGCGCTTGTCTTGATGTGTAGTCGCTACTCGAACAGTGCCGTCTTTGACAGCCGCGATGGCCCTGCGTTTACTTGTACATGTACTGCACAGCGTGCCGATCGAGAGGGGCCCTGTACACCATGCGCGTTTATTGGCAGCCCAATGCTCTCCGTGTTTTGCTATTTTGGTGAGGCGGGCTTGTCAGGGCCAGCCGAGCCAAAATGGCGAGAGGATTTGGCTCCGAATTCGACTCCGAATTTGACTCCGAATTCGACTCCGGCCATTTGTCACTGGCTCATCTCGCCAGCAATGCCCAGCCCCCCACCCTTTCTGTGGACGGGCGTGTGTCAGGTCTACGTTGATGCGATTGTCTTGAAGAGTACGGCGTCTGGCAGAGAGGAGGAGGGAGAGGCGCGAGAGAGGCAAAAGGCTAGAATTCAATTGTTTGGCAGTGACGAACTCCATGGCCATGCAGCACTTTTTTTTTTCTTTGCCTCTTTCCAAGATGCTTGACCAGCCTCGGATGAGCAGTCAATGGACGCGCTCAACGCGCTCCTAATCCGATGCCCGAGTGTCGACTGCGTTGTTCCTGGAATGAGCAAAAGGGAAATGTGGAAATTGACGATCGACAATGCAACTACAATACTTAAAAATAAACAGGGCTGAAGACGGGAAAGACTGGAGCAGACTGGAACTGCGACAACAAGCGCAAGGCAGCAGAGTTTCAGAAACCGGAGAAGGGACCGTGAGACGAGTGGACGCAGAAAGGGAAAAGACAAGACGGAGAAGACGGTGTAAGGAGCCGCGGATGGGGCCATCCTTTTCAGGCAGCCAAATTATTAGTGCTATTCCGGGATGCCAAGCGTAGCGCTGCTGAACAAACCATGCAAAGCCATGGAGGATGGAAGCGCAGAAAAGGACAATGGAATGTGTAAAAAGATGAGACGAGGCTACCGCGTAAAGCGACAACAGCCGGGATTGGCTGAGACGAGTGAGACTTGAGAAAACAAAGTTGTGATCGATGCGAAACCTTATTTCCACAGCAGCCCTACGATGCAATTACAGGGGGAATTGGCGCTACCAAAGAACAAAGAATGGCCCTACAGCGCCGCAAGACAAGTGCGGCGCCAGCAGTCGTAGGGCCTCGTAAGGGCCTGAATGTTTGTCCGAGTGGGCTGAAGACCCTGTTGCAGTGGCTGAGCCAAAAATAGAACACTACCGCAAACGAGTTAGGCAGTCTGCCAGTCCATTCATCTCACAAAGAAATGCCAGCTTCGGTCTCGACAGCCGCAGCCCAATCGACTGTCAATGTTTGGATGATTTACAAACGTGCACGACACAATACGTCGTCTACATGGCCAAGGCTGTGGCTTGAGCCGTCGCAGCTCTTTTTGCCTTGCAGAATTCTTCGAAAAGAGATGCTCTCCCCTTTGCCTCAACCTTCTTTTACGTCTTCCTTGTCACGTCTTCTGTCTCACATGCTGTATCTTCTTTTTATTCGTATCTCTGTCAACTGCCGAAGCGGGTTCAGACTGGAATTAATCGAAAGGTAAAAAATGCGGTACGAATTGAAGGCAAGCCGATATAACAGACACAGACACCCACCCACCAACCCACTCTCCATCGACACCTCCAACCCTCTTACGACGATTCCGACTCGGGGGCTGATGCGGGCGCAGGCGCCGACGTCGGCTTCGCGGGTGCCACCGTTGTCTCGCTCGCCGGCGCGCAGCTGTACACCACGTGCGTGGACACGCCCGTCGGGACGACCGTCGCCGTCGACACAACGTACGTCGTGCGGTGGTACGTTGGTGTTGTCGGCGCGGCCGGCGCCGGTGCCGCTGTCTCGGACGACGTGGGGGCCGGCTTCGAGGGGGCCTCGGCGGCCTGCCGCTTGTGCGGCGCACCCGCCGGTCCGGCCAGGGTGCTCGCCGTCGGCTTCGCGCCCGGTGGGCCCGCCGGCACCGCCCGCTGCGCGCAGCTGATGAGGCTGGTGACCGTCGTCGTCGACGACCACGACGTCACGGTCGCGGCGCGCGTCACGGTGGCGTCAAACGGCAGCTGGATGCACGCGTACGACGTGACCGTCGCGACGGCCGTGTCGCTGACGACCGCCTGGGTGTAGGCCGTGTTGGTGAGGTGGACCGTCGTCGTCGAGACCACCACGGAACCAGCCGCAGGCGCAGACGTTGTCGCGGGCGGCGCAGCGGCCGAGGACGAGTTCTCCGCGGGCACATACACCGTCTCGGGTGCCGGGAGTATCTCCAGGTTCTCTTTCTTTGGAGCGGCGGTCGGGGCGGCCGCAGGCGCAGGCGCGGGAGCACCAGCACCAGCACCAGCACCAGCACCGCCACCGAAACCTCCGCCACCGAATCCACCGCCAAATCCACCACCAAATCCGCCGCCGAACCCGCCGCCGAACCCACCACCGCCGACGCTGTACGGGAAGCCGCCCACGCCAGGGCACGTAATCTGGGCCGCGGCCGTCGCCGTCGACGCATACACCGTCTTGGGGATCACCACGGTCGTCGTCGTGTCCACCGTGAAGGCGTACGCCAGCGTCGTGCTGCAGCCGTAGCGTGTGCGCAGATACGGCGTAGCCGCCGTCTCTGTTTTCACGGCGTAGACGGTGCGTGTGCGCGTGCGGACGGCCGGCGCACTCGTCGGTGCGACCGGTGTCGGCGTCACCAGCGGCGAGGATGGGCCCGACTCCGCCTGGCGCTTGTTCTTGTTGTGCGCGGCCGCCGACGCCGACGTCGTCACGACCACAGGCGGCGCGGCGGGCGACGTGGCCGCCGCCGTC